GATTTCCAAAAGGCCTTCGATAAGGTGCCACACAAGAGGCTACTGCATAAGATAAGGATGCATGGCATTAAGGGTAAAGTATTAGCATGGATAGAGGATTGGTTGACTGACAGGAAGCAAAGAGTGGGGATAAACGAGTGCTATTCTAGCTGGCAGTCAGTGACTAGTGGTGTGCCTCAGGGATCGGTGTTGGGACCGCAATTATTTACAATTTATATAGATGATTTGGAGTTGGGGACCATGTGTAAGGTGTCAAAGTTTGCAGATGACACTAAGATGAGTGGCAGAGCAAAGTGTGCAGAGGACTGTGAAACTTTGCACAGGAACATAGATACATTGAGTGAGTGGGCAAAGGTCTGGCAGATGGAATACAATGTAATTAAATGTGAAGTCATACATTTTGGTAGGAGTAATAGTAAAAAGGATTATTACTTGAATGGTAAAAAGTTGCAGCATGCTGCTATGCAGAGGGACCTGGGTGTCCTTGTGCATGAATCACAGAAGGTAGGTCTGCAGGTACAACAAGTAATTAGGAAGGCAAATGGAATTTTGTCCTTCATTGCTAAAGGGATTGAAATTAAAAGCAGAGAGGTTATGTTGCAGCTGTACAAGGTGCTGGTGAGGCCACACCTGGAGTACTGTGTGCAGTTTTGGTCTCCTTACTTGAGGAAGGATGTATTGGCACTGGAGGGGGTGCAAAGGAGATTCCGGAGTTGAGGGTGTTGGCTTATGAGGAGAGATTGAGTAGATTGGGATTATATTCATTGGAATTCAGAAGATTGAGGGGGGATCTTATAGAAACATATCAAATTATGAAGGGAATAGATAAGATGGAAGTATAGAGGATGTTTCCACTGGCAGGTGAAGCTAGGACAAGAGGGCATAGCCTCAAGATTAGAGGGAGCAGATTTAGGACTGAATTGAGAAGGAATTTCTTCCCCCAGAGGGTTGTTAATCTTTGGTACTCCTTGCCCAGTGAAGTAGTTGACGCTACTTCAGTAAACGTTTTTTAAAAAAAGGTAGATTTTTTTTGAACAATAAAGGAATTAAGGGATACGGTGAGAACGCGGGTAAGTGGATCTGAGTCCACGAAAAAATCAGCCATGATCTTATTGCATGGCGGAGCAGGCTCGAAGGGCCAGATGGCCTCCTCCTGCTCCTAGTTCTTATGTTCTTATGATCCCCAACACTTGCATCTCATGGACCTGTCAGAACAGAGGCGTTCCAGTGAATGGCGTGTAGGACCTCAGTTTAGGATGCTTTCAAAGTTGACTCACCTTCTTGATATCACTTTTCATACTTACTCTGTAACCATCTGTATGTCTTTGTCTAGTAATTAGGCAGTAGAACCTGGTGAATGTGTCTCATCTATTCCAAGCTGGTGCTACACAGACATCCAGCTGAAAAAATTAATGCGTTGTTCCCCACCACTCAAACATCTATATTTAAAACAAGCAATCAAGTTTACTAGTCAAGTAATGATTAACCACATGCATAAATGGCAATTGTAAACATGATGGTTGAAATGTCTTGAGTATTCCATTTACTTTGGACAGAAACAGCGGTGCTTATTTTCACTGAATTTGAGTCTTATCAGAACAGATTTCATTTCAGAGCTCCACCATTTTGCTCGTTTCTTTTTAAATTGGCCTGAACCTTAGTACAATTCCCTTTATTCAGAGAACTTTACAACTTGCAGAGTTTCACCATTTCCTAATTTGTGCTTTCTTAGTTTCTTCTTGCCTTGCTCTTGAGCTAATCTTGCCCATTAGACACACCTTGCTTCCCTGATCTTTTGCCTACCCAACTGTTGACTCTTGCTTGCTCTGCCCTCTGACCTGATGCTGTTAATAGTTTCCTGCCAAGGCCACTCCCCCCACTACCCATGCTCAAAAAAACCATCTTGACTATTCTCTTTCCCTGCAAACTACCACCCCATCTCCGACCTTCCAATCATCTCCAAAGCCTTTAAAGGGATTTTGGATTTGGGAGATAAAGTCCACCTTTTCACATTACATTTGAATCTTTTCAGTTAGTTTTTCAGTTCTGCTACAGTACTGTAACAGCCCCAATTAGAGACAAATTGCATTATTTGTGACCACGACTGTGATAAATTTGCCTCCTCATTTTTTGTGACTATTTGCATTTTTCCTGTAACCCTTCTGCTTTTCATCTGGCTCAGTAAAATTGACCATGCTTGGTTTCCTTTCGAATTGGATGCAGAAAATCAGTTATGGTGGTTTCTGGCTCATCTCTTGCAGTTCTGTTTGAAGTGCTCAGGACCTTTATGTTAATGCTACCTTTTGGTGATATAATCCAAAAACATATTAGCTCCTGTTTGTACGCTGACAACATGCAGTTCTGTATCTCACTACAATCTCTCTGGACCCCTCAACCATCACAGTATACATCTGACAATCAACACTGAATGATCAAATTTCCTCCAACTAAATTCTAGGAAAATCATCTCTTCTTTCTGATCACCATTTTCATCTCTTGAACTGAAGTTCAACTACACCATTCCCAAGGGCTTTTCCTTAGAAGGCACTTCTCCTTAGAAGGCACTTCCAGTCACAGATCTGCTCCATCTCCAATACCACGTATTCTTTTGCCATAATATTACTGTACTCATAACCTGCTTCAGCTGGATTTTACCAATGCCCTCCTGGCAGGGCATCCATTTTCCATTCTACATAAGTTGTTCTCATCCAAAACAATGCTCACCATACTTTAACTAGTACTAAATATCTTTCACCCATCACCACGTGCTTACTGGCCTTCATTGGATACTAGATCGTTGACACTTTAATGTTAAAACATTCAATCTTGATTTCAAATCCCTTCATGGCCTCACTCCTTCCATCTGTGCAACCTCGTCTAACCCTTTAAACCTTTAAGATCTCCACAATTCTCCAATTCTGGCCTCCTTCACAACACTGATTTTAATCATGACAATCGTAGCAGTTATACTTCCAGTCTTTAAACCTGCTGCTCCTTAAAATGTACCTCTTTGATCAAGCTTCAGGACATCTGTCCCTGTGCTTTAGGATCAAGACATGTGTAACTCATGGTCAAAAATGTTACGACTGATGTTGCTTACAAGCGTTTTGGGATGTTTGATGCTATATAGGAAGCAAGTTGTTTATTCCATTTCACTTTTAGAAATAATAATTCAAAGGGAACTTACAAGGCAATGATCTATAAATGCTGCTGCCTAAAAGTAGACATTGCATTGTTTACAAATTACTATTGTACAAATGATGCTCATAAATCAATGGAGACTAGAGAAACCCTGCATGTACATGTCACTTTGTTCCTGGAGTACAGCAGAACACAGTTAGCCAAATCATCTTTTTGGTAAATGTTAGTCTTACAGGGTACCTACAAAAGGAATTTGAGATGGCTACTATGAGAATCATGCAGCATTTTTTTTCTGCTTACGTTTGGATTGCACAGTGATAAAATTTATTAATAGTGGGTGAAACTCAGACTTCAACCTTTGCGAAATTTAAAACAAAGTACTGGAAATATTTTGGGTCAGGAAGAGCAGGAAACAGAGTTAACATTTCAGGTCAGTGACCTTTCATCAGAACAAATTAGTGAAATTTGTACTCAGCTGCATCACTATCATCATTCTGTTACAGCCAAAACAGAGTTCAATAATTTAACAAATAGTTAAAAAGTTGACCTGTCCTCTCCAATTCAATGTTAAGATCAACTAAAATGAAACTTCAAGAAAGGAACAGGGAAAGGATATGTTGTTTCAGATTAAACTTCTTTATTGGAACTGACAGTCGCCACAGTTCCAGAGAACCATGGTTGCTCACCATTAAAACTGGCGGTGAATTTAACCTGAGGGTCACCATGCCTCAATCATGGGAGCGAGATTGAGAAGGCAGGACTTGCATGGTGGCTTCACTCTGTGAGAATTGAATGTGTGATGTTGGTGGCACCCTGCATTGCGAACCAGCCAAATGAGCTAATGAACTGTGAACAGCCGAGTGGTAATAAAAAATATACTGTGCATGCTACAGATTGGAAAGTTTAAAAATAATGCGAGAGAAACTGAGCAGTTCTGGCAGCATCTGTGGAGAGAGAAACAGAGTTAAAGCTTCAAGTCCAATGACTTCTTCAGAACAGGAAAAACGTCAGAAACATTAACTCTGTCTCTTTCACCATTGTGCCTAAAGAGTTTCTCCAGGATGTTTTGAAAAAATAATTTCAGGTCTCTAGCATCCACAATATTTTGTTTCTATTTTAATGGTTTAGTAGTAGGTTCTTAGACTTAATGCCTGAAAACGTGGAAGATTCACCGTATTTAAATCCATATTGTTGTTTTAGAAGTGTTGTTATTAGTGTGAGAACTAATCTATGCCTTTAATTGTGAGTATTTCAAATGTGACATTAACCCTAGTTAATCTTTACGTTTAGTGAACATCAATATCTCAGAAGTTATCGATTCCAGCATTTTTTCATGAGAAGTTTATTTGTTGGGCTGGTAAAAGGAACTTTGCCATTTACTGTGCAACATACATGCAACTTTAAATTAAAAAAATTAAAAATTAATTAAAAAAAATCAACCTGTCCATATATGTTATTACACACCTTTGGAGCAGGTGGGACTTGAAACCGGGCCTCCCGGTAGAGAGGGAGGAACACTAACACTGTGCCAAAAGAACCAAACAATTTCTTTGTTTCTTTCTTAAAATTGAATTTTATTTTTATTTTTATTTGCAAGCAATTTTCTTTTTCATTTAACCTGTCTTCTAATCAACCTATTCAAAGATGTTATTACACATCTTTGCAGTAGGTGGGATTTGAACCTGGGTGTCTTGGTTTGGGGTAGGGACGCTACCTCTGAACCATAAGAGGCCCCTTACAACAATCTTAAATTCTACTTGATTTATTGTTTACAAGCAATTTTACACAAGCCCTAATTATCAGCTGCAGCTGGACAAGGTTAGTCTGTCTTTCAACACTGAATCAAATGCAGATTGATCTCAAGAAGGATCATGATTTAACTTTATTGGAAGTAATAGTGAACTAGAGCTTTAACACAACATTTAAATACATAACATATTACTGTGAAATACCGAATACAGGAACAAAATAAGAAAGTAAACCAAATGTACTCCATGCAGTCAGGTTAAATGACAATTCCAGTATTATTCCTCTGTACACGCGTACGTTAAAATCTTAAATCCAGAATGTTTCACACACAAAAAGAAGCAGTTGCTGCAGAACTGAGGCAAAAATAATTTCAACTGCTTTGGAAGAGTCAAAATGCAAATATAATATTTCTAAAATTACAGTTAAATATCAGCCTTGTTTTTGAGAAGATGAGTTTGGAACATTTTAGGGCACTGAATTAAGAAGATCTTTTAGGAAGTTGTCAGGATCTTCAACTTCTGTTAAGAGACCTAAAGAAAATGAACACAAAAGAATCACAGATTGAGTGGTCATTGTGGCATTTTGCTGAATAACACATAACATCTAAAAGTCATTAACTGTATTTAAAACAGCTGGAGATATATTTTGAGAAATGTGATCAACCAGATTTGCCTGAACACTAACTCAGTTGAGCCTGATTTTTTTAATTACAACACATTGTTGCAGAGATGTACCACCTTGCTAGAACACAGCATCCCATTCAAACTCTCAGCCAGTCAGATAATGTGAAAGCTTAAGATTCAAATTTACAATTGTCTGATGTCCATGATCCAGAAGAATAATGAAGATCAACTGAGGTTGTTGGTAACCAGTTGTGGAAACAAGTTCGAAGACAAATGTCTTTGAACGGCGAAACATTCAACTGCATAGTCTATCTCAAAGGCCCAGCGAATAGAGGAAATTTTAACTGCTTTACTGGTTTGGGACAAAGGTCAACAGTTGTTTTATACTGGGCCGGAGGAAGGAAATTAATGAACAGTATTCATTTAAATACTAACCTGCAACATCTAGAAATTCAGCAAATGACTCGGCAGGCATGAATTCATCCTGGAAAGTTTTGAGAGATCTGTCTGTTGCCTCATAGATCGGCATATCATTGTGTCGGATGTATTCAGCAAGAGAGTAGGACCAGCCACCCTCTGTGTTACTTGTAGGAACTTTCTGTAATGGCAAAGTACAAAAAGAAAAGTCACAACTGCACAATGCAGTAGGCATGAATAATGTGCCTTGTTTATGAAAGTGAATACACCAATCCTACAGTTTATAGAGGGGGAGAAAGCAGCATTAGATGCAAAACGAATCAGCATATGGAGAGAGTGATGCAACATAACTCAGAGAGCAATTCATTCCAATCTCTATCATTTAATCAAACGACACATTACATAACATACACCTTTCTGATTGGACATCCAGTTTGAAGATAAAACTTTGAAACTAATTATGATATAATTTCGATTTGTGTTATAAAATTTTGTAACAGGAAACTGATTATTTAAATTATCCTGATACAGTTACAAGGAGTCACTGCGCTCCTTCAGAGCATATTTGAGATCAATTTATGCAGAACACATCAGTTATTGTCGTGTTGCGCTACCCCACCACCACAACCCCACATAAAACGAGAATACACACACACTACCTTAAATATTCCATACATAAGATCCACTAATCCCCAGCAGAGCAGCACAGGGCGGTACACAACGTATTCCTTCACAGATTTGTCAGACAGTCTAAAAGTCAAAACATTTCAAAATATGTAAAAATCTAAAACACCAATTTTTAATACTTAGGAAAAAGAGTAGAATGGCTATCAACATACTGTTTAACAGAAGTACATGTAGTTTTCCTTTGTATATGTTCAATCACCACACACTATAAGTTACCGTAAATAACACAGGAAAAAAACACCAATAGCAGCGTCTATTTTGGTGCATTCATATAGGTAGCAATCTGGAGATCTTTCCCCACGCTACTCTGTTGATTTCCACCAGACCGTCATGACATTGCTCTGGGAAATTAGTAGTTACAATCAAATAATAAAGAGAACATAGACTTATTATTGTAATTAAACTACGTGAGAATTAAACTCTGTTAGCATTCTTGCTCTTGAATTGAAGTCCATAGGGTCGAAGCCTCAATCCAAGATTTCAGCAGATAAAAAAGCTGTTACATAAACAGAAGAATCCTTGAGTTTGATGGCTATATGAATAGACACTGAATACGAAAAACAAGGAAGTTATAAGGGCTTCAGTTCTGTGGAGACACAAAAAGAAAGCCAAGATGAGGAGAAACATCATCGTTCAGAGGTTTGAATGTCTTTCGTACTCCTTGCCACTGAAAGCTGTTGGGGCAGAGTCCTTGTATATATTTTAGACTGGCTGGGACAGGTGACTCCTTTACTGATCAAGAATCTAAGAGTTCTGGGGAAAAGGAAACAAAGTGGAAGTGAGAAATGTTGGAGCAGCCATAATCCTATTGACTAGCAGAACAGGCTCGAGGGGCTGAATGGCCCATTCCTGTTCTTATTTTTTTCTATGACAGAGAAAGTTAATGAGATTTAATAAAGGCTTTCAAAATGATGAACGATTTAGGTCTTTTTCCCTAACAATTTCCAGCAAAAGGTGCATCAGTAACCAGAGGGGGCAGATTCAAGGTAATGGTTAAATAATTTCAAGGGGGCCATAGAGGTTTTTCACACTGAGTTACGGTCATCTGGAATGCTCTGCATGAAACGATAGTGGAAGCAAATTACATGGAATGCATCAGGGTTAAACAGATTTTCATTTCGAAAAGCATAAGCTTAGGAGAGCTATAAGGGGGCATGAGAAAACCTTGGCAGATAGGATCAAGGAAAACTCCAAGGCTTTTTACACGTATATGAGGAATAAGAGAATGACCAGAGAAAGGGTAGGGCCGATCAAAGATTGTAAAGGGAATTTGTGCACGGAGCCTAAAGAGATAGGAGAGGTCATTAATGAATACTTTTCCTCGGTATTCACAACTGAGAGGGACCTAGTTGTAGAGGACAGTGTGAAACAGGCTAGTAGGCTAGAGGAAGTCTATGTTAGTAAGGAAGATATACCAGGAATTTTGAGGAACTTGAAGATACATAAGTCCCCCGGGCCTGATGGGATTTATCCAAGGATTCTATGGAAAGCGAGGGAAGAGATCGCAGGGCCTTTGGCGATGATCTTTTCGTCCTCACTGTCCACGGGTATAGTGCCGAAAGATTAGAGAGGCGCAAACGTCATTCCCTTGCTCAAAAAAGGGAATAGGAATAACTCCAGAAATTACAGGCCAGTTAGTCTTATTGGAAAGGGGTCTGAGAGATAGGATTTATGTTCACTTGGATAGGCACAGTTTGATTCAAGATAGTCAGCATGGATTTGTGAGGGGTAGATCATGCCTCAAAAACCTTATTGAAGACACGTGGATGAAGGTAGAGCAGTGGATGTAGGTAGAGCAGTGGATGTGGTATACATGGATTTAAATAAGGCATCTGATAAGGTTCCCCATGGTAGGCTCATGCAGAAAGTAAGGAGGCATGGGATAGGGGAAATGTAGTGGATTGGATTCAGAATTGGCTGACCCTTAGAAGACAAAGGGTGGTAGTGGATGGAAGATATTCAACATGGTGCTCAGTTACGAGTGATGTAGCACAAGGATCTGTTCTGGGTCCTCTTCTATTTGTGATTTTTGTAAACGATTTGGATGTAGGAGTGGAAGGGTGGATTAGTAAGTTCGCGGACGATACGAAGGTGGGTCGAGTTGAGGGCTGTTCTAGGTTACAATAGGACATTGATAGGATGCAGAGCTGGGCTGAGAAGTGGCAGATGGAGGTTAACCCTGAAAAGTGTGAGGTCATTCATTTTGGAAGGACAAACTTGAAAGCAGAATACAGGGTTAACGGAAAGATTCTTGGCAGTGTGGCAGAGCAGAGGAATCTTGGGGTTCATGTCCACAGTTCCCTGAAAGCTGCCACCCAGGTGGATAGAGTTGTGAAGAAGGCGTGTTGTGTGTTAGCTTTCATTAATAGAGGGATTGAGTTCAAGAGTCGTGAAGTTATGCTCTAGATATATAAAAGCCTGGTTCGGCCACATCCGGAGTATTGCATCCAGCTCTGATCGCCTCATTACAGGAAAGCTGTGGAAGCATTGGAAAAGGTGCAGAGATTTACCAGGATGTTGCCTGGAATGGAGGGAAGGTCTTACAAGGAAAGGCTGAGAGCGCTAGGGCTTTTCTCTTTAGAATGACTAAGGATGAGAAGTGACTTGATACAGGTGTACAAAATGATCAGAGGTATAGATAGAGTGGACAGCCAGAGACTTTTTCCTAGGGTGGAGGTAGCTATTACGAGGGGGCATAGTTTTAAAGTGAGTGGAGGTAGATATAGGGGAGATATCAGAGGTAGGTTCTTTACTCATTGAGAGTGGTAGGGGTATGGAATGCATTGCCGGAGAGGATAGTGGAGTTGGCTTCATTAGGGGCATTTAAGGGGCTATTAGATGGGCATATGGATGATAAGGTAGGGATGGAGGTTAGATAGACCTGAGGCTTAGGGCAAAAGTTCGGCACAACATCGTAGGCTGAAGGGCCTGTACTGTGCTGTTCTAATTAAAGGGTGCCCCCAGCATTTTGTTAAAGGTAATTGATGTCTGACTAACTAGGTCGAATTCTTTGGAGATAACAGAAGGTTGATCTAGATATCTGGAGCAGACATTGTCCAATGGACTTCCAAAAAGTATTTGACAAAATGCAACGGGAAGGATGATTAAGATCATGGCAGCTCATGCTATTAAGGGGAAAGTGGCAATGTGGATATGAACGACAGTGATAGGAAGCTTTGGGTGCACAAATAGTTAAGACTGGGACACGATTTTCAGCATTGATCTTGCATCTAATACATTATCTGTGTCTCTATAGGGGCAGGACAAAGTTAGTTAACAGTATCAGTTACTTGGAATTATAAATACAGGAATAGAGTATAAAAACAGATCAAGCTAGAATTTTAGAAATATGTGGAATATTGTAGATAATTTTAGGACCACACTTTAGGAAAAATGTGAAAATTTCAGCAAGGGTACCCTGAAGGTTTACCAGAAGTGAAAGGTTTGACTTATGAAGGGAGGTTGGACAATCTCCTATGTTTCAAGGAGAATTAAGAGTTGGATTTAAAAATTTCTGCTACGTCATGGTAGTTTTGATAAATTCCATATCCTCTACTGAGTGGGGCAACAAATAGAGGTACTAGATCTAAAATCATTGGGACAGATCTAGATAGAAGTTGAAAATTACTTTCCAAAGAGATGTGGGGATCTGAAACGCTTTACCTAAAAAGTATGTGAAAGATGATTCTTTAAATCAATTTAAAAAGGGATTGTAGACAGGTCCTGAAGGATGAGGAACTCAGTGATGTGAACAAAACTTGCAGCATGGTACAAAGTACTACAATTCTTTCAAACAGCCAGTATAAATGGTCAAAAGGATACCTCCTGTGCTCAAAGTTCCTATGATAATATGATTTCAACATGTATAGATACTAAACAGTAAAGGACCAGAGGATACAAACAAAATTTTTGTGTGAACTAAGTTTAATTTTTAGAAATTATTTGTTTGAAATAAATTTACTCAGCAAAGTAATAAAATGGAAGATACTTGTACCATTCAAAATATAAAATTTGGTTCAATGACAAGAGTAACCAAGAAATTGACTTGGGTGGGACAATTCATTTGCTAGAAGAAGAGCTTTAAAGGGTGAATTTTTTTTTTTATTAAAAACTAGGAAAATGGCTTTGATGGGAAAGTTAAGCAGAAACAGGCTTTAAAAGTACCCAATCTTCTTATTGGTCCAATACTGCACTGAATTCCACTGAGCTAAATATTACACAGGATATGCTCAAATGTAACTAAGTTGAAAAGCATTCTCTGTTAGACTGGAGAAAGACACAGATATTTGTGATATGTGAAAAACAAAGTCACTGTGATCCAAATTAGCCTGCTAACCTTAGACCAACGATCATTTTGCATTTAAGGAAATAGTACCCGAATCTTGTTGTATTTCAAGGTATGATATTGATTCCTAAGTTTAGGTGGAGATTGAATGAAAGAAGAAGATATCATTTTTAGATTATAACAAGTTGGCACGGAGAAGTACTCTCATCACATTTTCCTGATCGATTTAATGTCAATAGTAAATATTTTCATATTAACATATTTGCTACTCATGAAAGTACTTAGTTTTCTGCCTCTGTTTATTTTCTTACTTGTTGCAGCCACTTGGTGATGCTTTCCTTGCTTGAGTTGTGACCAAGAGACGTTTTAGAAAATCAAGACGGGTCATTTTCCATTTCTCAGGGGGGAAAATGTGTAATGCCAGGACGGTAAAATAGTGTGCTCCATCAACCTCGTAAGCATTTTCAACCCATTTCTCTTTTGGCTGTTCCAGGAAACTCTGTAGGTTTTTCTCCTCTCGGGATGTTGCCCGGGTCCTATGGTATGATCGGATAATGTCAATTTACTTTCAGTATATTAAACAATCATAATTCAATTAAGAATTTACTGCACTTACGTATTAAGAACATAAAGGACTGTATGCATTATATACGGGATGAGATGGATGTTACTTTCTCTGCCTCCTCCACCAGTGTCAACACTAAATGATTGTTCCATTGCAAAACGTAGGAAGAGTAGCTTAATATCATGAATGTTCAGCTGGTAGGTGGGTTCACGTTGGCCTGTGCATTCTTGCAAGTACGTATTGTGCCTGAAATTAGAAACAAGCTCATTTATATACAACCAAAGTAGTTAGATCCCACAGCAAACATCTGAATGCAGTTCTGAATTTCACACACAGAAATAAGCTTTTTGCCACAGTCTGCATGATTTTGATTCATGGGCATTTGTCTAATCCCAATATCCTGTTCACTCAGACAGTAGGAACTGCAGATGCTGGAGAATCTGCGATAACAAGGTGTAGAGCTGGATGAACACAGCAGGGCAAGCAGCATCAGAGGAGCAGGAAGGCTGACGTTTCAGGCCTAGACCCTTCTTCAGAAAATCGTAAGTATAATTATCCTGTTCACTCTTCATGCTTTTAATACTCCAAGCGCCAGCTTCACCCAACAGTAACCTTTTAACTTGGTCATGAGTACTAAGTGATTATATCTCAGTCCATGGACATAATACAGGTTGACACGTTGGTGTCGTACTCTTAAAAGTACTGCATTTGTTACAGGTTCTGTTTTTCTGATGCAATTTTAGACAGAACTCCACTGACCAATTCAGGTAAATGGACTTATTATTCACATTATTTGAAGACAAAAGTAGTTCTCCAAATGATTATCCCTCAGTCATCACATTGCCAGATTAAGTAGGAACATGTCTCATTGCTGTTTGGAAATTGGTGACCTTTTCTTTGCCTACAAAACAATGATTGTTTCAAAAGTATTTGATTGGTTGTGAAGCTCCTTGAGGCATACTGAGATTGTGAAAGATGCTTAATAAAAACAAGTTGCTTCTTCTCCAACACTTTAAAAAAAGTTAGTTAGTTGCATCATGAACGCTACTTCAAATGAGGATTTCAATCAGGAAATCTCACATTTGGCTATCTAATGGCTCACCTTTACTCTATTTCATTTTGTTATTTTAACTTCATACTCCCTTTTTACCTTCCCTCCAAACATTGCAAATAGTCTATTGCTATGATCATAGCAAAACACTTAAAACGACATCATTTCAACCAACTTTTCAAAGCTGTCTTTAGAATCTTAACTCTGCACCCTGGCAACACCCAGGGAATCCAAGCTGCAAATCTCTTTGCTTTTATCTTTTCTGTAATGAAATTCCCTAAAATTCCAATCAAAGTCTTTACAAGTTTAACTTTAGCTCCTTGCATTTATAATCTCTGCTCCATGAAACTAAGGATTTCAATTACCTTTTTAAAATAACTGATGTACATATAACGCCACTTAATTATATTTTCTTTCCTTATTACATCGTGGAGTTGGTTAACTCAGTAGGCTGGACAGCTGGCTTAAGATGCAGAATGATGCTAACAGCATGGGTTCTATTCCACATTGGTTAAGATTATCATAAAGGACTCTCCTTCTCAACCTCTCCCTTCACTTGGGGTGTGGTGACCCTCAGGTTAAACTATCACAATTTGTCTCTCTCTAATGAGAGTGCAACCCAATGGTCCTCTGGCAACATTACCATCACCTTGCTTTGTTACATAATACATGACTGCACAATTTTTGTATTAAAAAGTGCATCTGCTGTTTGACTGCTCATCCTCCGATGTTGTTATATACTCCTGTGGTTTACACAATATTTGCTACATCTGCCCCCATATATTGAGACATTAGCAAATTTCATTCAGTTCCCAAGTTCTAAACTTTTTAAATTAATACTCATACCTTGCCAGACATGTGGCAAATGCTGATTCGGGTACTTGTGGGCCCCACACAGGTAGCAATCCATTACACTTGGTATTTGCATTTTGTAACGCAGCACTTTCCCATTCCTCCCGACCACGTGCCAGCCTAGAAATAACAACTCACTAAAATCAACCAGTTCATAGGCAGTAACCATAGGTAGCCTCATAATTTACTGAAATTAATATCAAGTTAGTACTACCCATTAGCAAAGCACAGTATTGAATTAAAAATACATGAACGATACATAAACAAGACTATCAATTTTGTATTGTAAAATTATATTGTAAAATGTAAAACACTCTTCAAAGCAATAGGAAAACCAGTCATTTAGTTTGTACTAGATTTTCCTGATTCAAAACCTGTAATTTACAAAAGAACCACAATTGTTCTCATGACTATACAAACAGTTATAATTGTCTTTATTTGCTACTTTTTGGGAAGTAGTTGGGCAATGGCTTTAAAGGAGGCAAACTCCACCTGATAATTAAAAACCTCTAATCCAACTTCAAATTACTTCTGAACCACGTCATGGAAGATGTTAGTAATTACATAAAATCAGAGAGTAGGGGAGATCCTTTCATGGAAGAAAGGATATTTATTTCAAAATAAAATCTGCACAAACATAATCATTAGAAAGGTTATAATATATAACTTCAGCAATGTATAGAATCAAAAACATGGTTGATTTACAAAAAGGATGAGCTGCAATCCAGTAAATGTCTTTACATGCCCTCCATGTTACTTTAGGAACATTTTTACATTCCTGCATTGATTATCTAAATGACATGAATCCAGGATGAATTAATTTGCTTCCTTACTTATTAATTTAAACTACAGAAAACAAGCCTTGATTGATTCATTGCTCCCCAGCCAATTAACCATTTAATTGCAATATTCAAATGATCAAGTGCCCCAGGTACAGGAACACAAGAGTCAACACACTTATTTTTAAAATCACAAGCACTTTTGGAATTTATATGATGTTGCTAAATTAGTTCGGTAATGTTGCTGTATCTATTACAGACTTGAAGGCTGAAGTTTCAAGTTCACACCAGGCCATTCGATTTGGCCCTTCCTCCAGAATAATAAAATATTTAACCAGTGTCCTGTTGAGCATCATTATGGACTTTGCTTCCAACGTTGGTGACTAGATATTCCATATCCTTGCAAGCCACTGTGTTAGAAAGTTACCCTGACTTGTTATTTTTGTTAATGACATTATGTTTATGCTCTCCAATGATCATTTCACTCCTCATTTGGAAAGCTTTCCTCAATTTATCACCAAATCTTACCAAGTTATCACCGAAAATAGTACAAAGGTAAGGGTTACTAGTACCTGACTGCAGCAAGGTGACAATCGTAGTGAACAATATTAAAATGCGAGACTGTGCTATATCCCTGCTGTTTTCGTGGTTTGTTCTCAAACTCTTCAATGGCAACTCGTTTTGTGAAGGTATAAATTCCTAACACTTTGGTTGGCTGTAACAGAGATGAGTAAGTGTTATACTACATGAACAGTCGCTTGGTAGTACAGAACTTGCGTACAGAACTAAGGCAATAAAAGAAAGATACATTTTGTCAAAGCTTTTCACTTAGGACAATTCACGGTGTGTGTACACTCTCCCTGTTTAAGTTAACAAAATAGGCAACAGTGCCATTCTCTGACTCATATCTCATAATAATGCCTTGACCAGAGACAACCTGCCTGGTTTAACATTTAAACGAAAACTTGGCAGTTAACTGCCAGTATCACACTCCTCTCAAAGTATACATGTTGTTTTCTCTCTGCAGTGGTATTCAGTGCAAATTGCCCTGATGAGTGCATCACAAAAAGCTTTAACAAAATGTGCTTTTTTCAGCAATACTTAGGAATAATTCTGCCATGAGTGCTAGAAGCAGGCATTTACATCACGAGACTGTATAGAAACTGCATTTCTTCTGGGCAAACTAGACATACCTGAAATTTATAACCCTCACGACAAATGCAGCAAGTCAAACCTGGTTCCTCAATAAGTTCCTCCATCTGCTTCAGTAACGTTGTTGTGGTGACCACCTGACCTTTCTCATTAGTCTGTTGAAAAAGAATATGCACGATATTAAGGAAAAGACTTTGGCTTGTCCACAAACCTGATAGTCATAAATCACTTTTAATGTCCTGCAATTGGCAGCATGCCAATTATATTAAAGCAGTTCAGGGCTCTTCTTTTAACTGTTTTATTTTCACATGAAAATGTGCAATGGAGTAGTCTTCAAGTTCCAGTACTGTTTTTCCTGGGATTCAATTTAAACATGTATTCTTGGTTGAAAGAAAATAAATCTAATAATTACGACATTTTATCAAGTAATTATTCTGGAATTCTTTTTATCCCACCTTGCAAAGTGAACATTTCTAAATATTACCACAAATGGAGCGAATGTCACACTTTGGTTACATGTGCTGTCCCAACAGAAATAATCCACTTCCCAATTACCATCTCCCAATCTTCAAGTCAGAGTGGATGAAACGTAAACCGAAAGAATTCACGCCACTTGACGGTGTCTGCTAACCTGATCATACCAGCTGTAAGACCACGTTCAATAGAACTCTGAAGGTGCTAAATGAGGTCATTAGTCATGCAACATTTGGGCTGCAGAACTTGCAAGTCTGGAAACCAAGTGAATCCAATAACTATCTGTTGTATAAACGTCAGCAATATGCGTGAATACAGATGGCTGTATTTTGACAAAAGGTTAAGTTGAGAACAACAATGCTAGTGCGGATCACCTGGCATAGACCTAGGCACCAGAAACAGCCCTGTCGACCCTGCAAAGACCTCCTCCCTGACATCTGGGGGTTAGTGCCAAAATTGGGAGAGCTGTCTCACAGACGAGTTGAGCAACAGCCCAACATAGTCATACTCACAGAATCATACCTTACAGACAATGTCCCAGACACCACCATCACCATCCCTGGAGATGTCCTGGCAGGACAGACCAACCAGAGGTGGTGGCACAGTGGTATATAGTCAGGAAGGAGTTGCTCTAGGAGTCCTCAACATTGACTCTGGGCGCCACGAAGTTTCATGGCTTCAGGTTAGACATGGACAAGGAAACCTCCTACTGATTACCACATACAGTCCTCCCTCAGCTGAGGAAACAGTACTCCTCCATTTTGAACAACACTTGGAAGAAGCACTGAGGATGGCAAGGGCACAAAATGTATTCTGGATGGGAGATTTCAATGTCCACCACCAAGAGTGGCTCGGCAGCAATTCTACTGATCGAGCTGGTCGGGTCCTAAAGGACATAGCTGCTAGACTGTGTCTGCAGCAGGTGGTGAGGGAATGAACAGAGGGAACAACATACTTGACCTCATCCTTACTAATCTGCCAGCTGCAATTGCATCTGTCCATGACAGTATTGGTAACAGTGACATTGCACAGTCCTTGTGGAGACAAAGTCCCACCTTCACATTGAGAATAAGCTCCATCATGTTGTGTGGTACTATCATTGTGCTAAATGGGACAGACTTTGCATAAATCTAGCAACTCGAGACTGGGCATCCATGAGGCACTGTGGGCCATCAACAGCAGCATTGTACTCCAACACAATCTGTAATCTCATGACCTGGCATATTCCCCCGCTCAACCACTACCATCAAGCCAGGGGATCAACCTTGGTTCAATGGAGAATGCAGGAGGACATGCCAGGAGCAACACCAGGCATACCTGAAGATGAGGTGTCAACCTGGTGAAGCCACCAAACAGGACTACTTGCACGCCAAACAGCATAAGCAGCAAGCGATAGACACAGATAAGCGATCCCACAACTAACGGATCAGATCTAAGCTCTGCAGTCCTACCACAGCCAGTAGTGAATGGTGGTGGATAATTAAACAATTCACCGAAGGAGGAGGCTCCACAAATATCCCCATCCTCAATGATAGAAGAGCCCAGCGCATCAGTGCAAAAGATAAGGCTGAAGAATTCACAGCAATCTTCTGCCAGAAGTGCTGAGTGGGTGATCCACCTCGGCCTCCTCCAGTGGTCCCCAGCATTACAGATACCAGTCTTCAGCCAATTCGATTCACTCCACGTGATATCAAGAAACGATTGGAGACACTGGATACTGCAAAGGCTACAGGCCCCGACGACACTCCGGCAATAGCACTGAAGACTTGTGCTCCAGAACTTGCCGCTTCCCTACCCAAACTGTTCCAGCACAGTTACAACACTTGTATCTACCCCACAATGTGGAAAATTGCCCAAGTATGTCCTGTACACAAAAAGCAGGACAAATTCAACCCGGCCAATTACCGCCCCATCAGTTTCCTCTCGATCAGTATAGTGATGGAAGGTGTCATTAACAGTGCTGTCAAGCAGTACCTGCTCAGAAATAACCTGATCAGTGATGCCCAGTTTGGGTTCTGCCAGGGCCACTCAACTCCTGATCTCATTACAGCCTTGGTTCAAGCATGGACAAAAGAGCTGAATTCCAGAGGTGAGGCAAGAGTGACAGCCCTTGACATCAAGGCTGCGTTTGACTGTGTGGCATCAAGGAGCCCTGACAAAACTGGAATCAATGGATACTGGGGGCAAATTCTCCGGTGGTTGGAGTCATACCTGACACATAGGAAGATGGTTGTGGTTGCTGGAGGTCAATCACCTCAGCTCCAGGACATCTCCACACGAGTTCCTCAAGGTAGTGTCCTTGGCCCAACCACCTTCAGCTGCTTCATCAATGACCTTCCCCCCCCCCCATCATAAGGTCAGAAGTGGTGATGTTCACTGATGATTGCACAATGTTCAGCACCGTTCGTGACTCATCAGATACTGAAGCAGTCCATGTTCTAATGCAACAAGATCTGGACAATATCCAGGCTTGGGCTGACAAGTGACAAGTGGCAAGTGACATTCGCCCCACACAAATGCCATGCTATGACCATCACCAATAAGAGACAATCTAACCACCATCCCTTGACATTCAATGGTGTTACCATCACTGAATCCACCACTATCAACATCCTAGTGGTTATCATTGATCAGAAACTCAATTGGACTTGCCACATAAACAGTGGCTACAAGAGCAGGCCAGAAGCTAGGAATACTGCGGCGAGTAACTCAGCTCTGGACTCCTCAAAGCCTGTCCGCCATCTACAAGGCGCAGGTCAGGAGTGTGATGGAATACTCCCCACTTGCCTGGATGCGTACAGCCCCAGCAACTTTCAAGAAGCTTGACACCATCCAGAAAAAAAGCAGTCCACTTGATTGGTACTACATTAACATGCATTCACTCCCTCCACCACCGACATTCAGTAGCAGCAGTGTGTACTATCTATAAGATGTATGGCATAAATTCACCAAAGATCCTCAAACAGTGCCTTCCAAACCCATGACACTTCCATCTAGAATGACAAGGGCATCAGACATATGGGAACCCCACCACCTTCAAATTCCCCTCCAAGTCACTCACCATCCTAACTTGGAAGTATATTGCTGTTCCTTCACTGTCGCTGGGTCAAAATCCTGGAATTCCCTCCCTAATAGCATTGTGGGTCAACCCACAGCAGGTGGACTGCAGCAGTTCAAGAAGGCAGCTCACTACCACCTTCTCAAGGGCAACTAGGGATGGGCTAGAAATGTTGGCCAGCCAGCGACACCCACATCCCACAAATGAATAGAAAATAAAGAGATCATATTTACATACTTGCCTTGGATTAATGTGAAGTTACATTGGTTTTCTTGGTTGTTCATCTATTTGTTCATCTAATAATCTACTAATTTCAAGTTATATTAATGCCAAAGGAGGAAGCTCACAGTTTGCTCAAAGTATTCAGCTCACAGATCATAAATACTTCAAACCATAATGGCCCAAGTCATTTTTTTCAACATTTAATAAATGAACGTTTAGCTAACATTTCTAAAACTAACAGTGTGAACATCACATATGGCAGGACAACTCCAAGGATGGTGAGAGAAACAGGGAACACACAGTGGAGGCCCTACATGTGTTTGAGTGTCAAGGCTACAGTGTGCACATATCCAGTTAATTTACAGTATGGCAGGGGAAATTTTGGATTCAATGAAAAAGTGATTGGGAGCAACCAAAATAGATTTCAGAAAGCAGGATGTGTTTGGCAAAGCTGAATGAATGTTGTGACCAGGTGGCAGATTTAGATTGGGAAATGCACTCGGTGTGACGTTCTGGGCTTCCAAGAAGTTGTTAACCATACACCAGGTAGGACCAAAATGACTGCAGTGGTACAGCACCTTTTTGACCTCAAGATATCCCAAAGCACTTTACAGCTAATTTTTTTTCATGTGGGAAAATCAGTACTGAGCGATAAATACAGGCCAGAACACCAGAACTCCTCAAAGGTGCCTCAAATAACGTCCTTGGCAAACATCAGAAATGATCTTGGTTTAACATTTCTATTGAAAAATAGCAACTCCAACAGTGCATTGGGTTGTCAATATTGATCGCATTTAGGTTCCATATTGAATTAAAGAATCAAAGGAAACTGTAAATGAATTTTGACAGGTTGACAAAAATGAGAAAAAAGCAGCAGTTGGAGTTCAGTTTCACACATTTGTATACTCAAACTGCCTATTATGAGGATTTGCAACCAACATTAGTGATTGAGACAGAGATCATGTAAAAATTCAAGTACAGTTTAGAAAGACAAGTTAAATCAAGGGAAGCAATATGGAAACAGAGTGAGTAAAAGGGATGGGAGCTATAATTATAGTGCAATTACAAGATGGAAACAGGCCATCTTGATATTTACATAAGCTGCCGTCCCAGCCCACATTTACACCCTGTTTTTGTGTACTTTATTTTCAACATATTCCATGTTTACCGTCATTCCAAGTGTGCCCAATGCTTTTTGCCGCATAGCCATTGCCATCCGTTTCTTTTCTGCTCGGGTCTCTTTTCGGGCTGCTTCAATTTTCCTGTTGACTTCTGGATGTTCTCGCAGTGCCTCCAGTAAGTTTTCTGCAAGCGTCCCAATGCCTTCATCACTGGAAACCTGCTCCAGTTTATGTAAGTTTGTGATGGAGTCTGTTCCAATTAACATCTGATAATATAACGTACAAAGGAAAAATTACTCCAAAATGCCACCAGGTATTTTAACAGCCCGGACTCTAGTGTTTGCAATAAAACAGATGTCGTTATTAACATAACAGGACTGAAATTTTTTTTCACTAATCAGGCATCTTCACCTATTACCCAGCATTTCCTAACAAGTTACAGTAATCATTTACAGTTACACTACCAGCCGGAATTCCACTCGAAATAAAGATCACCCTGAGGAATTTCCACCTCTCAAACCTTATAGGGACCATTCTAATGGTGCATAAAATTAATCAGATCCAACTAAAAGCATTCTGTGTGAAGCACATCTGAAATGGTTTGGTGTTGTGAATATGGTAGTGGAGAGTTTATGGGGCTCTTGTGGTGCAGTAATAGTGTCTCCACCTCAGAACTGAGGCACAGGTTCAAGTGACATCTGCTCTGAAGGTGTATTAGAACATGCCTAAACAGGCTGGTCAAAAATAATCTAGTGGAGATGTTATGATAAATAATGAGCGTGCAAATTCCAGCAACACAAGTGGAAACTGATTTTTTATTGCATGAAGTCACAAAATACTCAGCTGCTGGATTTAGTAATACCTCAACACATTTAGGGGAGTGAACGTGTTTCAGAATTAACCTTTTAAGCTCATTAAATATCTCACTCACTTTCTAGGTCTCAAAGCCCTAGGATTTTTCAAACGTCTTCATCGGATACTGGGATTACCCTTGGAACTACCTTGCTTTCAGGGCTCACTTATTTCCTGTGTAACCAGAATGAAATGCAATATTCAAACTGAGATTTGACCAGTACATCACATAACTTCAGTGTGGGCATATCTGACTTCTAGTCTACTCTATTATTATGGATATAGTGATCATAGCCCTAGTTTGGTAATGTAGATGTTTGGCTCACATCTAACCATGGGAGTTATGATAATATGATCCATAAATCTGTTCTAAAACGGACAGTTAACATTTTCACATTGTACATTCCATTTCCCAGATCTTTGCCACTGATTTGACCTATTGATATTATTTTGTAGCTTAAGTCCTCTTCACAATTTACTTTCTTACTTATCCTTATGTCATCAGCAAATTTGGAAATCATGCTTCTCATTTCAGTCATTTATGGAAATTGAAAACACTTGAGGTCTGAGCACTGATCAATGTAGCATACCACTCTTTACATTTTGCCGATGTGAAAAAGGCCTATTAATGCCTCTCTGCTTGCTAGCCAGCCAATTTTCTATCCATGGTAACATGCTACGCTTACACCATGAAACCAAAGAACAGTACTGGATGAGAACAGGCCCTTTGGCTCACCAAGGCTTCAGTGGCTCACGAAGCCTTTCTAAACTGAAAATCTTTTGCCTCTACAGGGACCGTATATCCCTTTATTCCCTGCCTATTCATACATCTGTCAAGATTCCTACTAAACGTTTCTATTGTTTTCGCCTCCACCGGCATTGCATTCCGAGCACTTACCATCCTCTGTGTAAAAAAAAAAAAAAAAAAAAAACTTACTTCTCACATCTCCTTTAAACTCACCCTCTTTTACCTTAAACCTATGTCCCCTAGTAACTGACATTTCTAACCTGGTAAAAAGAATCCGAATAACTATACTATCCATGCCTCCCATAATTTTACAAACTTCTATCAGGTTTTACTTTCAGCAAATAACCTTTAATATGGCACTTTATCAAATACCTTCTGGAAATCTAACTATAGTACACCTACTGGTTCTCCATCCAACTAATGACTTATACAATTTCAGCATAACCACCTTGCACTTGCACCTAGTACCTAATCTCATGCTGCATCTGCCCTTGGGAATGTTTGATGGGACAGTATTTGGTAGAACAATGTAAGGGAAGTTTTATTCCGTATCCATGACAAAATGTGGCTGACATGAGTGTTCAGTGGAGAAATGACTCATTTTGGATGTTTATAGAAACTCTTGCAATCTGTTTTTCATCTTTCTGGCAAGCTTTCCTTTGTTATTAATTTTTTGGTCATTTGTTATTTTTATGTCTGACCAATTTCCTGCCCTGCCAACTGTCTTTTGCATAATTATATGCACAATGCTTGGCATACTGGTTAAGATGAACCCACTAATCAAGCCCTCAGGAAGTTCAATAGTATATTTTTCCATGTGTACTTGACACTTAACTATTAATACAAAGATATAAATTAGGAGCATGAACCAGCCAGCCTTTCAGCCCCTCAAGTTCGCTCCGATTGTGACTTTAACTTCACATTACTACCCACCCCTTTTACCCTTTGGTTCCCTTATTGGTCAAGGATCTATCCATTCCTGCCTTAAAAATGCACAATGATCCTGCCTTCACAGATCTTTGGAAAAGAAAGCTCTACAGATGCAGGATTCTCAATTTTAAAAAAAATCTCCTCACCAGTCTTAAGTGGGAGACCTCTTATTTTTAAAACCGCTTCCTCTAGTTCTAGTCTCTCTCACAAGGGGAAACATCCTTTCAATCTGTCAAGTCCCCCCAGGATATTTTGTGTTTCACCAAAATCACATTTAAAATTTAATGAGACACAGGCCCAACCTGTCAAACTTTTCCACATAAGAGAAAACCCTCATCCCTGGAGTCCTCTTTGTGAACATTCTTTGAACTACTTCTAACGCAATTTGTCCTTTACAAGGAGGCTAACATTGTATGCAGTATTCCAGATATAGTCTAATAAATGCTGTGCACAACTATTGTAAAATATCCCCTACTTTTATATTTCTTTTCCCTTGGAATAAACAACAAAATACAATTAGTCTTTGTAATCACTTGCTGTGTCTGCATATTAACTTCTTGCAATACTTGCACCAGGACAGCCAGGTCCCTGTGTATATCAGAGTTCTGCAATTTCTTTCTATTTAAATATACTGCTTTTTTATGTATCCTGCCAAAGTGGACAAGTTACATTTTCTCAAATTGACTCCATCTGGCACATGCTTGCCTATTCACTTAATTCATCCAAGTAGCTGATAGTAAATATAAATTCTTGAGGTTCCAGTACTGACTGCAGTGGTACTCCACTCATTACAGCTTGCTAACTTGAAAACGACCCATTTATGGCTACATTCTGCTTCCTGCTAGCTATCCACGTTCTGTATCTATCCTAATACGTTACACCCTACATCATGAGCTCATATTTTGTGTCATAAACTTTGATGTGGCACTTTGCTAAATACCTTCCAAGTGCAACCACCTCCATACGTTTCCCTTTATCCACATGAAGAACTTGAGTAAATTAGTTAAGTACGGCTTCTCTTCCATAAAACCACACTCATCTCTTTCAGTTGACCCATTAACCACCCGAAGTCCTGAGTATCATTTACTAATCTTGAGTGTAATGTTCATCCTGGAGATTTTTGAAAAAATGTAATGCTTTCTAGAATGAGAGATAAAATGCAATGTTTAGAGAGAAATTTTGATTGGTAAATATATCTGGTCAATACTTCCAGGAACAAAACTTTACTCAAGTAAACTACGATTGATGTACCCATAGTTTCAATCCATTGCATCCTTATTTGCTGTTACAATGCTAGAAATTCTTTGACAGCTGCATAGTGCTTCCTAACAATGTTAATTTCTAGCTCCCCTTTGGTGCTTTTTTTAGTATGGCATTTAAAGTTGCTGATTCAAAAGTCTTGCTTCATAAAATATTGTTGCAGAAGAACATATGAAAAAGGAGGAGTAATCCATTCAGTCCATGAGCCATTCCACCATTCAATGAGGTAAAACGTGATCTTCCACTTGCATTTTCCTGCACTATCCTGATCTCCCTCAAACTCTTTACCCTGTAGAAACCGATTGATCAGAGTCTTGATTGTGACAAATTGCGGCAGAGTGGGGGAAGGAGGGTGTGGGCTGGGCAATGTTGGTGGGGAGGTGGGGTTTGTTCAAGGCTTTAATAGTAAGGGCTACTTTTGTTTGGGATGTGGGGGTTGCACAAAGGTGACAAGGAACTAAGATGATGGAGGGGAGGGCCTGCCTTTTATATTCTTGACAGCAGTCAGATAACGAGGCATCGGATCACATGGGGGCTGCTGGGATGTTGCATTTAAATAGGGTCGCGGAAAGAAAGTTTAGAAGGGCGCAGCTGATGTTGTGGTAGGGATTCTGACTTGGCATAAAATTTCAGGGCGTACATGGGTGTGGGTACAGTGAAAGGGGTGGGTTTGTTCTTGTGGTGGTACGTTTAGCATTCTGAGAAGGTTCGTCCATCTTCAGTAGGTCAGGGAGTGCCACCATTTTGCAAAGGTTGGGCCATCTTGAGGTCAGGGAAGGATCATCTAACAGGGGCTGGGTCACCATTTTGTGAAGGTCATTGGTGCAGGTGGCCATTATTTTGTCCATTTTCAGTTGCTTAGTGGCAGAAAACAGAGGGTGGTGGTCGAAGGCTGTTTGTATGACTTGTGGCTGGTGTTCCACGGATCACAATGCTGGGTCTCTCAGTTTGTGATATTCATAAATGGTGTCTATGAGAACGCAAGAAAGGTGGGGTGAGAAAGACGCAATGATTGATCAGCAGGTTGAGTGAAGGCGAGGGTCTTAAGTTACAAGAAAATATAGATATGGACAAGTTGGTCAACTGGGCAGATGGAATTTAACCCTGATAAATGTGAGGTGACAAAGTTTGGAATAAGGCATCTTGGGATGCTTGTCCACAGATCCCGGAAAGTAGTCGGACAGGTTAATAGGGTAGTTAAGGTGGCATACAGGTTGCTTGCTTTTATCAGTCAAGGCATAAGTTATTAGAGCAGTACATAATTTTAGTTAGGCCACAGTTGGAGTAGTGTGTAGTTTTGGTCACCACAATACAGGAAGTGATTACACTGCAGGGGGCCCAGAGGAGATTCACCAGGATGTTGCCTGGGCATTTCAGCTGTGAAGAGAGGCTGGATAAACTCAGGTTGTTTACTCTGCAACAGAGAAGGTTGAGATGGGACCCAACAGAGATATATATGATTATGAGGGGCATGGACAGGGTGAACAGAAAACAACTGTTCCCCTTCGCTGAAGGGTCAAGAACAAGGGGGCACTTGTTTAGTGTGAAAAGCAGGTGGATTTGACAGGATATGAGAAAAATCATTTTCACTCAGTGTGGTGGGTGTCTGGAATGCACTGTCTGAGAAGACATTTGAGGCAGGTAACCTCAACCTTTAAAAAGTATTTGGATGAGCACTTGAAACATCATAACATTTAAAGACTATGGGCCCAGTGTGGGAAAGTGGGAGTAGTCTAGGTAGCAGTGCATTTTTGGCAGTGTTGACTCGATGGATCGAACGGCCTCTTTTGTACTGCACGATTTCATAATTTTTTTTATATAGAGGGTGGTAGGTGCCTGGAGCTCGCTGCCAGGGGAGATAGTGGAAGCAGGTACGATAGTGATTTTTAAAAGGTGCCTTGACAAATACATGAATAGGATGGGAATAGAGGGATACGGTCCCCAGAAGGGTAGGGGGTTTTAGTTGTGACGGGCAGCATGTCAGTGCAGGCTTGGAGGGCCGAAGGGCCTGTTCACGTGCTTTAATTTTCTTTGTTCTTCTTTGAAGATACTAAATGGCCGAGCTTGATCCCTCCCTGCATTCTTTACATCTCAAGAGAATATACCATCCAGTCCACTTAAACCTTTCTTCATAGGATTATCCCCCTATCCCAGGAATTAGTTTGGTGAATGTTCACTGCTTGCCCTTTCGGGTCATACTTCCACAGGAATGGAGACCAAAACTGCACACACAGCTCTATATATTTTCAATGAGGCTGTATACAATTGCAATAAGATATGTTTACTCCTCTGTTCACATGTTCTTGTATGAAAAGTCAACATACTATTTGCTTTAATTGCTTGCTGAACCAACATGTTCATCTTTACTGACTTATGAAAATGTACATGTAAGATCCTCAACAGTTTGAAGCCTCCCAGCTTTTCAGTTTAATACTCTGCATTTATTTTTTTCTGAACTGAATAAACTTACATTTCTCTACATTATATTCCATTGAACAATTCTTTGTCCACTCACTTCTCGAAAGCCCTTGTAACACCTTTGTCTCCTCAAGTCTCACTTCCACCTAATCTTGTGTCAAATGCAAACTATGAAATATTACATTTAATCTCTGTATCCAACTCATTGAGCAGAATTGTGCATAGCTGGGGCACAAGCACTGATCCTTGTAGTAACCAATATTCACAGCTAAATAAAATGTGTTTAATTACTGGATATGAAATCAAATTAAAAAAAAAAAAAAAAAAAAAAAAAAAAAAAAACTTAGTCCAAACATTCAATCTGTTAGTTCCATGATCATCTTGAGCTGGCAGGAGGTGACAGAGGTCATTTGATCCAGACTTGAGCAGGCAAGAGGAAGCAGAGGACATTAAGCGCACTCTACTGCTACTCCCTCTCTCCAGCAGTTTATTCCATTGCACTTGTGCTCATTCTTTGAGGGCTATACTACAAAGTTGCCATCAACGCACAAAGATAACTTCTTGAATCTAGGCCAGTGTTTCCCAAACATTTTTCTGGTGTGACTCAATTTTCACGCCTTAGACTTGTGGCCTTGCTGAGTATTTGGGTGAGGTACAAGAGTTGTTGACTTGGGAGCATGGAGAACCTTTAGTTGTTGAGTGGAGTTTGGTAAGGAGTTTCAGGTGTTGCAACAAAGATGAAATGAATTGTGTGTTCTCCCCATCGCCACTCTCTTCACCAAACCCCATCTCTCCTCCTTTTACTATATTTCCATCTGACTTAACTTTAACCACATTTTCCATATCCAACGCAGCTTTGGAGACTACAACCCTGAAAATCATCTTTGGTGACCCCACGGAGTGCCACGATCTACAGTTTCATTAAGTCAAATGAGAACCTATTATCAAGGTCAAGTTTTCCACAAAAATGCTTGCCTGCTCTGCTTTCCAATAATGAAGTACAACAAACTAGGAGAACAGGAAATGTACAAAGACTAGGAAAAGTAATGACAGATTGAAAAGAAAGACAGAGAGAGAAAGAGAGAGAACAAAACTTACTTGTGTGGGAGGGTGCTGCATAGCCAGTCCACGTAGTAGGCGGAGAATAAAAGGAAGAGCTGGTTTTGATAAGAACTTCTTCCACACATCTGCATCAAGGCTGTAAGCAGTAAAAACATAAATGTTAAAACCAGAGTTTCAATCACCAATACAGTCATCAGCAACAAATGTGGTTCCAAATATTACTCATTGCTATGAGATAACAAGGTGTAGAGCTGGCTGAACACAACAGGCCAAGCAGGATCAGAGGAGCAGGAAGGCTGACGTTTCGGGCCTAGACGCTCCTTCAGAAAAAAAAAATTACGCATTGCTATGACTTGGGTTTTCTCCTCTCCTGGTATATACAAAGCCTCAGCTACCCTCCCATTAACACCTCTTTACCTAAACAATTTCCTGCTAAAGAAACAAAATTAAATACTTAGTGCTAGCAAAATGAATCTCACTTCTTGGCACTTGGGATGTGTTTCCGGATGTATTCTAAAGCATTTTGGGTTATTCCTTTCTGCAGGATAAGTTCCTTTAGCTGATGTCCATTGCTGTTGTTTTTGATTCCTGCAGCTATTTTACAGAAACAATCCAGGAAAACCTTATCATCAGTGTTATGCTCTTCATCATATCTAAGAACAGGACAACAAAGAGATAAGAAAGGATTAGAAAGATCATCAGTACACTAGCACAATGGAAAATTGGTAAGTGAGGGAAAGCAAGACCTTGCTGGATGCTATAAAGTTTTAGATGAATTTAAATGTGTAAGTTAAAGATTCAAACACATCAATACAAACAGTGGCTTCTTCTTTTGGTTCTAAACGAAAATGCATTGTAAAGTTGCATTGACTAGGCAAGTTAATGTTACCCCACCCCATAAAATTTTAAGTCGACTCTGAAGTATTTAGCTGTGTGAAAGGAATTTGGTGGAAGTGCTGGGCTCCAGAATGATCACATGCATATCATCAAACACAGGTTAGCAAATGTTTCTTACTTGTCAAAATTACAGTAGGGTTTGAATCGATCAACAAGAATCTGCATTTTCTCCAATTCCCCAAAGGACAAGTATGGGATAATACGTAGCAAACCCTGGAGAACACTGGGATTGGAACGGACAAATGTTGAATTGATCTGGTCCAACAGCATCACCAGCTGATCTTTGTCTCCTGTCAGCAGCAAGTTACCCTGGTGGCGAGAGAGATTTAGTGATACACTTTTGCAGCACATAAGAGAATTCTCTCTAACTACGGAGAAGATGTAATAGTCAGCTCTAACGATATACATTAATAAAAGCACAGAAACATCTCGTGTCCTTTGCCTTATGTTTCTGAATGGCTGGGATCATGAACTTTGAACTTAGATGGTTGAGTAAATTCTGTATAAGCTTTGTCTTTTATTTCATTTTCTCAGGAGTTTACTTTGGTTTGTTTTCTTCACTGGTTATGCTCTTCCTCTTGGTAATACCAATTGGTACAGCAGCATGATGTGCTGCATGAATGCGGATTCCTGTCTGCTCTAACCATTCTAGCTTCTTCCCTTGTTTGCCAGAGCTATTACTCAACTGTCCAAGTGGCATCCTTGTTGCCATGCCTCAATCCTCATTTATTGCCACTCATTAATTATGCTACTGTCCCTGAACTTATTGCTCAATGTCCTTCAATTTCATTACCAAGAATCCAATGGCTTGCTGTTACCTGAAGAATGGACAAGATCTTAGTTTGCACCTATATAAAACTTGCACGATCTCACCTGACACCTCTCGAGTACGTGCCTTCAGTCCTATATTTCTATTCACATCCTATGAATCTTTGTTCCTTGCTTTCCCATCCTCTCCAGTCAAACAATGCTAGCTGCTTTTTTAACTGCTTTATAAGCTTCCAATATTCCTTCGATTACCTCCTCTCTTCCTACGTTCAAAAGCTTCCAGAAGACCTTTTCCATCCACAAAAGCTGAAATGCTGATTTGAGAAGTACTAAAATATTCTAAATCTTTTCATCTAGATTGTTGCTTTTGTTTAATTTTTGCCTTTCATTCTTTCCATAAGTCATGCTAATGGCTCAGAAGACAAGTACACTATGGGTTCTGGTTGTAAGCCAAATAGAGCTCAAATGCTTGACTGATTGTTTTTAGTTTTATCACTGTTCTGCCTAACCTCCTATAATAAGCATACCAACAATCGATGGAACATATACTTAATGGTACTAGCACTTTGATACCTCAAATCATAGTTACTGGATCATGTCTCAATCATCAAGGTCAAAGTGGGGCTGCTTGCTGATGTCTTCACAATTATTCAGATAATGAAGCACTCCATGCCCAAACGCAACAAAACTTGGGCTGATAGGTGACGAGTAACATTGCACCATGCAAGCATCAGGACATGAACAACACCAGCAAAAGTTTAGCTTTGACATCGAATTTCAAACTTACTCAACATTAACAGCCTGGGTTCTAGGAACTCAACTGAAACTCCTGTAAGAAAGCTACAAAAACACTTAAGAGGTTGGGTATTCTGTAGAGAGTTACTTACCCTCCAAAGTCCCCAAATTCTCCCCAATATCTACTGGGATCAGGCCAGGTGTATCCCATTTTCTGGGATAACTGCACCTCTGCCAACACTCAAGAAGCCCCAGAGCAAAAAAAAAAATTAGCCCACCCACCTCTGGTGCATAACAGCTGCAATAAGTAATGCCCACAGGATACACTGCAATAACACACCAAAGTTTTGCTGGAAAAAGACACATTTTGTCAAAGAGTTTTGTTTAACACTCATCAGAACAATTTGCAAAAGCTACCAAATTAAAAGAAGAACAAGATTTATGTATAAGAGACGAATGCTGATTGATTGACAAGCGTGCTCTGATAGGTAGAGACATTGCCATGGAGAATGCACCTGATAATCATGACTAAACAAAGCAGGTTGCACGGAGAATGGCTGTTACCTATTTTGATGAATTGAAACATGTATATAGTGTGTGCACTGCTCTTTGTTTTCAAAGACCAGGGCTCTGTGTATTTACGTACGTAGCTTCCAGTAGATGCAAGTATGCCGCAAGTCCATTGACAATTATTCCCATACACAGGGTTATGTAGCAAATGTTGTGCAATTGCAGAATTACACTTAATTCTGGACAGTGTGTTGAGTTTTCAAACACAGGCTGGTCAAGTAGGGTCAGTAATTTGCTTGTAATAAGCAGCCAAAGGGATAGACCGTTTAATAGGTTTATTCATCAGAGTGGTGGATCCTATGTACCTGGCATTACACAGATACTGAAATTCACACACCACATTACTCACATGCGTGTTAGGCAGAGTGTCTGCTTAGTTTGGCCGCAGCATATTAGTGAGGAACACTACTCGTGTTGCTACTGCATAGAAGTAGCCAGCTTCATCTGTTGCACAAACATTTGACACATTACCCCTGGGTACTATGAGGTAGACTGGGAGCTTTCCAGGACTAAAAGCAATGTCCTTATGTCCATTCATGAATTTTCACAACTTACAACAAGAAACTAACTGAAGATGGCAAAGTTGGTTCTGCTATAACGCGATTTCATCAGTGCGCGGAGGAGTATGTGTTGACATCACATGATCATTTCTCGGGCTTTGTCGTGAATACGTACAATGTTAGCACTGAGAGAATCTCCGCGCCAGCATCACGTGATCATTTTGTGGGCTTTGTCATGAAGTGCTTTCCTGAGAGAGGTACAGTACAACCTCCTTCCCCATCAAGTCATCATGACATTTTTTCAAGGTAAAGTGTTAAATTTACTTTAATTCATAGCTAATAATAACATAAAACATTTATTCAAATTGTGCTATCCTTTGTGTTAAGCTTTTGAGTGATTTTTCAGTGTTTTTTTTTGGTGTTCTGCCCCTAACCCCGCTTTTCTCATAGGCACTGTTATTTCTATAGCGCAATTTTCTATAACATAACGTTGCACAGGAATGCAGCTATTGTGTTATAGCAGAACCAACTATACGAATAGGAAGGGTTTAGAAGAATATGGGCCAAATGCTGGCAAATGGGACTAGATTTATTTAGGATATCTGGTCGGCATGGACAAATTGGACCGAAGGGTCTGTTTCTGTGCTGTATATTTCTGACTCTCTTCTGACTCTATCTGATCAGAGTAACCATTAAGCTTCACATACTGCAATTATGCAGTAGCAACATGAATGACGTTTACCATTATCGTATTGCCGGCACCAGGCCAAAAGGATGTTCTAGCCATCATACAAATTAATAATGTGGTTGATGAATTTCAGTGTGGGTGCGATGAGGTGAGTAGATCAAACATTCCAAAGACCAGCAGATCACATCTAATAGCATATCCTTTCACTGTTCGCAACAATGTTTGATCCAATTCAACCACTCCCAACATTTGTAGGGCAATGCTTTAACTAATCAGGACCAATCCATTTTGTTTAAAATTCATACAATATTTGGCAGTAAATTCTTAGTCATCATTAGCTGGTAAAATCTCCATGGCAACAATTACAGTTCACTTGTCAGCCAATCAATATTTTCCTTTCATACAGTACAAATGTTGTTTTCCTTTTACTTTGGTACTTCTTGCAAATTGTCCCTATGACTGCAAGGTGAAAAGCTTCATCAAAATATGTCATAGTACTGAATTTGGGTATTGATGTACAATCAGATGTCTATTTGTCAAAGTTTCTTTAATTGCCTCCCAAACCCATAACTTTCATCACCTAGAAGGATAAAGGCTTTTGGAACACAATCACCTCCAAATAACCCCCACTCAGCATAGTGATTTGGACCTGTATTACACACATTCCATTTTGTTGTACTTATTCAAAATAGAGGAAATCCCTGCCTCACCACACTACAGGACCACCTTCATGAAACAGATTACACAAATTCAAAAAGGTAGTTTACCTTTCCAAGATGATTAGTGATGGCCAATACCAGCTTTAGCACTGACACCATACTCAAAGAAAGAATAAAAATGTAATACGCCTTTCTAAGGAATGTCCATACAATAGTCTAGGGCAATGTGAATTTTACATGTAGGAGAAGGATGGGAGGGAATACTAACAAAGTCCAACTACACTTTTCAACATGGCTCGCTGGAAAGCACTCCATGTTCTCCTTTATTTTTACTAAGGGTAATGACGCCAATTATAGTAACATTTCCGAGACTTGTGCTGAATAGTTTCTCTTTGCTGGCTGCTCAAACTTGCACAACATTTTTTAAAAAAGAGATTTCATTTCCTCTAGGTGCTGATTCCCACAGTAATGTTCCACATGTAATGATCACCACCAGCTCCATTCCAATATTCAACTTACAGAAAAATCTTTGGACCTTAAGCATTTAGCACAATACTCACTCTGTCCTCAGTCAGTGGTTCTGCATTTGCTTCATCTAGAACTATCTCCATGATGCTGAGCACTTGCTCAGCAATTGTTGCACCGCCACTGTCTTTACTCTCCTGTTCTGCCAGCAGCGCCTAAAATACAAACAAACAATGCCTTATTAAAGGCAAACTAGCGAAGTATTTCAGAAAATAAATTTGTATTTGCTGACTTATTTCTCATACTTCTATTAATCCAAATAATTATATTCTTACAGTAACTGCTGAATATTTATTCATGTTGAATAATTGACTGTACTTCATAAGCTTGAGTAGAAATAGCTTGGAACTCCATAACTATGGAGCGTCCCTCCCTTAAAGAAATATTTTGCTACGGATAGACAGACCAACTCAGCAGCAAGCTGCTGGACTTAGGCAGCACATCCCCAAACCTTTCCACTTGTTTGGGGAATTTCTGATGAACATCATTAAGTTATATTAATTCCACTTGAGGTCTAGAACTCACTAGGTTCAGTGTTCCCAGCATTACATTCAGCGGGTTCATCTCTGGTTTAATCAATTGTTGTCGATTCACCTTCACCTTTACGCAGTAACTGAACAGCTTCAGAAGCACCTATACAGAAAAGGAAAACAAACTAAGTCATACTTGACTATTATCAATCATGTAACCTGGCATTAAGCTGGTGGGCTTAGAGTCACAGTTCAAGTGATTCAGCAAATACTGCAGAAATCAAAAATAATTTACACACAGTCTTTTTCAAACGATACTTTGAATATTGTGGTGTCTGGATTCATTGTCAGGAAATCACATAATAGCAATCACATTTGGTCCTTCGATGACCTGCTCATATTTCAACTCTCAAAACCTCTCCGCTTTCTAAAGGGCTCAAGTCAGCAATGTGACAGGATACTTAGTATCAATCTGGTAAGGTAATTTGTACCATCATTTAATCATTCATGTCCTCCAGTCTTTCCTATCCTCACCATTCTTTTTCTCCGTTTTGTATTCACTTATAAACTGGGATAAGGTGCAATCACAATACTCAATATTGTACATAATTGACTACAAAGCCATCTACTTGATTTGAGCCCCTGTCTCTGAAACCAAATCTCTGCAGCCTATATTTGAAATGAGGTATTTACTATGTAAAAGGGTATATTACATCAACTTACCAAGATTACCGCAAACCCTGCTACCTCAATTAAGGAGGAAAGCAGAGATATCATGGGACCATCATCACCATGTTTCTTCAAGTGACACATCCAGAGTGTCAAAACATTGTAGGCAAAATATTTAGCACGTCCAAAGTCCCAAATCAAATATAATTGATCAATTAAAGTCAGTAAATTACTAACTCTACAAAAGGAAATTCCAGTTTCCCTTGATAAAATTTATCAGATAACATCTGAATAGATGAAATTTTAATGATAAAGATAAATTCAGGTTCCAGGTAGGGATAAATAGCAATTAACAGGATAATTATTTAAAATTCAGTATGAAACAAGGTACTAAGTGCTATGCCCCCAGTCTCTCTCTCACATCAAAAGTAATTCAAGATTTTGAATGAATATACGCCGAAACTTCACGTCCACCGTGAAGTATGGAAAGATGTATGTTATAGAACATGAAAGTAAATGAATTAGTAGACAACTTGGATAGATTTTTTCATTTGGTATTAACTTTCTATTTGGTCCTTCAGTCGCTGAGTGATTGTTGGGTTGTAAAGGGAGATCTAACACCATGCGAGGTGAAAGCCTCACAGAATGGTATATGTTTGATTCATAAATGGTTAGTCAGCGTGATCCCTCAAGCCCAGGATGCAATCACAAAGAATATTGTAGAACAGGGTCTTCTGGTTGTCTTTTGCTCGCCGAGCCGCTTGTTCCGTGGTATGCTGATGTTTCGTTACCATTCTAGGCAACGTCATCAGTGCAACCTCTAATCAAAGTGTTGGTGTTCTGCTCCGTTGCGAATTTATACAATCCTCTGGCACGGTGGGTCTTGTCACTACTGGTTCTGTTTTTCAGCAGTGGTCTGTATACGGGGTCTATTTCTATGTGTTTGTTAATGGAGTCCCATGTTGAGAACCAGGCCTCCAGAAATTCCCTTGCATGTCTGCCAGTCACAGCCTGGGGGAGATGCTTCTTTGAAAGGATACTGACTATACAATAGCATTGTCTATAGTGCTCTAGTGTTTTTGGTGCTATTTAAAAGCAGTTCTTGATTAGTCATGAAAGCTTAAACGTAAGAACTTTTACCACAGTTTCCATGAAAATAATGCTTAAATCTAGCTGGTCAATTTACATGAGTTCTAAGAAACATACCAGAATTTGCTGCTGCAATGAGGATGATATTTAATGTTGTTTATAAAGCATAGGTCCTGCCCAAAGCAAACATTATGTTATGCTTAAGTGACAAAGCAATCTAGGGATAGAGCCATAAGATGGCTAGTTAGTAAGTTAACTTCCAAAGGAACGTGCAAGAATAGCTTAGTGCTTTTCTGCTTCTGAACTCAAAAAAGGGGAAGAGGCTAAGATCTTATTAATGTTAGGATGTTTCTCAAAACCTAGGATTAAATCTAGGATTTAAAGTCAGATACTAAAGGACTGTAAAAACAACAGCAACATGCAACTTCTGCAAGAACATTCAAGAGCTACTGAGAAGGCAATGCCCAAGTTACAGGACTTCAATCCCAGCTGTGCCTGACACTCCCATCACAATCTGTTCTTACGCATGGTATGGAAGGAAAGTGCCATTCATACAATACTTTGATTCTTTACATCAAAATTAGGTGAAAGTGCCTGACACATAATTCATTAGAGATAACTGCTACTCGTACTATTATTGTGATAGTGCAAACACACCATTATAGCTTTCAGCATTCACAAGGTACATTCCCTCTCAACATTCCAATCCTCTGTTCCAATGCTTTAACAGTGGCTCCGCTTCAGAAAGTGCAAAATCTGGTGTTTCACTTCCAACCTTCCTTCTGTCTAGGGATCCAAACACTCGTACATGAAGAAATGATTTGTTTATATTTTTTCCATTCTGGCATCTTGTTTTGCCTGTTTATGATGTAGTCTTCTCTACACAGAGGAAACCAAATGCAAATTAAGTGACTAATTTGCTGAACACTGCCATTCAGCAAGCACGTGACCCTGAGAGCTTTTATGGTTACTTGCCACTTGAGTTTTCTATCTCAGTTTGCCTCTTGCACTGTCCAGTACAACTTGATGGAAACTTGAAGAACACCTCATTTTTCAATTCGGTACTCGGTAAACTTCTGGCCTCAGTATTGATGATCCAGCCTCTGGGATAACAGGTGCTGGCAATGATTCTGCTGAAACACTTTTATCCCCCTAATCCATCTTTATTTCTTTACTTGTCCCATTAAAATTTCTTTGTGCCTTACATCATCATTTAATCACTCCTGTCATCCACTCTTTACCAGAAAAAGGAATGGTGGAGCTAGGAATTGTGCTTGTTTACAAATTAATCTTTAAATTCATACATTACTGATCAAAAGTCATAAATTTGAGGATTTAACAGCTTTGCTCTTTACTGATGCCACCTGATCCTTTGAACTTTTCTTTTTAAAATCAGCTTTCTAACATCCAGAGTAGTTTACCTCTAGAAATAATCCAGACTGGATTAGTTGCTTCTGTTTGTGGAGATTAAGTATAACAAAGTATAACAAAGTATAACCAACCTGCAGCTTGCTCTTTTTCTCCCCGATATAGAGATAGTAACAGAAAGAGGCCATTTGGCTTTCTGGATCTCCACAGACTTTCTGAAAAACCTCATTATTCCACTTCTGTTGTTCTCTCTCCCATAGGCCTGTAATTTCCTCCCCTTCAACAATTTGTCCTGTTACCCTTTCAAGGTTATTACTACAACTGCATTCATCACCTTTTCAGATGATACATTCACAATTATAAATATCTCACCCTGTTACAAAAACAAAAACTTGCCTTTGGTCTGCTGTCAAATATCTCAAATTTGTATGCTTTAGTTACCAATCCTGAACACTCAGAATTGTTCTGACACAGAAAGAGGCCATTTGGTCCACCATGTCTCATTGGCTCTCCTGCCTTCTCCCCATAACACTGCTCATTGGTAATTTGAAAAGAAACATCGAAATTATCTTTTGAATACCTCGACTGGAGCTTCCTCCACCACTCACTCAGATGGTGTATTCCAGATCCTAACCACTTGCTGCATGAAAAAGTTTTTCTTCATATCATTGCTGCTTCTTTTACTCATTATTTAAAATCTGAGCTCTCCAATTCTCGATCCTTTTGCAAGAGGGACTATTTGATACGTTGCATCAGTCTTCACAGTAGAAGACTCTAATAGCATTTCAAAGAAAAGTAATCCAGGGTCAAAGGGAGGAGAGGAAATGCATACAACAACTAATAGAAGAGAAAAAGTACAAAGGAAATTAATGGGGCTAAAGACCAATATGTTCCTTGTACCTACGAGATGCGTCCTAAGTTATTAAAAGGAATTAGCCACAGAGAGTGTGTGAAAGTAGGTAGTAACCTTCCAAGAATCTTTAGATTCTGGAAAAGTCCCAAAAGATTCACCAACTGCTAACGTAGCAGCCTCATACAAAAAGGGAAGATGACAAAAAAAACTATAGACCAATGAGACTATAGAAATGTTAGCTTAACATAGGTCATTGGGAAAATGTTAGAGTCTGTTATAACAGATGCAATAGCAGAGCATTTAGAAATGCATAATATGATCAAACAGAGTCAGCATGGCTTCATGAAGGCAAAATCATGCCTGAAAAATTTATTAAAATTCCGAGGTGGTGACAAACAGAACAGACGAATGAGAACCAATAGATGTAATATCTTTACTTCCAAAAAACATTTAGACAGGTACCACACATTAGGCACCTAATATGACAAGAAACGTGGTGTTGAAAGTAGTATATTAGCATGGATAGAGAATTGGCTAAGTAATAAAAGACAGAAAATGTTGGATAACGGGAGTATATTTACAGCAGTCTGTAACTAGTGGAGTGCCACTGGGATCAGTGGTGCCGCCACAATTATTGACTGGTTTAATGACTTGGATAAGGACAGTGAACATACTATAGCCAAGTTTGGAGAAGACAAAAATAGTGGGAAGCAAGTAGTGAAAATGAGTGTGCTGAGGGTTATAGACAGGTTAATTAACTGTAAAAAATCTTTTGCAGATGGAATATAATGTTGAGAAATGTGAGGCTATGAACCTTAGCAAGAGGAGGAGCTGGATATTATTTGAGCAGACAAAGACTGTAGAAAGCTACAGCACAGAAGGATTTGGGAATCCTTCTGAATGAATCACAAAATCTTAGCATACAAGTTCAGCAAATTATAGGGAAGGCAAATGGAATGTTGGCCTTTATTTCAAAAGGAATGGAGTAAAAAGATATTGAAGCTAAAACTGTACAATCACAAAACTGTTACAGTGCAGGAGGCGACCTTTTGGTCTATCGTGCCTGCACTGGCTCTTCAAATGTGCATTGCCTAGTGCCAATCTCGTCCTTTCACCCCTCATTCTCGTACACTATTTCTATTCAAATAATCACCAATTGCCCTTGTGAATGTCTCAATAAAACCAGCTTAGACCATATTTCCAGGCAGTGCATTCATACTCTAACTAATCACTGTGTGCGAAAGACCTTTTTTTACATTACCCTTGCTTCTTTTGTATATCACTTCAAAATCCATGTTCTCTCATTCTTGTCCCTTTTACGAACATGAATAGTTAAACCCTATCAAAACTCTTCTCAGCCACCTTCTCTCCAAGGAGAACAATCCCAACTTCTTCAATCTATCCTCATACTGAAGGCTCTCATTCCTGGAGCCATTTTTGTAAGTCGCTTTCACCCTGTATCCGACACATTCACGTCTCTCTCATAACGTGGCTCACACACAGTACACAATACTCCATCGAACAATATCACCTCCTTGTACTTGCACTCTTGGGTCACAGACAATGTTCTCTCTAATTTTTGTCGCACCTGCACAGATATCTGATAATCTGAGCAATATATTTAAGCCAGAGCAGAAGTCACACAACGGGGGATGAAGGCATACAAGAGGTTTTCTGCTGCTGCTTGACTGTGTGTGCGTGCAACTTAGAGAACATTGGCTGCACACAATATTAGTTGAAAAGTATTCATGCATCCCCAAATTATGGAGGGGGGTGCCTGTTTGTTTGTTTTTGGGGGTGGTGGGGGGTGGTGTTGGAGAAAAGAAAACACGTGTTTATAATTAAAATGATAACTTGGCTTTTCAAAAACCAGCCCTGGTCAATGTGCTGCATTGTATGTGTCTATAGACATGAATGAGAGTAGGTTGTTTTAGAATAGGATGTAACACCCTTCCTCATCAGACTTGGCTACACTTACACTCCAGGATCATGTGTTAAACATGGATCACTTGGCTGAGGTACCAGACTTCTGAAACTGCCTTGCAGGGAAAACCTGTGCCCTAACAACTGGAAAGAAAAAGTGCTTAAAGATGTGTAGGCTTTTCATGAGAAATGAAGTTTCTTTCCAGTTAAAACCAGGAATTGCATGCCTTAATTGTTCAAAGCCACTAGCACTCGTGGACAGCTCTGGTTCAAGTATATCAAACGAGCCACTTACAAGTGAAGGATGGTTGGGCACAGTTGAGGTTAGTCAGACCACAGCTAGAGTACTGTAAAGAGTTTTGGTCCCCCTATCCTGAGAAAGATAATCCTGGCACTGGAAGCAGTCCAGAGAGGCTACAGTAAGTTGATCTGGGGTGAGGAGGGATATTCTTATGAAGAGAGTTGAGGAGGTTGGGCCTATACTCATTGGAGTTTTGTAAATGAGAGGCAACATTTATGAAACATAAAAAATTCTTCAGGGACTTGACAGGGCAGATGCTGAGAAGTTACTTACCCTTGTGACACAGTCGAGGGCTTGAGGGCATAACTTTAGATTAAGGGGTTACCAATTTGTGTCAGAAATGAACAGGAATTTCTTCTGAGTAGTAAATCTGTGGAATTCTTTTCTGCTGGCTGTAGAGGATGGGTTGTTAAGCATACTTAAGGCAGAGACAGACAGATCTTTTAATCAGTAAAAGAATAGAGGGTCACAGGGAAAAGACAGAAAAGTGGATTTGAGGATTATTAGACCAGCCACGCTCTCATCGAATGGCAGAAACATCCGATAGGCCAAGTGGCCATCTCTGCTCCTACAATTTATGGTCTTATTAATTTCAACCAGAATTAACGTTTCTAGAAAGTTTCCAGGTACCAAAGTTAAACTGTCTAGTCTGTAGTTGCTTGGCTTACCATTCACACCCTTTTTTGACCAATGGTTCAAAATTCCCCAGTCTTGCCCAATACCATCTCTTTATCAATTTTAAACCCTTTTCGCAACCGAAATTCCTTCTTTCTCTACACCCTGGTCATTACTTGGTATATACAGATACAAACTATGGTAATACTTCAGCCATGCCCTCTGCCTTCATGTGTAAATCCCCATTTTGGTTGCTAATCAGCCCCATTACTCCTTTCACCACACTTTTACAAATTTACATGGCTAATGACAACTGTGGGATTCACTTTAATGTTAGCTGCCAACCTCTTTTTATACTTACTTTTAGCTTCTCACTTGCTTTTTTTTTTAAGAAACCAATCCTCTAACCTTCTATATTCAGGCTTGTTCTCAATTGTATTTTCAACGCAATATCTGGCCTAAGTATACATTTTCTTTTCTATCATAATTTCTATACCTTTTGTCACTCAAGCAGCTCTCTAGATTTGTTTGCTCTACTTTTCCCATTCAAGGAATATCTTTATTGCGCCCAAAGCATTTCTTCAGAAACGATAGCTCATTGTTCAGCTGCCTTTATCCCACCAAACGTAGAGCCTAGTTTATATGACACAAATCTATTCTTGTCCCACTGAACTTTGCTTTCCCTCAGTTAGTTTATCTTACTCTGCACTGTGCCACTGGAAAAGTCTCAAATTAATTACTCCATCAAATTTCTTCACCATCTCTGCACTAAACAGAACAATTCAACTTTCTTCCCATATCCTCAATGACATTCTTGTAAAATTCCTCCGGACCTTTTGAAAGGATGTAGTGCTTTTCCTCAGTCTGGTCTCGGAATTACACACAACATCCCAGCTGGGAGATAACCAATGACTTATAAAGATTCACAATAACTTCCTTGCTTTAGTATTCATACACGTTTTATATCCCTCTAATTTTTAACCTGCTTTCTCGCCACCTCCAAAGATATGTGCGTCTTTGCCTCCAGGTCCTGTAGGTCCTGCACCTAAAATAAAGTTGCGCCATTTATTTAATATCATCTCCCCTCATTTTCCATACTCCAAAGTTAACTTGCATCTGCCCATACCAACAGTCTGTGTCCTTCGGACAATACTCCTCACTGTGTTACTAAATTTCCAAGTTTTGTGCCATCTATAAACTTGGAAATTATGCCATTTTCTCAAATCCAGGTTAAATATACAAAAAACAGTACAGTGGTTGTAGAACTGACCCCCTGAGAAATACCATTGTATATTTTTCTGGTTGTTTGTTCTAAGAAGGTTTAATGAATGTTCAGGCACAAATCCATGGAAACCTAAGACTACAATGTAAAGTTTTATTAGTGCTATGTGCATGGATGTATGTCATAATTGTACGGTGTATCAAAGATGAATAGCACAGATCACACTCCGCTTCTGACACTCACAGTTAAAAGGTGTCGTCCCTGCTTGAAATCTTTGATTCCAGCCAATCGAGTTAGCATACACTCAAGACCACCACACTGAGCCATCACACCTGCCATTTTATACACCTCCTCTTCATCCTCCTCTTCATCTACACAGAAAAAACAATGATTAAGAACAGTGATGAAAACAATTGCAGTGAATGTCAGGGCAGTAGAAACGTTTATTGATTTAGAGCTTGAGCTGGGACAGGAAAAGCCTGAAGCTACAACTGTTACCTGTGGTCGAATCTAATGATTCAATAAACTCCTCAGTTGCATCACCAAGAAGTCCTCGCATTCGATAGATTATACGCATTGGCTCCCCCTGTGCAACATTAAAACAAATTAATCACTAAATAGTGACTTGGAAGTTATGGTACACAGTTACACTTGGGTTAAACATTAAAAATGCTTAGGAGTTGAAACAGAGTTTAGGCACTAGATTATATCTCACTGTTCAACTCATTTTAGTTGGTCTAGTCAGAGCTGCACTTTTGTCCTTAAATTAACCTGTTCAGAGATGTTATTATATAGCTCTGAACATAGGTCTCCTGGTTTAAAGGCAGGGACACTACCAACGTGCTACAAGAGCACTCTCAGATATCCTACAACTCCTACCCCAATCAGAAGCCAATTGTGCTTTTAACAATTGTGGATTTGTAGCCCTATCTGAAACCCACCCCATTTACTGATAACTCTGTATCACTGGCTTGCACTCACCTCATTGGCTGGACACCAGACCTTCTTGTATACTTCAGCCACTGGAAGGTCCAAACTGATTATTTTGTTGTTAACCAGGAGCTAACAAAAAAAGCACAGATCTTCAATTATCAATATTACTTTTAAAAATAAATTTATCCTGCAAGCTATAAACATAACCAGTTCACAGCAGCTAAGGAGACCATGTTAATACAGTGTGGAGCTGGAGAAACACAGTAGGTCAGGCAGCAGAGGAACAGGAAAGTCAACGTTTTGGGTTTACATCCTTCATCAGGACTGCCAGTTGCCTGACCTGTTGTGTTCCTCCAGCTCCACACAGTACTGACTCTGACCCCAGCACTATCTTGCTATCTCCAAGGAGGCAATGTCGCTTAGCTGGTGCCAGGTTTCAGGGCATCTCCACCAATCTGGAGGAAAATCTGGTATGGGAGAGGAAGAATCCAGTTATCATCGTGCAGGGGGAACACCAACGACTGAAAAGAAGAGAGATTGTTTTGAGGAAAACAAGCAGCGAGGGGGCTAAAATAAAAAAGCACAGTCAGAAAGGTAATCTCTGGATTATCATGTAAAATGTGCAAATTGGTGTGGGTAAATAAAAATCAGAGAGTTGAGTAAGTGACTCCAAGACTGGTGTGGGAGAAACGAGTTTTGACCCGTATGACATGGATACCTGCACTAGGGAAACAGGGAGCTATATGTCAATGTAGACAAAGACAAGTTGAGTGGGACAGAATAGGACAGAGTTTAACAATTGTAGTGCAAGAAAGAATAAGGGCCATGCAAGCAATAAAATAAAAAAAACCACTTTCTTAATGCAGAGCAGCTTCAATAAGATAGACAAACCAGTTGCACAATCACTATTACAGAGACACGGTTATAAAGTGACCAAAGTTGAAAAATAAGTAGTCTTAAGCACACAATGTTTCATATCGATAGGTCGAATGGAAAAGGAGGAAGTATACTCTGATAATAAAAGATGGCAAAGACATTTGCAATGAAGGACCTTCATCCAGAAAATCAAGAAACAGAATCAATATGATTAATATAAGCACTGTTCAGAAAATACTGGTGGCAGTTATTTATGGGTCCCTCCCAACAGGAGTTATACCACTGGACAGAGACTAAATTATTAGATCTGGCAGCATCTGTGAAGGAGGAAACAGTTAATGTTTTGGCTCCGGTGACCCTTCCTCAGAACTGATGGTGGCTGGGAATCCCAGCCACCATCAGTTCTGAGGAAGGGTCACTGGACCCGAAACGTTAACTGTGTTTCCTCCTTCACAGATGCTGCCAGACCTGCTGAGCTTTTCCAGCAACTTTGTTTTTGTTCCTGATTTACAGCATCCACAGTTCTTTCGATTTTTTACTAAATTATTAGAGCTAGTAACAAAGAGAATCAATAATTCTAGGGGTAATTAGTCTTGATACAGACTACACCAAATTGGCAAAGATGGTTTGGATGATGAGTTTGAGAATGTTTTTGTGACAATTTCCTGAGCAATTAAGTTGCGAAACCAATTAGGAATAAAGCTATTTTAGGTCTAGTATTGTGCATTCAGGTGGTGTTAATTAGTAATATAACAGTAAAAAGTTCACTGGGAAATAGTGATCATGATATATGGAAAGGGAGTGGTGTAGCGATAATGTCAATGGACTCGTAATCTACAGCCTCATGCTAATGCTCAGGGAGTATGGGTTTGAATCCTAGCCAGGCAAATGGTGAAATGGGAACGCAATTAAAATCTGGAATTGAATGTGAATCAAATGATGACCATGTAACCATAGTTAATTGTCATTAAAACCCATTTAGTTCACTAATACCCTTTTAGGGATGGAAATTGCCACCCTTACCTGGTCTGACAGACATGTAACTCCAGACCCACAGCAACATGGCTGACTCTTAACTGCCCTTTGAAATGGCCCAGCAAGCTGCTCAGTAGTATCGGACCATTACAAAGTTTAAAGTAGCGAAAGCAAAGACTACTTGGCATTGATGTACGTACCAGAAACAACAATGGCAAACCTAGCTCAGGAAACCTTGTAAAGTCCTCCGAACTAACATATAGAGGCTTGAGTCAGAAGTGAGAGAGTTGTCCCACTGACTAATCATAGAAAAACTGCAGAAAGCTACAACACAGAGATTTTGGGATACTTATGTACAAAACACAGAAAGCTAGCATGTGGGTGCAGCAGGTAATCAGGAAGGCTAATGGAATGTTGGTCCTTATTTCAACAGGTTGGAGTAGAAGAGTAGGGAAATCTTAGTGTCTAAGGTGCTGGTGAGACCACATCTGGAGTACTGTGAGCAGTTTTGTTTCCCTTATTTCAGGAAAGATTATAATTTCATCCAGAGAAGGTTCACAAGGATGATCCTTGGCATGGACAGAATGTCTTATGAGCAAAGACTAAAGAAGTTGGGACTCTATTCTATGGAGCTGAGAAGAATGGATGGTGACCTCATTGAAACACATGGAATTCTTAAGGGGCTTGACAGGGTAAATGCAGATAGGATCTTTCCCCTCATGGGAAAAGTCTAGGACCACATGGCATAGTTTCAGAATAAACGGGTGCCAATTGAAGACTGAGATGAGGAGGAAATTCTCCTCTCACAGGATTGAGCTTCTTTGGAATTCCTTGCCGGACAGAGCTGTGAGGACAGAGTTCTTCTCTATATTTAAGGCTAAGGTAGATTCTTGATCAGATGGGAATATTCGAGGCTTACGGGGAAAGGGTGGGCAAGTGGATGGAATCAGGGTCTAGGGGCCAAATGGCTTACTCCTGTTCCTATTTCTTATGGTCTTATGATCTAGGAACTTATAATATTGCAGAGTAGTAGTAAGTCTGAGCACCATGAGTGTTTTATAAACCAGCTAATGGCTGCCAGAAAGTTGATAAAAAAAAAAGAACGAGACTTGGCAGAAAGCAGACTATAAAGAACTTTCACAAGTGGATTGAAAACAAAAGTAGCTAAACTAGATGTTTATCCCTTAGATAGAGACAAGAAACAGTGTGGGGAATGAGGAAATGCTAGAAACATTGAATAAATGTCTTTCTGTCTGTCTTCATAGTAGTTGTTAGTTACAAACCAAATATAGTGAGCGACCAAGGTGCTTGTAAGAATGAAGAAATTAAGGCAATTTGGATAAGCAGAGAAAGGTATTGGAGAACCTCAAAAACTAAATCTGACATCTCCAGAATGTGACGGCCTACATAATTTCACAAAAAGTTAGTTGCAATTATTGGATGCATTTGCTATGATTTTCTAAAATTCTCTCAATTCTCTAACAGTGCCAGAGGTTATAAGTTCACCATAAGGGCTGCAACAATTAAAAGAGGGTTGTCATTAACATCAGGTACAGATTGGGCAATAAATTCAGCCACACCTGCATACTGGGCACAAATGTAAAAATAAATTTGGATTGTAACCTCTTTAAACAAAAGGCCTCCAAATCATTACTGAGAGTTTGTTGGAATCAGGGCTTCATTTTTGTTACCGTTTCTTTTTGTACTGGTTCATACCTCCATCCCACTGTCATCTTCTAGCAGTGCTACAAGGTCACAATCCTGACAAATCTTATTTTTAATGTCTCTCATTAGTGGTCCAATTCCAGGCTCACTGCTGCTGTAGGGATTTCCAGGCATCCTGCCCTGTAAGAAGTCTTCTTGTTGTGGATCCTTCTCCAATGTCACGAAGAACTCAGTCACTTCATTTTCCTCCTGTAGAGAGAGAGCAGATGTATTGACAAAGATAATCATCTTTGTTTTACCAGCATTGAATATCTCAGATGTAGGATTATTAGTGAGGAAACATTCTGCATATGTACCCTCAAGACCGTTACAAGGGCACTTCTTTATCAACATTCAGCAGCTTCCCCTCTTTGCTTAAGCTCAAAATCTCCCTCCCCTGAACTTACCTCACCTCCAGTCTAGCAATATGCTTTTGCTGTTTATATACTTCACTAGTATCTAAACTCTCTAACTGTAATCAACCCCAATCTCCTATTTGACTGCATGCTGATCCTTTGATTCCTATTCATTTTTCATTTGAATTTATAACAAAGAACACCTATATTGGCATAGGATGTACTGATACAGCACCATCTCCACTTGTATCTCAGTTCTCCATGGCTTTGCTCACCATTTGTTAATGGCTTCCAACATTACACAAGCCTCACTAACCACTCCTCCATCAACCTATTCCGTTTCCAGCTTCTTATACATTCCCTCTTGCTTTGTCCCATCATTGGTGACCACGTATTTAGCCATTTAGGCCCTATCCTCTGAAGTTCCTTTCTTAAATACCTTCCAATTAGTTCCTTTACTTCCTTCAAGACCCTTTATAAGAAATCACTTCCTGAACAAAATCATCTCTTCCACTCTCCTTTGGCTCAGCAATTTTCTCCCTTCAGTTTTTGAGGCTGCCTTGGGACGCTTTTCTGTACTAAAAAGGTACCATATAAATATCACTGGGTCCTTCTGGCACTTGTTGTTCAGTGACACGCATTGTAACGATCAGAGAAACTGCAAGAGCAATCATACAACAATTATAATTCAGCTTGGTAGAAAAGTCTCGGAAACTAAGGAGGCATGGGATTCAGGGAAATTGGCTGTCTGGATACAAAACTGGCTGTCCAATAGATGGAAAGTATTCAGCCTGGAGCTCGGTGACCAGTGGTGCTCCACAGGAATCTGTTCTGGGACCTCTGCTCTTTGTGATCTTTATAAATGACTTGGATGAGGAAGTGGAAGGGTGGGTTAGTAAGTTTACCGATGACACGAAGATTGATGGAGCTGTTGTAGGTTGCAACGGGACATTGACAGGATGCAGAGCTGGGCAAAGAAGTGGCAGATGGAATTCAACCCAGAAAAAAGTGTGAAGTGATTCATTTTGGAAGGTCGAATTTGAAGGCAGAATACAGGGTTAATGGCAGGATTCTCGATAGTGTGGAGGAACAGAAGGATCTTGGGATCCACGTCCATAGATCTCTCAAAGTTGCGACCCAAGTTGATAGGGTTGTAAAGAAGGTATATGGTGTGTTGGCTTTCATTGGCAGGGGAATTGAGTTTAAGAGCCACGAGGTCATGCTGCAGCTCTATAAAACTCTGGTTAGACCACACTTGGAATATTGTGTTCAGTTCTGGTTGCCTCATTATAGGAAAGATGTGGAAGCTTTAGAGAGGGTGCAGAGGAGATTTACCAAGATGCTGTCTGGACTGGAGGGCAGGTCTTATGAGGAAAGGTTGAGGGAACTAGGGCTTTTCTCATTGGAGAAAAGAAGGATGAGAGGTGACTTGATAGAGGTGTACAAGATGATGAGAGACATAGATAGAGTGGATAGTCAGAAACTTTTTCCCAGGGCGGAAATGACTATTACAAGGGGGCATAATTATATAGTGACCGGAGGAAGGTATAGGGGAGATGTCAGAGGTGGGTTCTTTACACAGAGAATGGTGGGCATGTGGAATGCGCTACCGGCAGTGGCAGTGGAATCAGATACTTTGCAGACTTTTAAGCGACTCTTGGATAGGCACATGGAGGATAGAAAAATGTGGAGTGTGCATGGTAGATTGATCTTAGTAGGATAATAGATCGGAACAACATCATGGGCCAAAGGGCCTGTATTGTGCCATACGGTTCTGAAAGTCTCAATTATAGTTCTAAATTTATATCGTTGAAATTTGTATCACGAAAGCACAGAATTGTATGAAAAATTAACACCCATGATGTCCTGGTTCTGACTTCCATGAACGATGTGTGTACAGATTCACAAAAACAACCAACGGGCCACAATTTTTAACTGTTTTAACATGACTCATTTATACAGCATCCTGGTTTTGGGGAACGTTAAGCTGCAAGGAAATAGGATTTCTGACTGAGCCATTCATGTGCAATTTCCCTGTAGGCCAGATAATTGATCCAATGTAAAAAAACCAATACTCTCATGATGTCTTTTGTACTTACCGGGTAGATGATGCTGCACAGCCTTTCAAAGATGAATACTGGTGTTCGGTAATCATCAAGGCTGTATCGTTTAGCAGTCTCAATACAGACAGCCATGAATGCCTTTGTTTCAGACTCTGTACCTACAAAAAAGTGAGAGAGTTTGAATTCAATCAACACTATAAACAAAAACGTTTTTACTCCCGAGGCAACACCAGGCTCAAATTTTCCCACAGCTTTAAGCACATCACCATATTCTGTAAATTCTGCAATCTCTAGAACAGCTTGTTCAACACAGTCTCTTTACTCTCAATGCCATGAACCCTAATGTTGTGTAACAACCTCTTGCATGGCACCTTACTGGTTTCTAAAATTCCTTCCACATCCAGGTTTTCTATCTTGCTAAATTGAGAAATAGAAAGCCCACAGGCTAAAATAAAGGCCATTTGTGGATGGTGAAAATAATTTAGGACTTTATAACATTAAAAGAGGCAGCTTATAATATTGCCAAGAAAAGTCACAAACCTGAGAATTGGGAAGTCTTACATATGAGCAAAGAATGGTCAAGAACACAGAAAGGGGGTGGTCAAAGATTAAAAAAAAAGACTGCAGAAGCTAAGATGAGTATGTACCAAGAAAGACAGCAAGAAGAGAAAAGTAAACTTTGGACCCTTAAAAGTTGAGACAGGAGAAATTATAGTACAGAACGTGGAAATGATAATATGTTGATAAACAGTCCTGACTTCACAGGAAAAAACACAAAAAAGTAACACTGATATTGGGGACCAAACATCCATTAGGTGAAAACCATACTAATATTTGTAATTAATTTTAGTAAAGGCAAGTACTGGAGAAATTAATGGGATTGTAAGCTGACAGACACCCCACATAGGTTCTTAAAGAATTAGCTGCGGAAACCAGTGCGCTTGCTGTGACCGTCCAAAATTCTTTAAAATTCTCATACAGTCCAGTCGACTGCAAGTTGCAAATTTAACACTGCAATCCAAGAATGGAAGAAAACAGGGAACCGTTAGCCAGTTAACTTGTTGTCAATCATCAGGGGACTGCTGGAACCCATTATTAATGAAGGGATAACAGGACACCAAAAACCACAACAGTGAGCATAGTTTTATGAAAGCAAAATCATGTTTGATAAAGTAAAGTTTCAGAAGATGTAACTAACAGCAGATTACAAGGGAGACTAATTAATGCAGCATAGTTGGAGTTTCAAAAGCATTTAACAAAGTGCCACCCAAAGTCTATGCACAAGATAAAGGCACATGGAGTTGGAGGAATCTCTCAGCATGGACAAAAGATTAAAGGACAGAAAACAAACAGTCAGGACAAATGGATCATTTTTCGGAGTTAATACACTGTTACTAGCGGGGTGCTCCAAAGATCAGTGTTGCGACATCAGCTATATAAACTATATTAACCACATAGTCGAAAAAAAAGTGTAATAAGCGAAAGTAATTCAAATGATTTGAATATTGGATCCAGTTTCAGGTGAATCACTTTAGGAAGGTGTCGTGGTTATAGAGAGGTTCACTAAATTATAACAAATAAACCAAAGAGACCTAGGCTTTAATTCTGGCAAACTAGAGCTCTTCAGTTGATGAGGTGTGATAGAGAACTTCAAAATTAAATATAGGCTATTGAATATTGGGAAGGATTGTTTCAGAAAGCTAACACAGGTATAAATGGGTTAAATGTGTGCCTTCCACGTAACAAAATTCCAAGGCAAAATGTCAGTAAAAAGAACAGGCATTGACAGTGGTTCTTCCCACAATCGCAGGATATTGAGAAAGAGACACCCTCACACAGTGAGCGCGAGAACACCACAGCGAGACACAGAAGTACAACCTTTGTTCCCCCTTTAAAATAGAGTTCAAACTTAAGGAAGTTTAAATGCGCTCGTTTTACTACCTGTCGTCATGTCTTCTAACATCTCAAGCAACATGTCTTGTGTCTCATCAATCAGTTTTGTCCGCTGAACCACTAGTTTTCGCAGGCACAAGTAGCCATTCAGGACAGTGCCCACCAAGCGACTCTTGAAGTGACGTTTTATTGATTCTACCTCCACAAAAGATGAAAGCAGACCTGAAACAAGGCAGTGAAATAGTGAGTATGTCTAATATACAACTATCTATCCATTTGTATATTAGTGTGCAACTGCTCTGTAACACTGTACACCTCACCTGTCAGGCTTTTTAAAGCATATCCCTGCTGAAGGTCAGTACTAAGTGTTGCCTCTTCTAGTGCCAGTAAATGGGCAATTTCCTAAAACAAATCAGGTGACATGAGCATCAAAACTGAAGAATTCAGACACAACAGATAACAGCAATTAAAACAGTGATATTCTTTCCATCTTCGTTCTCAAGAAACCATCAATTCACTCAATGGTGCAGAGGCACTGTCCCTTGTTACGTCCTTTTATCTCATTCAAATAGCAATTTTCATTATGGAGGTTTAACAGTGTGGTTATGCCATTCGGAGGGCATCACAAATGAGCCCAATTCTGTCCTAACTAGATGTCTATGTTTCCCAATAGGAGTCAGCAAATAGCAACGAGAGCATAAGAGCTGGTTGACTTTTATTCTTACATTAAACCCAGGGCATGAATCTTAAATTGTGACCAGACTGCCACTCTGACTGAAACCAGCTATCCTAATAGAAACAATGGATGGAACCCAAAAATGTTTTAAGTACTAAACAAACTTGCTGAATAAGTCCTGCTTATGAGCAAATCCTGTTGGCTCCTTCTCTTAAAAAGACTCCTGTTTCTGAAGCAGAATCTCAGTTTTCATAAAATTAAATTTGTTGCACTGCTATTGCCTTGACCTGTTAAAAATTAGCAAATAAATCTATATGTAAAATTATGGAAGTGTGAACATCTAATGGTTAACAGAACATTGGTGAGAGTAATGCTAATGCATACAAGCGATCTAATGTTCAGAAAGAATTCTGAATCAGGTAGAAAATTAGATTTACTTCATGCTGAACAAGAGCAATACAATGAAAGGAATAACCCTAAAGATCTGAGGAAAATTCACTAGCCTTGTATTTTAAGCTTATTCCTCTCTGCACAGATGTTGTTTGACTAGCTGAGTATTTATAGCATTTTTTAAAAAAATTCAAGATTTACCTTCCTTTGGACAAGTTAACTGAGTGGGCAAATGCAGGTCAGATGAAGAATAATGTAGCTAAATGTGAAGTTATTCACTTTGGCAGCAAAAAACAGGGAGACAGATTATCTGAATGGCAATAGGCTGGGAAAGGAGGAAGTGTAATGACACCTGGGTGTCCTTGTACACCAGTTGCTGAAACTAAGTATGCAGGTGCAGAAGACAGTGAAGAAGGCAAATAGTACATTAGACTTTGTAGCAAGAGGATTCAAGTACAAGAGCAGTGATGTCTTGCTGCAACTGTACAGTACTGTGTGCCATTTTGGCCTCCTTATTTGAGGAAGGATATTCTGGCTACGCAGGGAGTGCACCAAATGTTTACCAGACTGATTCCTGGGATGGCAGGGCTGACACGGACACTGGATTGAAGATTATATATACTAGAGTTTAAAGAAATGAGGGGCAATTTCATAGAAATCTATAAAATTCTACCAGAACTAGAAAGGCTAAACACAGGAAGGATGCTCCCAATGACTGGAGAGTTCAGAACCAGGAGGTCACAGTCTAAGGACACAGATTAGGAGCCCATTTATGACTGAGATGAGGAGAAATGTCTTTATCCAGAGAGTGGTGAGCCAGTGCAATTCTCTGCTACAAAAAGCAATTGAGGCCAAAACACTGAATACGTTTTCAAGAAGAAATTAAATATCGTGTTTGGGGCTATAGAGATCAAAGTGCATGGAGAGAAGGCGGAACAGGTTACTGAGTTGGATGATCTGCTACGATCTTACTGAATGGTATAATGGGCTTGAAGGGCTGAATGGCCTGCACCTGCTCCTATATTCTCTTTCCTTTAAAGCTCATTACCATTTGTGGTTAATTGAATAGCACAGCAAACACAATATTGCTCAAATATGCTAATTATATACCAAATCCCAGGCAATTCAAATTCATCCTAGCTTACAACAGCATAGCTTTTAATTATGCTTTGAAAATGTAATTAAGTTACAGAAAGCTCTGTTCCCACAGTACTTGAACTGTGTACACAGCAGAAAAACACTGACAACTGGCGCCCAACCCTTTCAAGGTATTCAATGCATCTGTAAAAAAGCTGACATTTCAGTGAGGGTGGGATTGTCCTATGATAGCTTGCTAACATTTACTCAACAAAATTACACCCTAAAACAATGATATCTATATTGAATCAACCCTGACCCTACGAGATCAATCTCTTCCCCAGATTATAGCTCATATCTCGACCTCTCAAATACAAATAGCATAAATGACAGCTCTGAAATGTCACTCTGCCTACTACAAGTGATCTAAACCAGCGTTGTCATCATACTGGCAGTACACATCTGTTGCTAAACTTGTCTAGGAGCTAATGAACCTAAAGAATCCAACAGACTCTCAGGGGATTAACTAGGAATTGGTTTGGTAGCTAATACCAACAAAAGACAAAAAAGACAAGATCACCTGAGGCAAATTATGCAGGGAGGGAAATGAGACAGATTAAAATCTTGGAAAACATTTTTCTTAGACATTTGGGCAGAAGCCATTTAGTTGGTGAGTTTAGTAGGGTGGGGATCGAGGGCTGTGCCAATCATGATATAATGTTGTGAAAAAATAGTTTAACATCTGAGATTTTGGAATAGAATCAAAATTGGCTTGTCAGAGTCAGACCTTTGTGATCAGGTTTCCGATGTACGGCAGCACTCCTCGAGCGGCCAGGTAGATCTTCCAATGAGCTGGTTTGATGAGTTTCTGATAGAGTGCAAGATACTCTGCTGCACATTCTCCAGCAACACTTAGTTCATCCAGGTAACTATCAATTCAAAAATACAGAAGATTAAAATCATAAACCACCATTTGAAAACAGTAGAAGTTCCAGCGATTCTATTTGCAAATATTTGTCTCCAAGGCTGACCACTGATCATAGTTAACATTAGTGAAAAACTACAATGCGAGTCTGCCACATTTCCCAGGAGTTGGGTGACTCCACAGCAGCCCCGAGATTAACCTAGAACCATCCTCATCCTGGTGTTTGTAACAGTGGCAACAGAGCAATGTCTTCCACTTTCAACAATGAATTCAATAATTGAAGGCCAAAATTTCTGCTCCATTTATTTCCTTTTATTTGTTTGGTGTTGTTTCTTCTTTCAGTCAGCAGCACATCTGCTCAAGGCACATCTTTCATTTCTCTACTTGCATCATCACCATTCTCATATGGTTCCAGAGAATGAACATTTTGATCAGAGTCTCCTCTGACTTTCACAGATCTTCTTTTCATCCTTGTCACACCCACTCCTTGCTCAAAACCCATTACATCTGTAACTTTTCCAGTTCTGACGAAAGGTTACAGACCTGAAATGCTAATACTGCGAGTCTCCTCACATACTGCCAAAACCAAGTATTTCCATATTTCTGTTTTCGATGAAACAGCATATACCCCATAACTGACATCAGTTGGAAAGAACAATTACATCTTGTAGGAAAATTAACATTCTTATAAAAAGACTGAAGAAATATTCACTAATACTATTTACACCCTCCTGCTAAAAGGCTAATGTATTTGCAATTTAATTGTATCCCACTTGTAATTTCTAAATGAGAAAGTGAAAATTGAAAATTCTATCATGGACAAGGTCACACTGCCTGAAGCAAACAAGATCTTCCCTTGCTCCAGCTTCCCTAATTATTTTTATAGACAGTGGGGAACCTGAATAACCACCAGAAAGTCAATTAAAATCATAAATATGTAAACATGGGCAGGCAAGGAATTCTATAAGAGGCAAAACTACAAACTTCCTCCACTGAACTACTACGCTGTAATTGAGACTTCAACCTGGAGTGAAGGGACTTTAAAGCTATACTTTTCTCAATGAATGGGAAGGTACCTGGTCAGGAGATCAAGGACTTGTTGCTTGCGGCTTGGAATGGTAGTAAGTGCTTCCACAATAGTACAGGCAGCCTGACGTGCAGCTTGTGTTGCAGGAGTGAACAGTACCTGAGAAACACCAAAGTTGAGTGGATCATACAATAGTACAGTGATTTCAGAACAGTAGAAAAGAGCTAAGTCCATTCATTTCAGGCAATCTGCCAGCAGATTTTGCATTATTGCTGTAAAACTGTGCTGCTTTAACACCTGGCTATGGTAATGAACCAAAAACCAAAATGAAATCACATGAACAACTTCCACGTGCAGTCTAGCATAATAATGATGTATATAGTTACCTAAATTTAACAAGTGTTACTTACCACTAACTCAAGAAATACCTCTTGGTGATCAGTGATTTTTTTTTTTTTAAAAAGTGACACATGGACTAGAGAACCCCAGAAAGCATCTTCAGACAAGACATGAAACAATGTAGAAGCTACCCCAGAAAAGCTGGCTGCAGGGTGACTGGGAATGAGAACATCTGGGGAATTTAGTTTTTTGCAAGGATAGGAAAACATGAAAAGGAGATGGAGTAGCATTGCTGGTTAGGTTAAAGAGGAAATTAACACAATAGTGAGGAAGGACATAAGCTCTAGTGAAGTAGAATCTGTACAGGTGGAGTTTAGGAAATTAGAGATGCAAACAATAAAAGGTACAGCAGTAATTATAAGCAACTTTAATCTGCATATAGACTGGGCAAATCAAACCAGTAACAATATCATAGAGGAATTCTTGGGAGTATGTATGGGATGGTTTTGTGGATCAATATGTTGAGGAACCAACCAGAAAACAGGGTATTGTGACTGGGTATTGTGTAATGAGAAAGGAATAATCGATAACCCAGCTGTGTAAGGCCCCTAGGAGAACAGTGATCATAAAATAATAGAATTTTTCAAAATGGCAGACGATTATGTAGTTGATTCTCTGAGACTAGGGTTCTGTATCTGAATGAAATAAACTAAATGGTATAAGCATGAGCCGGCAATGATAAATTGGGGAACACTACTTAAACAGCAACAGTGAACTAGGCACTGGTAAATATTTAAATCGCGCACAAATATAAAATGGGAAAAGTGGTCCGACCATGGCTAACAAGGGAAATTAGGGATTGTATTAGATCCAAGGAAGGGGCATACAAATTGGCCAATAAAAACAGCAGTCTAAGGATTGGGAGTGTTTTAGATTTAAGCAAAGGAGGACAAAGGGATTTGTTAAGGGGGGAACGAAATAGAATACAAGAGTAAGCTTGCAGAGAACGTGCAAACTAATGATAAAAGCTTCAACACGTGAAAAGAAAGTGATTAGTAAAGACAAGGTTAGTGAAGTGTGGGTTCTTCACAGTCAGAAACAGGGCAAGTTATAAGAGGCCAAGTAAATACACTTTTGGTTCATTCTTATTGGAGGACAAAAAACACCCCCAAAATGTTGGGGAGCAGAGTCTAAAGACAGGGAGGAACTGAATGAAATCAGTATTCATAGGGAAATGGTATTGTGGCAATTGAAAGGATTAAAGGCTGATAAAACCCCACAGCACAGGTTTGAAAAGCATACAGCATTGTTTGCAGAATGTGAGACCAATTCAAATTGTAATCGACCTACAATAGTCTTAATGACATAACCCAGTGATTCTGCATTGTTCAAATGCTGGACCTTCCCACAACCGGCTATTCGTGTAGCGTTTGACTGTTGTACTGAACAAAGCCTTCGCTTCTCCCCAGATTCAAGAAAACAGTAGTTGGCATAGAACGTACAGCATAGAAACAGATCAATTAGTCCATCAGATCTCTACTAATATTTAACAGTTGCCATAGTCATAGGAGACCATTGGATTGCTCTCGTTAGACAGACATCACTGTTGGTGGTTTAACTTGAGGGTCACCATACCTCAGGCAGGGGGAGAGGTAGAGGAGGAGGGTCTACGTGGTAACTTCAGCTGGTGCAGGAATTGAACCCTTGCTGTTGGCATTATTCTGCATTGCAAACCAGCCAATTAGTCAAGTAGGCTAACTAACACACTCTGCTGATGTTTATGTTCCTAATCAAAGGCATTTCCTGCAAACAGGGAGTTTGTCTGGCAGCTTCTACATTCCCTGTACTGACCTGGGGAAAATACACTAATTATCAGAGGCAGAAAAAAATCCGAGTGCATATGATACAGCTAAACATAGAGCTTAATGAAGAAGATAAGTTGTAAGATCATTGCTATGTATGGCCCATACCAGTTTTGCTGTTATACCATTATCACTTTGCTCTTTACCTGTCTCAGCCAATTATTGTGTCCTAGTTTGAGGTCCAAAGGTGAATTCCTCTTTCCACGTTTGCTTAGGAACTGCTTCCACTTCCATGCATATTTCTCCATCAGATAGAGTTGCCGCAGCTCTGTTTTACTTTGTGTTTTGCCTTCGTTGTCCAAAGCTGATGGAAGGAGAGGAAAAATCCCAAATAAATCAATGTGTTATCACAGAACTTTCACTTATGCAATCAAAATGAAGGAACTTCAATCCACTGGAATGGTTCATAAACAAATTCAAGTTCATTCATTTCACTGTCTGTTTCTTTCACACCTTTATGTTGTGTAAGACTTCAGATCTTGCAGAATGTGCCAATGCTTTTGCTTTGCATTCCTTACAATGAAATAGAACCATTCAAGTCACTTAGCCTCCCAGTATATTATCTGTAACAGCACAATCTTGGTTCTGACACACTACTACTCTCAGTTAGATAAGGATCCAAAGTGGTCAGACACAGGTCCTATCATACCCAGTCAAAGTCAACTGAACAAGGATAATGAGCCATTATGTAAATCAAGACAACAGTAGTGCAGTTTGCAGACTTTCCAAATACTGCAGTTGGATGTAGATAGACATTAGCAAGCTCTGCTCAATGTGCTTCTGATCTCACGTATACTGTCAAGAGATGCTGCCAAATGCTTGAATAATTAGCACATATACTCTCCATGAACAGCATCAGAAGCAGTGCTAATAGTTTGTAGCAATTACTGCCAAGGCTAAAATGGGGAAAAATAAAACAAAGATCAAAGAAAGAAAGATGAAGTCAACAGACCACTTTTTTTTAAAAATTCATTCAGGGGATGAGGGCATCGCTGGCTAGGCAGCATTTATTGCCCATCCCTAATTGCCCAGACCGCAGTTAAGAGTCAACCACATTGCTGTGGGTCTGGAGTCATGTGTAGGCCAGACCAGGCAAGGATGGCAGTTTCCTTCCCTAAAGGTCATTAATGAATCAGATGGATTTTTCCCGACAATCAACAATGGATTCACAGTCATTATTTGATTCTTAATTCCAGATGTTTATTGAATTCAAATTCCACCATCTGCGATGGTGGGATTTGAACCTGCATCCCCAGAACATTATCTGGGTCTCTGGATTAACAGTCCAGCGTTAATACCACTAGGCCATTGCCTCCTTTAGTCCTTAAGAGATTATTTAAACGATCAAACATGTCAGTTACTCTTTCCGCCTGTTGGACAGCATGAGTAATTAAGGTTTTATTTTGGAACTCTTGTTCAGCTGAAGAATTGTGCAACAGACAATCCCTTACTACAACGTTCCAAATAACATCAGATTCCTGCTAACGACATACAGCAACATCAAGATAATCCTATTCTCCAGATGCAGTACCTTGTCAGCAGGGCCATTAAAATCTGTAACACGTTGAAAGAAGAAGCCATGAGTGAAAGTTGTCCCTACCTCTGGCAGGCAAACATTTCTTCCATGCCTCATATGATGCTTTGGGATCCTTCTTGAGCCAAGCTTGGGCCTGTGCATGTATTTCATTACTATAGGGTTTAACAGTTGTAAGTGTATCAACTGAGATATCCTGGAGAAGAGAAAGAAATTAGTGTTAAACCTGAAATTAAAAAGGGAGGAACCAGGTCAATGTACTAGATCAGACAGCAGATGGGTTGACTCAATATATTCATCACTAGTGAGCTGGCACACCTTGTTTTTCTTGCTAGTTGGAGCAGGTGGTTTAATCAGCCGTTGAAGAATTCGCAGGCACATCAGTGTGATGTTCTCAACAACCACTGGGGTCTTAATATTCACAGCCATCAGATACAGGCTCAGAGCTACAGGGAGGATAACAAATCAGGATATTACACAATACAGCAATTCAAATCTCTCTGGTCTAGTAATGATGCAAGCACACAGTTTTCAATTAACCTACACGGATTTAGCATAAACATTTGTGTTTTAAAGAAAGCCATTCACAGAATGATGGATATCACTGGCCAGGCCAGCATTTATTGCCTATCCCTACTTGCCCAAAGGGCAGTTCAGAGTTAATCATAGAAAGTTCTGAGAAAGGGTCACTCGACCCAAAACGTTAACTCTGATTTCTCTCCACAAATGCTGTCAGACCTGCTGAGCTTTTCCAGCAATTTCTAACTTTGTTTCTGATTTACTGCATCTGCAGTTCTTTGGCTTTTTTCAAATAAAAAAACAAATCATATTGCTGTGGTTATGGTGTCAAATGTAGGCCAGACCAGGTAAGAATGGCAGATTTCCTTCTACAAGGGACACAAGTGAATCAGATGGGTTTTTCCAACAATCAACAATAGTTCTTAACTCTGGTTTGTTTTTCTTTTTGAATTCATATCCCATCATCTGCCCATGATAAGAATCAAACCAGAACATTACTTTGGTCTCTGGATTAATAGTCAAGTGATAATACCATTTAAAACAACAGTTAATAGAAATGCTTTATTATAACTTAGAAAATGAGATTGCCTGCTACTGACCTTTACTAAACAAACAACCTCACTGAGTTAAGCTTACCACATCGAAGTCGCAACTCCCAGCATGCATCTTCCTTCGAAATTGAATCAGTCAGTAACAGCATTTCATACTGAAGACTGCTGGCCTGAAAGTAGGAAAAAAGTTTCAGAGAAGAAAATGTTCATGTAAGTGAAGGTCTACGTTAGAAACTGGGTTTTTCAGAGTAGATTGTGAGAGGATATGTGAGCAAGAGAATGTAAAAATGAGTCGGTATTTCTCTGAAACCAGTCAGTGCTTATGTGGCTCTCCCAATTTTCTTCTCCTGAATTCTTTGCAGTTAGGTAGTTGTTGAGTCTTCCTATCTCCCAAGTATCTTACTTGCTCACTTCAACATATTTCCATCATTTTCGGGGGGGGGGTGGGAAACATTTGCATCCTAGATCAGTATATTATTTGGCCTTTGAATACAGCACAGCCAAGCCCAATCCTGTTTTCACCACATGCCTGCACAGAAGATAAGCTAAGTTCCAAGACAAAATTCGTTGCCACTTGGGAGGCTTCATAAATTGTTTATGTCTGTAGGTCATGGTATGTGGTGCTGCCTCCATATGTCATGGTTCCTGATTGTCTGATGGCACCCCAATTGGCAATTCACATTGGAATACAATTTTCAATTGTACTGTTTTTCTTGGTGCAATGTGGCCTAGATCAGCATTAACTCAAGGAAAAGATTGCATAATTTGCATTAAATCCTGCCGCCACATTGGAACAAGAAAATCAGTGCTGCTCACATCATCGTATACCTGAAACAGTTGGCCCCCACTCCTCTTGTACGCCTGAGCACTGCTGCTGACATCACTGCTGTCTGCCCATTGAACACTTGTCACCCATTTTCTTATTCCATTTGCCACCTCCCTGACAACCCTGCTGCTAACACATTGTCACCTCCTTCCTTCTCATCACCCTGTTCCCTTGCTCATGGAGTAATGGAGCTGGGTGGTAAATGGATGGGAGGCAATGAGGGATCAAAATAGACAGCCAGGGACACAGGGTGCACGCCAAGGAGCAAATCATGTTCTTAGGATCCTAACCTATGGTTTTTGAGTTGAACACTGTGACAGCTACAGTCCTTAACCATGATTTTAGGCTGGCAGAGCAAGACAACACAACATTTAATACTATTCATATTACACAAACATTTGAAAATAACATTATTGAAGTTGCACTTGTTAAAACATCTTTGAGGCAGGTGGGTACTCGAAGCACCACGAGCAGTTACAGTGGCTTGCAGTAATATAAGCACATATGTGCCAGTTTCCACAACCTTAAAATTAGTTTTTTAAAAAAGTGCATGTCACGTAGAACATGTACATCCTTGGACACTATGAGCAATTTACCATGGCCAATCCACCTAATCAGTACATCTCTGGACTGTGGGGAGAAACCCATGCAGACACGGGGAGAACATGCAAACTCCACACAGTCACCAGAGGGTGGAATCGAACCTGGGGCACTAGCACTGTGAAGCAGCAGCACTAACCACTGAGCCACCATACTTCCACTTGACTTAATTAATCACTACTGGGAAATTCAACCAACCATGCTCATTTACAAGACTTCAAAAAAGATTCTAAAAGTTATATTGGTTCTATGGGATACAAGGGTGCTGATAAATACTTTATTAGCTTTGAAAGCAATTTGCTTCTCACAAATCTACCAAGCTGATTACAGTGCAACTAAGAAATGCCTCTTTTTTTTAAGAAAAAATGCAATTTTCACTAGCTTAAAACTGGTTACTCATGGGTTGTAGATTGCTTCTAATTAAAACATTTTTACTGTAAACTCACTTTCAGCTGTATTAATCGAACAACAATAAATTATCACTCAAATAGATCAAGGAGTATCTTTTTGAACTAATAGGTATATATTTATTTTTTACAAAACACTGCTTAATTGCCTGATTTCATGTAACAGATTTGGTATTCAGTCATATGCAAGAGAGTTTTAGTAGAGATTCGAGAGAAATAATTTCTCAAAGCACAGATAAATTGCCCGAAGTGGAAACTCTGTTCTGGAATTTGGGGGAAGTAATAATGCCTTAATACGGTGTAAAACCAAAACCTCTGATGTGTGGACAACTATAGAAAGGAAAACTGAAAGCTGCCGTCAGTGCCACCTATTTCCACCACAGGTTGAACTGAATCTTCATAGATGTGATCAATTATCATTTGCTGATATATACTGGATTTCAAATATTTCAAAACAATTCCTACAATAAGTCCCAATTACAAGTAAAACAAGGAGTAAAGTAAATCTTTAAACGATGTGAATTTTTAAACAATGTATTCAGAAAAGTTCGTGGATAGGACGGCTGTGGGATTTCTAGCAGATAGCTTGCCTGTCTGTTGCTGGATGCCACAGATCCTCTACAGAGAGGACCAAACTCAAAAGCAATAATGGAACAGTGGAAGTCTGTGCCTGAGCAGATTTTCTGAGATCAATTGCAGGCATTGTTCCTTTGTCCTTCACTGCAGAATTCAGGGTTACAACCATACTCACCAGATCAGGGTTGGCCCAGTGTCCTTTAAGTGCAGTTGAAACCTTGGCAATGATTAGGTCATTCATTTGTTGTGTTGCATCTGCATTATCTCTGAAAGTCAAGAGGAAAATATGATGGCTGTATAAATGCAGTAACAATAAAAGAGTAACAAAGCAAATAAAAATATTCCAGCAAAGGTATTAAGCATCAAAGAGGCTCAGTTGGTAACCCTCTTGCTACATTCAAAAGGTTATAGGTTCAAGCACCACACCAGGTCTTCAGCCCATAAATCAAGGCAAGTGTTTCAGTGCAGTACTGAGGGAGTGGTGCTGTATCAGATTCTTTAATGGTGACATTAAGGCTTGGTCTGCCTTTACAAGGTGGATTTAAAAGATTCTGTGGGATGACTGATATAGTAGCAGGGAATTACTTTAGTGATGCTGCCAATACGTATTGCTTGCTTGAAGAAAAATAGTTAAATGATAAATTCCAACGAACTCTGACAAGAGCTCATCAACATGAAACATTAACTCGGTTTCTCTCTTCATGATTTCTGCCTGACCTTCTGAGTATTTCCAGCATTTTGTTTTTTTAATCAATCAATTCATCATTTGTCAAAATTTTCTCTGTATAAATTAGATGGATTAGTTTGTTTGCAGTAACTAGACTTCAATGTTATTAATTGTCTGTGAAGTGCTAGAGGCCACTTTGAATATACAAAAAGGTTCTACATCTCCCTTCCTGGCCAACATGGACCATCCTGTAACCTGAATTCCCTATTTAACCCTGAGCTGAACCCCCAACTGTATATCCTCTCCGTCATTAATAACTCCCATTTTTACCTGCTGAAATCTTCAGCAATGCCGTTATAATCTTGGAACATGACCATTATAGTGCTCTCTCAGCTAACTAGGCAATATTCAGCAATGTTAGTTTGTCCAATATTCTTCTGTTATGTACTCTGACTCACAGCAGATTCTTTCATATATCACCCTTGTGCTGTTTGTCATGCATTGGCTCTTGATCCTTCTGGTCTAGCAATGTCTCAGCTTGAACATTTTCATCCATGTATTTAAATCCTTCGGTGGTCTCATGCCCACCTTCCCAATCGCACCAACCTTTGCTAACACTCTCTGCTCTTCCAAATCTGGTTGTTTATATATTCAACATGTCCATTGTCTTACAAATAGCAGCTGTGTTTTTAGTTGCCTAATTCATAAGCCTTTCCTCCTTTACAATGCTTGCTGGAGTTCAGTAGAATGGGGTGGGGAATCTCAGAAACCTACAAAATTCTATTAGGGCTAGACAGAGTAGATGCAAGAAAGATGGTCACAATGGTGGGGAAATCCAGAACCAGGAGTCACAGCTTGAGGTTACAGAAAAACCGCTTAGGATGGAGATTAGGAGAAACTTGTTCACCCACTGAGTGGTAAGCCTGTGGCATTCGCTACCACAGAAAGTAGTCAAGGCCAGTTACGTTGTATGATTTCAAGGTGAAGTTGGAAATAGCACTTGGGGACAAAGGGATCAAAGGATGGGGGAAAAGCAGGAACAAGCTACTGAGTGCAAGCTTAGCCATTCTCACATTGAATGGCTGAGCAGGCTTGAAGCGCCAAATGTCTTACACTTGCTCCTAGCTTCTACATTTCTATGGAAATTATGCTTGAAAACCTATTGGAATTTTGAGGTTGTAACAAGTAGAGTTGATATGGAAGTCAGTAGATGCAGTTTACTGCGACTTTTAGAAGGCTGTCGACAAGGTCCCACAATGGAGATAAACATATAAAATTAAAGCGCATGGCATTGGGGATAGTGTACTGACATGGAAAGAGGACTGGTTGGCAGACAGTAACCAGAGAGTAGAATTAAGCAGGACATTGCCAGCCAGTTGAGGACAATGACTAGTGGGGTACTGCAGGAATCATTGCTTGCACCCCAGCTATTCGCAATGTTTATTTATGATTTAGTTGAGGGAACTAAATGTAACATGTCCAAGTTTGCAGACAAAAGCTGGATGGGAGGCTGAACTGTGAGGAGGATGCAGAGATGCTTCAGTGTGATTTCAACAAGTTGAATGAGTGGGCAAACGCACGACAGATGAAATATAGTGTGGAATAATGAGAGGTTGTCCACTTCGGTAGCAAAGGCAGGAAAGCAGATTACTATCTGAATAACAACAGATTGGGTAAAGGCAACATGCAACTAGACCTGCATTTCCTTGCTACTGAATTCAAGCATGCAGGGGCAGCAGGTGGTGGTGAAAGCAAATGGTATGTTGGCCTTCATAGTGAGAGGATTCGAGTACAGGAGCAGGGATGTCTTGCTGCAATTGTACAGGACCTAGGTGAGGCCACACAAGAGTATCATACGCAGTTTTGGTTTCCTTACCTAAGGAACAAAGTTCTGGCTATGAGAGGAATGCAACAAAGGTTTACCAGACTGATTCCTGGGATGGCAGGATTGATATATGAAGAGTGACTGGATGGGGTAGGTCTATGCTCACTGGAGATCAGAGAAATGGGGAAATCTCAAAAACTACAAAATTCTAACAAGACTAGACAGGGTAAACGCAAGAAGGATGTTCCTGATGGCTGAGGAGACCACAATCAGGGGTCACAGTTTAAGGATACAGGTTAGACCATTTAAGACCGAGATGAGAAGGAAATTTCGTCATTGAGAAAGTAGAGAGCCTGTGGAATTCTCAGTTAAAGAAATCAGTCCAGGCTAAAACATTCAATGTTTTCAAAGAGGAGTTAGGTATAGCTCTAAAGGGATCAAAGAGTATGGGAGGAAGTGGGAACTGTGTACTGAGGTGGACGATCAGCAGACTGAATGGTGAAACAGGCTCGAAAGGCCAAATGGCCTACTCTTATTTATGCTTCTATATTCTACTCAAGTTTTGACTAGAAATGTTAAAAAGTAAAGCTTTCTAGTGAAACATTGACAATTTCTTTATCATTACAATAATTAAATATTTTTTGCAGATACACGCAGAGTGTAGTTAATCAAAGTGAAACACTGCAGGGTCAGGTAAAATTATTAAATGTTTGATAAAAGTGCACCAATGATTTCACAGAGCCAGAAATTACCTGAAGCTGTTCTTCAGCTTCTGGATTGACCGATAAACCTTTTTTATATTAAAAGTCCACTTCTTCTCTCTGAGATCTCAACAAGGGACGTGGAACTGATAGCTGAATAACTGGGGACATGCCTGGAGTAGATATTGTAGCAAGCCTGATCAAAATTCATGAAACTTACAAACGTAGGTTTGTCAGTCTCTACAGGGTGCAGACCAACAGTGCACAAATATCACTAATGCAAATGTAAAAGGCGCAGGTTACTTTTGATTTTTCAGAAATAATAACACCTTTAAACACCAGGGCTTGCATTACTTGGGAGATTGGTCATGATTTTTTTCAAATCATTTTGAAAGAACATCCTAACACAATCTCAAAGAAGCTTCTTGTCAAGAAAATGGAAGCTGATGAAGTTTTACTGACTGGAGTACAGATGATTAGTCACAAATGCCAAGAGCACAAGTACCATAGCAATAGGTACAGTCACCTTCTGCCTGTCTCCAGCTCCTGCATTAGGTCAGCTTACTGTCTTCTAACATTGGTATACAGTGTTCAATTTAGTTGGCATGTGTGGAGCACAAACTTGGACATTACTATTTCTGAGAACATGAGATGATGTCTGTAGCTTTCCTTGAACATACTTTGAAATTAGTCATTTTAAGAACAACTGAGAAGCATCAATAACAAAACAATGTTGACATTGCAACATCTTAAATCAGAATTCCTCTTCGAATGATTCCAGTCTTCTGATCCAATACCAACCTCGCTTCAACTGCTGGGAACTGGGATCAAGTACCAACAATCAACATAGGTGAAACGAAGAAACGAAGGAAGGAGGAAAAGGAGAGAAGAAAATTCATCCTATTTTAGGTGAACGTTTGGTCTGTTTGGGTGCAACACTAAATTCTATGTTCTGAAATGACAGTTCCAGTACCAACTGCCAAATATTCCATCCAATGCAGCCCAGTCCCTCATGGAAAACAGACTATCCATCTTGTTAACTAATTGCTGCCCTCTAATATCAGAAAAAGAGCTCACTCTCCTGACATACCTTGTTAACAAGCACATCAGTTGTCGGACTTCCTCTCTCATTGAAGCAGTACCACGCCGCAGATTATAATCAAACAGCTCTCTGATAAGTCCCTGGGAAACCAGAATCTGCCGTATTGTGTTGTTGGTAGCGAGGGCACGAAGCAATGTTATACAATGCTCAGTAACAGCTGAGGCACAGCCATAACACTTTGTTGAAGAGGTGTGACCACAGCCAAGGACAGACAGAGCTCGATATTGACTGGCTGTGAACGTGGGCTGAGTTGATGATCGTGATGACTTTGTTGCAGCTTCTCGTTGATGAAGATCATATTCCAGCAGCTCCTTCCGTGAAGCCAGCACTTTCTGTAAAACAAACAAGATGTTGAAACTGTTTGTCATACAACTTGATGAACCCTAAATTAAATGTTCAAAAGTTAATGCACACTTTTAAATCCAAGACATTTAATCATCACAACAACAGCATATTTAATTTTACAGCTACCTGCCTTACTGTTCACCGCCTCGAGTTATATTATTCTTATAAAATCTTGTGTATGTTGGACAAACTTGACATTTATTTGAATTTTTCTACCTGAATAATTTTGGACAACTCATCGAAGGACGTCTTGCAATCGCCACAATATTCCTGAGCCAGTTGCTGGATGTAGCGATTCACACTTGCTGCAGTTGAGCTGATTCCAGCAACACCACTGGAATCATCCTGGGAAATAAGAATGAATGAATAATTAAGGCTAATTTCTTGACGTACAAAATGCAACTGATTTCCACAGCTGTTAAAAGAACAGACAGGACATTTAAAACATCGGACCATTCAGTCCTTCACATCTGATTCGTCTTTCAAAACCGTTCATGGACATTCCAGTTGTGTTCTTAACTCCAGTTTCCTGTTTGTTTCCATAACCTTCAATACAATCTCTTGGCTATCAAAAGTCAACCTAACTCAGCCGAGTAAACTCAAATGACCGAACCTCCAGGTGTTTTCCGGAATAGAATTCCGTAAACTAAGGTCCATCAGAAAAAAAAAGTCATCTCAGTCTTAAAACAGGATTTTTTTTTTTTTTTTTTTTTTTAAAACTGACTCTTAGTTCTGTGAATGAAGTACAAAAGCAAAAATGTCACACTATAGAAAGCACCAATTTGTCCAGTAAGGATTGTGGCCAATTCTGAGAAGTTGAGATTTATTAAAATGCCTGGAATGAGGGATGCAGTTATATGGAAAGTCTGGAGAAGCTGGAATGGTTTTCCTTAAAGTAAAATAGGTTCAAAAGATATGCAAAAGAAACGCTCAACATGATGTGGAAATTGTTAGAACAGAAGGGGAAAAATATTTGACTGGTAGGATGTTTAGTGACCAGAGAACACAAGTTTAAGGCAACTGTCAAAAAAAGTCCGAAGTATAACAGAGGAATTTTATGAGATTTGGTGAGATCTGGAATTCATTAGCTGAAAGAGTAGTGGAAACAGATTTAACATTAACTTTCAAAAGTGAATTAGATGTGCTCTTAAAAAGGAATATTTTGCAGGATATTGGTGAAGAACAGTGGATTCAAGCCAATAAAGATGCACAACTCTAATAACATGCTAGCACGGGAATAATGGGCAATTGGCCTCCTTCTATACTGAATTATTCTGTGAAATGGAAGCATAAAGTGAATAAAAGAGATTGATAATGGACTGGCAAATATTAGACTTCAGAGTCTGAATAAAGCAGGCGCTTGATGAAACATTTTGGTTGCCCATGTACAGAACTGAATGAGTAGAGAAATTATCACTTCTTAAATACACAGACACAGTACCTGCAAGTCATTCGAAAAACAGTTTGCTCACATTGTAATTGTAGAGATTTATTTTAATATTTGAGACTCCCTCATTCCCTGCCCGAATCTCTTTTACCCCCGGACTTCTACCTTTAAAAGTCATTGAGACCCACCTATTCAATGCAGTTTTTAGTCATCAACAATAGAAACAGAAATTGCTGTTCTAGAAAATAGAAAAACTCAGTAGGATGGTATCATCAATGCGGAGAAAGCAGAGTTAACGTTTTAGGTCCAGTGACCCTTCTTCAGAACTGATATTAGCTGCATAAAGATTGGTATTTATGCAGAGAATGGGGAAAGAGTAAACGATTGCTCGTGATGGAACCCAAACAAAGAGGAAAACAGTTGGACAGACGAAGGACTGGGTAAAGTTCAGCCTGGGAGAATAAATAGCTATTAATGGGACTATTAATAGCTGATGATGGGTTGTGTGGTAGCAGCCCATGTGATGACAAGACCTGGTGTGTGTGGGGTTGTGATAAAACTTGGAGGAAGGTGCTAAAACCCCCGACTCAATAGAATCCAGGAGGCTGCAGAGTTCCCAAGTGGAAAATGAGGTGTTGTTCTTCCAGGTCGCGCAGAGCTTCTCTGCAGCAATGCAGCAAGCTCAAGACAGAGATGTTGGCCAGGCAACACAGTGGTGTGTTTAAATGACAGGCAACTGGAAGCTCAGGATCATTTTTGTGGACAGAATGTAGGTTGTTCTGCAAAGTGGTCACTCAATTTGCACTTCGTTTCCCCCATGTAGAGGGACATTATGAGCAGTGAATGCAAACAAGAGTGAACTGCTTCCTCTTGAGGGTGAGTTTGGGTGTGGTGCTGTTACCACCTTCTGCGACTACAGGGGAAAATGCTGGGAGTGAAGGAGGAGTGGACCAGGGTGTCCCAGAGAGAATGGTCCCTGTGGATGGCTGTAAAGGGAGGGGAATATACGTGTCTGGTGGCGGCATGCCACTGGAGGTGGCAGAAATGGCACTCTGTGATTTTAGTCACCACACTAGTTGTGTCTGTTTCTATTATTATTTCTGTAAAGTCCCTGGTGAGATTCTATACATAATTAAAAAGTGTCTACAAAGGGACAGGTTGCCCTGCTAAATATCTTTCAACCAGTGAAACCTTTACCTGTGGTTTCTCAGGAGCTGCCTCACTAACTTTCACCAACAAAGTTTCAAGCTGTGGCCTGTGTCCCATCAGCTGATGATAAACACGGTCAGCTTTATCCAACAGAGTGTTTATGTTTGTCACCGCCTGCAGGACCAAAGCCAAGACAGAACAAAATTAGTAAAATTACAGCATCTTGATTTAAAAGGCAGAAAGGCAAAATATAATCAAAGGGGTTGTAATCCAATGATTCTCAACCAGATATTCCCCAAAACTAGTCCAATAAAGGGGGTCACGCCCCGGCTAAGTCTAAAACAGAGTCAGAGTATTTCCCCAGGTCATCTCACCTTCTTTCTGTCCTCCTCATTTTCAATTGGGTCCACTGCACAGCATGGTTTGGCATACAGCATGAAATCAAACCGTGCATATTTGCAGAATCCACAGGCATTGCATAGGAAAGGATCTTTCTCATCATAATTAATAGACCTGTTAAAAAGACAGCAGTTGAATTGCTCTCAATGATCATAATTTTCTCATGACATCCACCTAAAAGATTACTCAGGACAGAATAAAGTAATAAAGTAAGAGTCAAATCAAGTTACTGAGCATAAATAGACAGTCGGAATTTACTAAATGTGCAACCAAAGATTAAATGCAGGCTCCCCAATAAACAGACATTCGTGCCACACAAGTGCTAGGCAATGACAAATTGCAACTGAGAATCTAACCATCTCCCCATGACATTCCATGGTATTGCCATTGCAGAATCAACAAACATGCTTGGGGTTTTGGCTAGAAACTGAACTGGGTCAGCTACATAAATACTGTGGCTACAAGAGCCGATTAGAGGGTGAAAATTTGGAAGTAGTTAACTCAGTTCCTGGCTCTACAAAGTATTGCCCACCTTCTACAAGAGACTCATGTGGATCAGTGTGTTTCCAATGACACTCAAGAGGCTTGGCGCCATGCAAGACAGAACAGTCCATTTGATTAGCACACCACCCACCAACTTCAAAATTCACTCCCTCCATCATCAGTACAATGCAATCTGTACTATATTTAACTTTCACTGTTGCAACTCAACAAGTCACCTTCAACAGCACACTCCAAATCATTTACCATCCAGAAGGACAAGGGCTGCTGATGAATGGGAACACCATTCCCTTGAAATTCCCATGAAATTCCCATTCAAGCCAAACACCATCCTGATATGCACATATATTGATGCTCCTTCAGCATCACTTGATTAGGCTCCTAGATCTCCTGCCCCAACAGCACAGACTATATCCCTAGAGGGATAGCACTGGCTCAAGATGATGTCCTACCACAACCTTCTCAAGGTCAGTTAGGGATGGGCAATAAATGCTGGCCTAGACACCTGCATACCACAGAAGAATAAAAACAAGGTGACTTTCAAAGATGCATGTTCATGGAACAGATTCATTGAGACAAAATTAAATTCCTTTCCTGGCACTGCAATGTGCCTCAAAGCAGAATGCGCACATTGGCCACTACGTTACAATCAGCCCAGTAACTGCACTATTTTGCAAAATCCTCAGGCCTCCTAAAGGATAAAATATAGATAACAGGTAAAAATCATTTCAAGTAATAGATAAAAATTCATGTTTTTACTTTCGCACTTGAAGTGCTGAGCTCAGATTGTTTCTAAAACTATTTCCATCAGTTGCCTGCATGTCATATTGTGTTTAAGTGACCTGCCAATGCCATGCAAAAGTGATCGCAAACTTCATTTTGGTGCTCTCCACTAATATATCTCAACTACCCTGACTATGCAAAATACTGTTGGTCAAGTCAATTGGGAAACCAGTCTTCGTATTCATCAAATCAGTCAACTGAAAAATAGAAAGTATTTAAAACTATTTAATTTTTGACAAAATATTTCAGAGATTCAAAATTTATTTCAACTTCTAATAACTATAGGGTGAAAGCAGCTGTATTGTGAACAACAGTATTTGGAATGTTTACCAGAGAAGCTATATGTCACAAGTGTGACTGACAGTCAAGAAAGTGTCATCCAAATCTCATCAACACAGTAGCATAGTCTGAGATGTAATTGTGAACTCCAGAGTAAGGCATAGTATTATTGTTATTGTTTTATGTTAATTTTATTTTCACCAGTTGTCTACAAGTCCACTCACCTGCATTTGTGGCACTGGTATACATTCTCCCCACAGTTACCACAAACACCTGGATTGGCAGGAACGGATGCACTGCAACGTGGACACTGCAAGGTCTCGGTTGATGCTTGGTAATTCTCATAAAAGTCAGCAAACTCAATCATGAGGTTGGATGCTACAATGGGGAGTGGGAGATCAATCTTCACTTCAGTCTGACCTGGTGTTAGCTGAACCTTTTTAGCTTTGTGCCAACGAGCGGGCCTAAAGAGAAAGGTCATGTGGTTGGTGAGGCAAAAATGACCATAGAACAAAGTTAGAATTTAGTCAGGTCATAAACTGTAAAATTTGAACCACACCTGAATTGATTTAGAATTACACTATTTACATTAAATGCAATAAAATCAAGCAAGACCATGTGAGCAGAAACTCACTGACACTGGGCAGTGGTTTCCATTCATTGTTTTAGACGGCCTTTACTGTCCTCAGGATGTCGCAAAATGACTCGCAGCTGATTATTTACCCTTGAAGTGTACATTACCGCAGAAATGCTCGTTCAATTTGGCAACAAGGCCCACAAACAACAAAGAAATATGTGACTATACATCTACTTTTAACATTGCCACGTCAAAGTGTAAAGCCCTGATCATCTTTCAGTAATGTATGAAACCATTTATGTCCACCTGAGGGCAGACAAATTAACATGCCATCTGAAAGAAGGAACCTCTGACATTGCCTAAAAATTCCCACCTCGGATAAGAATGTTAGCACTAAATCAAGACTGACATTCAAGTAAAAGCATGGTCTAAATGAGCACGAAGAGTGACAGGAGATTTTTTATCAACACAGAATATGCAGAAAATAATTCAATTTGCAGACTGTTTACAGATAGCCAGAACTTGCACCTCCATTTTGGAAAAACTAAAACCAAACATTCATTCATCATCATTTAAAAGTATGTAATTATAGCCAGATACTCACTTGTTTTTCAGTTCTACAATAGCCTGCACTGTTCTGTTGTTGTAATATAGATTAATGGTGCGAACCATCTTAGTGCGTTTCAGATCTCCAATCTTCACAGTCACTTTGCTGATGGTGTGACTGCCAATCAGTTTCACCACTTGCTGTGTAGTTGTGTAGCGTGTGTCTACTTTGATTGATGAAAGCTTAATATTCTGAAAAGAGACCACTTAAAATTACCAAAACATTTACGTGGATAAAATACAAGAGAAAACTAAGATGGAATTGGCAGTCCAGTGCGGAGTTTATTCGTTCCTTTGGGAGTTCACACTATGTATTACTCAATCATTGGGAGAGTGACAGATTTCTGTGGTTGACAGGATGGTTTGGTTGTGTCAGACCAAAACATGAGCAGAAAGCAATCATATTTTCAAAACCACATGCAACAGAAACAAATTTCTAACCAATAATATTCATGGAGGAGAATGATGATAACGACAGACACAGAAACAAATAAAATCTTCATACATTCAAGGAAACAGCTTTCCAGAGGAAAAGAAGAACGTTAAAATGGTTGCTCTTACTGCAATGCCAGACATACAGCCAGGTGTACTTTTATACTTACTGTGAATGGCACCTCAGGGTTATTACAGACAAGACAGGGATCACTCTCTAGGTAGTATCCATCAAACTCAACTAGACCAGACAGCATACTGTACCAAAGTAAAAGAGAAAATATAGGGACATTATTGAATCTGCAAACAGCATAACAACAGCACTTCTTTCAACAGTTCTTGGTCTACATATAATGTGCTCATTTATGACAAACAACAGTCATTTAAATAAATATGTTGCTCACTTATAAATGTTGGAGTTGGGGTGGTTGGTGAGAATATGGTTCTGAGTACGAAGAATCTCCACTGCCTTGTGAGAGTATTCTTTCAGCTAAGAACAAAAAGAAACTGGCAGTCAAATACAACATGAATAATGCAGGAATATACAATGCAGGAATATACAAAACTGTCAAATTCCCTACAAGGATTTGATCTTGTAATGCTGCAGACATTGGCCACAACCCACTGCCACTTTCTTTTTACCTTTTTTTCAGTCTGTGGAGTCTTCAGTGAGAAGTACCCCAGAAGATCCACAAACTGTGCAGCTTTGCGTCCATAAGCTGGGAGCTCTGGCCAAATTGACCACATCAAGTCCAGTAACAGCTCCTGTTGCGATTTGCCAGAACTCCTAAGTTGTACCAAAATAAAAAAAAATTCTACAATTAGCAGAAGCAAAAAACCAAAGAAACATCACCGTGAGGTAGGCTATTTCCACAGCATACCTGACATCACCACCATCCCACTCAAATTCTATGTTGCAATCTCCTCCATTCCCCCTCCTCCTCAAAACACACCCTCCACAAACACCCAGACCAACCAGATCACATTCTGACTTGTAAATACACAGACACCAGTACCCCTCATTTCCACCTTTCCAGACTACGCCCATCTTAAACTTCCACTACCTGAGGGGTTACTACAACATAGGAGCAGTCCAACCCTGTTGTCCTGAATCACTGTTCAGGCCTAAGAGGATCTAATAAGAGCACTGTACAGATGCAACTTAACTTTCCGCTTCCTTGTATCTTGACCTCAAGGTAAAAGGTGATATTCCATTATCATTCAGTGATTTCTGGACTACCCCTAAATCTCTGTTCCTTACCGTTTCCAGTTTTTATCATTGAGAACATACTCTGATCTATGTTCTTTGGGTCTAAAAAGTAGATGACATATTTGCCAAACAGAAGCTGCATGTCACAGACAGAGCTGAGCAATGCCATAATCAACAAATCAGATCAAATATCTGCAGTCATGCCACATTCAACTGTCAAGTGCAATGGTCAATTTAAAACCTACGATACATCATAGTATACAACTCCATCTGGATTCATGATTTTAAAGCACTGAGTGTCAGACACTGACTGCAAGGCATCTGACATTGTTAAAAGAAGTTCAACCCTCACACCCCATCCACGCAATAAAAACCAAAAAAGAATCCCCCTCGTCCTCACGTACCACCCCACCAACCTCCGGATCCAACGCATCATCCTCCGACACTTCCGCCATCTGCAATCCGACCCCACCACCAAAGACATCTTTCCCTCCCCACCCTTATCTGCTTTCCGGAGGGACCACTCTCTCCGTGACTCCCTTGTCCGCTCCACACTCCCCTCCAGCTCCACCACACCCGGCACTTTTCCCTGCAACCGCAGGAAGTGCTACACCTGTCCCCATACCTCCATCCCAGGCCCCAAGAAGACTTTCCACATCAAGCAGATGTTCACCTGCACATCTGCCAATGCGGTATTACTGCATCCGCTGTACCCGGTGTGGCTTCCTCTACAATCGGGGAAACCAAGCGGAGGCTCGGGGACCGCTTTGCAGAACACCTACGCTCGGTTCGCAACAAACAACTGCACCTCCCAGTCGCGAACCATTTCAACTCCCCCTCCCATTCCTCAGACGACATGTCCATCCTGGGCCTCCTGCAGTGCCACAACGATGCCACCCGAAGGTTGCAGGAACAGCAACTCATATTCCGCTTGGGAATCCTGCAGCCCAATGGTATCAATGTGGATTTCACAAGCTTCAAAATCTCCCCTCCTCCTACCGCATCCCAAAACCAGTCCAGCTCGTCCCTGCCTCCCTAACCTGTTCTTCCTCCCACCTATCCCCTCCTCCCACCTCAAGCCGCACCTCCATCTCCTACCGAATAACCTCATCCCACCCCCTTGACCTGTCCGTCCTCCCTGGACTGACCTATCCCCTCCCTAACTCCCCACTTACACTCACCTTTACTGGCCCCAACCCTGCCTCTTCGACTTGTTTGTTTCCTCTCCACCTATCCTCTCCTCTATCCATCTTCTAGCCACCTCCCACTCTCTCCCTATTTCAGAACCCCCTTCCCCTCCCCCTTTTCTGAAGAAGGGTCTAGGCCCGAAATGTCAGCCTTTCTGCTCCTATGATGCTGCTTGGCCTGCTGTGTTCATCCAGCCCTGCACCTTGTTGTCTCTTTGCTTATATTGTGGGGGTTTATGACTAGACAGCAAAAACATCAAGCTCAGCAGATTAGCAGAATTGAATTTGAGAAAGTTTTTAAATAAGTTGGTTTAAAACTTTTGAATTCAGTTCAAAAAGCCTCAAATGAAGTCAGATGCAGTCATAGTTTCTCCTAGAAAGGAAATTGTTCTGAACAGTTAAGGGAGGAAGTTAACTCAGGAAGAGTTTAGCTTTTGAAACTTCAAAACCAGGAGTGTTTAGTTAGAAATCTGCAGTTCATTAGAAGACCAAAGTCTAATGTTTCAGTTTTGGGAATGTTGGAATATTCCAGAGGAAAAAAAGCCAGAGTTCAGTGGATAGGAACTGAGAAAAAACAGTTAAGGCAAAACTACAGATTGGAGTGGCAAGAAAAGTTTCTGAAAGTGCACATAGTACAAGAAAAGATCATGATTCGTACGGTTGGTGGGGGGAAAAAAAGAAAGAGAGATCTGCCACTAGTAGTCCATAAAGGAGATAAAAGGCAAGAGGTGGATGTAACCTGACACAAACAAGGAGCATGGAACAGGCTGGAAACACCATGAGAAGCCGAAGACCCCGCCCCCCCAGGGTGAAACATTAAAGAGGCAACAAACAGATCAGAATTTGAACAGATACAGGAAGCCAAAAAAAAATTTGATGATTACACTGAGGAACTAGATAGGGGACAGCCTGCCTGCCTGCCTTATCACACAGATGCTATGCAAAGAAAAGGGGCTCCCAATGGGACACTGAAGCCTAAAACGAGACAAGTGGCACAGGACTTCAAAGAGAAACTTGGTCATCAAGATGGTGGAGAACAGATCCCCCTGCTGCAGGAAAATGACTTTGAAGAACAGTTTAGTTCTTTTCAACCACACGTCTGGAAATGTAAGTCAATCTATGCAAAAGCTACATTTTTGCAGGGTGAGAAGTCTCAAAAGGAAACTAGTTTTTAAAATCAAGAAGCAGATGGTAAAGACTGTAAAGCTATGGAAGTTAAATGTGTTTATGGGTTGAATGGTGCAGCAAGACTATGGTATTTCCCAGTTATATCCATTTCACTGAAAGTAGGTTGTGTTCAGCTTGAAGCAGATCCAGCAATGTGCTACTGGTGTCACAAAGGAGGACTGGCAGCATCTATATAATATACATTGATTATTTTCTATAGAGAGGTTTTATGGAAATTCATCAACGTGTGAAACATAAATTAAAAGGGAACGTGTATTCCCAAGGTAGGAAAAGAGCACCACCATTAAAAATGGCTACTATAATTCATCTGCACATGTGTAGTTGCACCTGTGGCATTATGCAACTATTGGGCGAGGGAAAAGTCGTGTTTTCACAGAAATACACAGTAGCAACGAAGATGGAATGCAGACATCATACTTGTATATTTTGCACTGTTCGAAAGCGAGGGACCAAGAGTGTACGAGTCCATATAATCAATGTAAAAACACGCACTAAGTAATAGAAACATAATGCAGGGAGTATACACATCACTATTACACTTTACTTACAGCTTAAAACACTTAAATAATAATGTAATTTTGCCTTAAATAAAAAAAACTTACTGGCAAAGAGTCTTCTCACTTGCCCCTTCAATTGACTACTTGGACATCGTGGAGATCACAATGATACAGTAAACTTCTGATATTTCAGGTATATAATTTTTGCCTGTTGTTCAAACATACTGGTTCACTAGGTGCTGGTTAAAGCAAAGTGTGCTGTACTATAATTGCACCCGGACTGATACTTGGTTGAATTCACCTTTCTGATGTGAAGCTACCAGATGGAGATTTTCTCTACACCGCTACGTCAAACAAGTTTTGCTATGTAGTTGCATCTGCAGCAAAGCAAAAGCTTATAAGGCAATCTCTCAAATCACCTAAACTTTCAAATGTTAGTAAACAGTCCTCTGTTTAGTGGCATCACACCAAGTGTCACTCCAATTCTGCACAGATGGGTGCAGAGCTCCACTTAGCAGTGGAGTTGGCTACAAATGTAGTTAAAATTAAAAGGGAATTTAAGATCAGAAGTCAGGATTAGACATTAAACAGAATAAATCAGAAGTGGCTTCAGATCAACAATCTTACTGGGAAAGTGTTAATTACTTCCCAATAATTCAAGCCAAGTTCCCTCAGAATGATGATTTTGCATCCAAGGAAGAAATAGGCCAGCTGAGAAGTTTAACTGGATGGTTACACTCAGGCTAAACCTCATGTCCTATGACGTATTCGAACTGAATAGTAGCATTTTTGATCCTAGTATTCAAAAATTCAAGAGCAAATTAAAAAATTGTAAAAATTAAGTTCAGAAAAATGCACACCCAGGTTTCCAGCCTTGAGTGGCCCAGAAATTACAAAGGCAGTATTTATAGTGATTTCAATTTCCTGGATAGCTATTCTCGTGCAACAAGTTTTATTATATTCTTGGTGGAAAGTAACAATAAATGCTGTCCTTAGCCTTTATTTTCTTAGCTTCTCAGGCTAACAAAAATACCTTAGCTGCTGAAACATTGGTGCTAGTATAAGCTAAAAATATAGCTGTGATAACGGCATATTTATCCAATATTCGAATGGGAATCTTATACATGGGCAATCAGAGAAAAGTCTGCCTGTAGAAAATTGCTGATAATGGTTCTCTTTGGGACAATGTACATTCAACAAAGGCTGTTGCTGAGAAAATGTTGAGGATTGACATTGTTAGAATAAAAGAAATAATTAAAGGTACTATGCACAATTAATTTATTCAACAAATCATGGCACATTAACTTCCCAAGAATTAAGGGCGTTATGAATTTGTTTCACATTTCAGATTGGAGACCATGTAGTCTGGCACCCGCCCAATTTTGGAATAGTTTTTGGAGATTTCAAAAATTGACACAAATTTAAGGATCTTGCAAACATTTGTAGCTTGGGTTGTTGGCTTGCTCGCTGAGTTGGCTGGTTATCGTACAGATGCTTCATCACCATGCTAGGTAACATAAGTGTGGCCTCCGATAAAGTGATGTTGTTCTAGTCCACCTGGTATTTATATGATCCAATCTGTTAAGTTGGGGTGTGTCATTTCCAATTCTGTTCGGCGTGGGTTTGTATGTGGAGTCTAATTCCACATTTGTTGATTGCATTGCGGGTTGAAAAGCCAGGCCTCGAGGAATTCCCATGAGTATCTGTGGTTGGCTTGAGCCAGAATGGCCACGTTGTCCCAGTTAAATTGATGGCCTTCATTGTCCGAGTGCACAGAGATGAGAAAAAGTTTGTTGTGTCGTTTTGCTGCTAGCTGGTGTTCGTGTATCCCGATGGCTAGTTTCCTTCCAGTCTGGCTGATGTATTGTTTATTGCAGTCATTGCAAGGTATTTTGTAAACTACGTTGGTCCTGCATATCATGGGTATGGGGTCTTTGGTCCTTTTATGAGTGTTTGTCATAGTGTGGCTGTGGGTTTTTGAGCTACCATGATTCCTAGTGGTTGTAGGAGTCTTGTTGTCAGTTCTGATATGTTCTTGATATGGGGTAGTGTGGCCAGGGTACTGGGGCATACTGTGTCCTCTTGGCGTCATCTATCTAGTAGGTGCCTGCGGATGAAGTTGTTGGGATATCCATTGTTAGCAAAGACCTTGTGTAGGTGTTTCATCCTCCTTCTTGTGTAGTTCTGGCACACTGCAGTGAGTTGTGGCCCATGCGAATAGTGTCCTAACACAGCAATGTTTGTGGAAGTTGGGGTGATTGCTGTGGAAACTGAGGATTTGGTCAGTGTGGGTTGCCTTCCTATATACTGAAACGGAAGTTGATTCTGGTCTTCCTGTTCTCTCGGAAATTCGAAATGTTGTTGATGAGATGGTGTCTCTCTTCTAATTTGGTGCATTTAATGATGACAACGTGTCGTCCACGTATCGGGTCCACAGTTTTGGCTGTATGAGGGGGAGGGTAGTATGTTCCAGTCTTTGCATGACTGCCTCTGCAAAAAGTCCATAGGTGTGCCATTGATTTGCTTGTACATTTGGCCATTAAAGAGAAAGTGTGTGGTGAGGCACAGGTCCAGTAGTCTGAGTATTTTGTCCTTGCTGATGGAGCCGTTTGAAGTTGGCATCCGTGCTGCACCCTGTAATGTGGCAAGTGTTTCTTTGGCTAGTGGTATGTCAATGTACACGAACAGTGCTTGCAATGACTGCAACAAACATTATATCGGCCAGACTAGAAGGAAAGTAGCTATCAGGATACACAAACACCAGCTAGCAGCAGAACTTTCCCTCATCTCAGTGCACTCGAATAATGAAGGCCATCAATTTAACTGGGCCAATGTGGCCATCCTAGCTCAAGCTGACCACAGACATGCACGGGAATTCCTAGAGGCCTGGTTTTGCAACCTGTACTGCAATCAATAAACACGTGGAATTAGACCCCATATACAAACTCACGGATAACAGAACCGAAAATGACACAACCCAACTTAACAGACCTGATCATATAAATACCAAGCGAAGTAGAACAACATCACTTCATCAAAGGCCGCACTGATGATGTCACCTAGCATGGCGACAAAACGCCCATACAATAACCAGCTAGCTCTATCAGCAAGCCAACAACCTCACTGACATAAATACCAAGTCAATGGTTAACAGAAACAAAAACAGCAATTACTGGATAATTTCAGCAGGTATCGCAGCATCTATGGAAAGAAAGCAAAGTTAACTTTTGAGTTCAGTGACATTTCTGATCTGAAAAACAGTCACTGGACTGCAAACATTATCTCTGCTTTCTTTCCGTAGATGATGCCAGGCCTGCTGAGCTTCTCCAGCAATATGTGTTTATCTGCAATTTGTTTTATTTTGTAGTAACAGGAGCTGCTCCACAAATATTCCCATTCTCAATTATGGGATAAGGCAGTACTTCTGCCCAAAACGTAAGGCTGATCCGTGAGATTCTCTGCCTCCTCCCAAGCTCACCGGCATCACGGATGCCAGTCTTCAACCAATTTACATCATGTGACATCAAGACACAGATAAAGTCACTGGATACTGCAAAGACTGAATGTCCCAGCAATAGTATTGAGTACTTGTGTTCCATCCAGAAACAAGTTAGATCGTCCAACCACTGCAATTTGTCATTCATTCTTTCCAAAATGACTCACCTGTAGATGTGTAGAGTAAGACAGTGAGCCTGCCAACGCACAGATGAGGAATTCGATTCCAGCAGGAAACATCGTAAAAACTGAATCAAAGTTTCTTTGTCAGCAAACTTATTCAGTTGATTGACCAAAGCTGTGCAGAGCTGATCTTCCTGACTGCTTGTGCTCTCTGTTAAAAGAGAAGGATGACAATTTTCCTGGCTGACATGGCTGAAGTTACAATCTCACAGCCTAACAATTTGCATTATAGAAACTTGACCCGTGTTCTCAGATTGCTGGCAAGAGCACAATTTGCCCATCCCCAGCTTGCCTGAGGGTTAAACACCTTCTTGCTCATTCTGGTGGTGATGCCAAGCTTGCAGGGATTCAATTATAGTTTAATACAAGAGCTCCAGGGCTTTTACAGAGAGAGAGTGAGAGAGAGAGAGAGAGAGAGAGTGAGAGAGAGAGTGAGAGAGAGTGAGAGAGAGTGAGAGAGAGTGAGAAAGAAGAAATAATTACAGATGTACCTTGTCCTGAGACATTGCCTGAGTTATTGTTATAGTCTGGTTGTTTTTTCCTTTGCCTACATTAAGAATATTTTCATAATTGCACATCTTGCCTGGACACAGTAGGGTGTGCAACACTCCCAAAGTAGGGTCTGCTAAGATTAGAGACACCATAAAGCTCCCACAATATTGTTTCATGAAGCACCATCTGAGCGGATACAACAGAAGTTAGCAAGAGTAAAAGTTCTGTTCCATCAACCCCAGCTGAATTGCAGCATTGATAAGAGGATGATTACAATTTACTGCAAAGAAAAGTGCCCGAGTTCAAACCGTACAGAAAACCCTTATATTCTCATGTAAAAACTTCTACTTCCCAAAGCAGTCAACCTTAAATATTACAGACACCATGAATTGTCAATTTTACTAAGCCTTGGCAACAACTGCTTTATGAATATGCCATTACCACACAACAGGCTAAATGCAGCAGACTGATTTTATGCAACAGTGTCGAGAGAGAGCAGTCCAATCTCGTTCCAATTTCAGTTTGGCTTTGACCCCAGATTCAGAAACTGACAAGACAGGATACTAACCAACGGTAATTTCATTTTCATTTTGCAGATTGTCATTAGGAAAATGTATATAATAGGTGTTTGGCATCAAACTCCTTACAAAAGGTCCAAATGAATTTGTCAAATCAATGACATCATCAAGGGAAAATGTATAAATAATAGCACAGCAATTTTTTTTTTATTCATTAACGGGATGAGGACGTCGCTGGCTAGGCAGCATTTATTGTCCATCCCTAATTGCCCAGAGGGCCATTAAGAATCAACCACATTGCTGTGGGTCTGGAGTCACATGTAGGCCAGACCAGGTAAGGATGGCAGTTTCCTTCCCGAAAGGACATTAGTGAACCAGATGAGTTTTTCTGACAATCGACAATGGATTCATGGTCATCATTAGACTCTTAATTCCAGATATATTTTACTGAATTCAAATTCCACCATCTGCCGTGGCAGAATTCGAACCTGGCTCCTCAGAACGTTATCCGGGTCTCTGGATTAACAGTCCAGTGAAAATACCACTAGGCCATTGCCTCCCCTTGAATGGCATTATCCATAAACATAAGGGATTACTCGATCTCCTGTCTGAGGTTTAAGTTTGTAGACAACAGAAGTCATTTTCATTTGCTTTAACATTAATCATGTGCGCACACACACACACACTTTTATTTCACTATGATATGTAAATGCTTATAATTTTCCCTAATAATATAGTTTGTAGTGAGGTTTTTACAGCGTACCATCCTTCTCTCGCTCCTCTTTCTTGCTCTTTTTGCTGGAAGATTTGGACCCAGACTGTCCTGAGCTGGAGGAAGCTGCAGTTGTTCCAGTGCCCCCTGTGCTGCCGGACGATGTTGTAGAGAGCACTTTACTGCCACAGAGTGCACAGGAAAGCAATTGGAGGAGAACTGGGGAGACTCCTTCATCCACAAGAAAACTAACCTGGAGTAAGAAATATAAAACAGCTGGCGGGAAAGAGAGGGAGGGGAGGAAAGGGGAAATACAGATAAGAGGTTCAATTTATTTGATTTACTTGAAGCATAAATGCAATTTTAACACTAGCAAAAAAGATCACAAAAAATCCTTCTGCCGAAGCGGAAGAAATGTTTAGAAAAATTTTTTTTTTTTTTTTTTAAAATGCCACCATTGCATTATGTTCAGGAAATGCTCTACTTGAGCTAAGATTTACTTTTCAAAGAAAACTTTGGGTGTTTTGAATGGGGTTTCAGTACATAAGCATTTACAGATACTGAGTTTATTGCTGTTTCAGATAAAAATGACTTACATGAAAAATATATTGAAGGCATTGGGGGAGTTGGATTGTACAGGATGGCTCATGACGCAAATGTAAATGGCAAAGACTACATGCTGTAACATTGAATTAAAACGAGATACCGTGATCCATGGCTTTAAGTTTGGCTTGAATGAAACTGATAACAAAAAATTGAACTTTGTAGGCTTTTAAAATAAGAGTAAACAAGGAAAATATGAATTTTTTTTTTTTAAAAATGTCAGTCTCTGGAAACTGTACCAGAATGTGGAGGACAATCTCTATAGAACTGAAATGCTGGGAATCATTTGCACATGCACTAACATAGCAAACACCCAGACAGCTTAATTAAATGTTACTCTTACAATCATCCTTGAGGCTGAACTTTTGCCAGTTTACTGTCCGTTGACTGGCGATCTCTGCACATGCCTTTAGATGCTCCATCTGAAAGAGGCAAAGGTATTAAACTGACAGTTAATCACTTTGAACAGAATAAATAGTTGCGAAGCTGAACTGTTTGTTAACAAATTGGACATCAGCAGTGTTGAAAAATACAAAATGGACTAAAAGATAAAGATAGACTGTATGACATGAAACTGTGAAGTCGAACCTTATACCATTCGGACAGAGTCTGAAAAATGCCTCATTTGTAAACCTCTATCCACTGTTAAAAATGTAATATAAACATTTTAATGCAGTTTCACAAAAGATTTATTTTGAAGATTAAATAACTATCATGGGCCAGCAATAGGAGAGTCATGATCACCAGCAGTAGGCCTCAACTCACCAAGCTAATGAGTGTGTCATATTGCAGTGCAGATCCTGAGGATGCTGTGACCACACCACCACGCAAATGGATTCCCTGCTCCTCCAGCAGTTTTTTAATTCCTCTAACGTGAGAGTCAAGTGTGTGTAGATCTCGGAGCTGACGGTACTTTTCTTTTGATCCACAAATGAACAGTAAGAGTTTGCGAACTTGACGACGAACAAAAGGCGTCTGCTGGATCATTAGATACTGGAACAAGAACAAGCTTTCACTGTTAAAAGAACTAAGCAACTGCACGAGCAGACACCACAACCATGCATGACCAGCTGGTGTTGCTGTGGATTTCCAAATCAGACACTCACTTCAGACAGGAAGTAGAACCAAGAATGGTCAAAGATTGGCGGTGGAATCCGAGAGTTTGCATCAGCGATCTTCTTTATTTGGTACGGTAATCTCAGCACCATTTCAGTCAAGAGCTGTGAGTATGCCTCAAACACATCTGCAGCGTGACCCTGAAAAACCAGTAGTTATTTAGGAAGAGTTAGAACAAACTGAAACTTGTACTTAATTAAACATGGGATAATATCACCAACACATTTGTCTACTGCCTCAATTAACCTCATGCAAAAAAAAGTATATTTCCCTCCTCATATGTGCTTATATACACCTTGCCACCTCAAATGCATCATACACTCCTGTTCTCTAAACATGCCATGAATCCCAAGTAATACTTTACTTCCTATCTTTGAAGCACAATGTCAATTATTTTATTGATGCTAAACTATAAGGCCTTTTATTCAATTACAAAGCCTTACCTTTACATACTGTCGCAGGAAGAATGGGCTCATGTCTGGAGGCGAAGAAGAAGTATGTGGTTTCAGGAGCTGACTCGTTACCACAGCTTCTTCTTCACCTTGCTGTGTTTTCCAGTAATCCAGCAGTGACTTAAGAACGTGGAGGCAATAGTCAATGGCACCTGAACTTAACAATGCAGTGGCTGTTGCATTGGAGATTAATGAGGAAGCCTGCAAGAAATATAATTAAATTCACAACAACTTCGAGTAAAAGACATCCTTCATTGTTTAAGATGATACAGTTGATGGGGTTGTAAAAACTCCCTATAAGTAATGCAGCTGAAAATTGTTCCAAACAACAGAATAGTGTGACAGCTTGAATACAATTTATATGGTTCACAGCACTGACATACCTCAGAGGCAGATTTTGAGCTTGATTTAGTTCGGGACATAAAAACACTGAGAAGTCTCATGATCACCAGGTGCACTTCATTCAGCGGGCTGCGATCATTCTTCTTAGAAACATCCTGAGCAACACAATCAATTCAGGAAAAAGAGATAGCATCACAAATTTATTTGTTCTTGAGATATGGGTGATACAGGCAAGACTATTTATTGTCTGTCACTAGTTTCTCCAAGGCAGTGACTCTTAAATTACTGCAGTCCAGATGTAATAGTGCTGAATGTCTTATTACTGAACAATGTAGCACTTGCTTACAACTGGATGGTTTGCTCTTTCAGTTCAGAGGGCATTAAACGTCAACCATGTAATGTGGGACTGGAATCACATGCAGCCCAAATGAGGCAAAGCTGTTGATCTCCATTTATTAAAAGCAGCATCAGTAAACTAAGTAGATTTTTAGAACAATCTGATGACTCCCATGGTTATTGTGTTGGTACCAGTCCACAGATTAGCAGACGTGCTGAATTCAATTTGAAAGCTCATCAGGGTGGCATTGCAGAACTGAATCATAACCAATATAGGCTACTCCATGAAGAAACGTGACATCTGGACAGCCAATCCCTGCGTCCACAACCACAGACACTGCAAAGCACTCCGTTGTATCAAGTAAAGGAATCAAAGGTTATGGGGATAAAGCAGGAAAGTGGAGGTGAAGATTATCAATTCAGCCATAATCTCACTGAATCGCACAGCAGATTAGATGAGCCAAATAGTCTACCTCTGCTACTTTGTCTTATCTCACTTCCTTTAGGGCATGTGTGTATGTAACAGCATTCGGTACAGTATAGACTACAATAGCACTTCTACTTACAGAATAACTGATGATCATGCAGTTATACATATTTCTATGAAATGTGTTATTTAGGATTTTGAACGTACAAAAAGCTGTAATATTAATTTTCATTAACACTATTGAAATTAAAGTCTGTGCAAATCTTAAAATGTATGCCTACACCAACCATGATCTGTAATCTGACCTGGGGTAATGAGAAAATTATTTCTGAAGGTCAAGTATCCATATTACTCTTGAATGTATCTTTGTGGCTACCTGAACAACAACACTGGCAGAAGCCTGAGAGCTCTTTAATCTTAAAAAGGAGATGGTGAGAAAGCCCATATGATTGACTAAGAGACCAGTACCTTCTTGTCCATACACAACTCTGAAATGAGTTGGGACAGGAGGTTGTCCAAGGCTCCTTTATCTTTTTCATCTTCTCCATCCAGATCAGCAGTCAGCATTAGGATTACCTGTTGGAGGAAAGGACAGATGCATAACAAACATTAGTGACATAGAACGCCTGTACACAAACTGAACACATTTCGAAATTGATCAATTCCATAAAAACTGGTCACCAACTCCATGCTAGCTAAATTTCCTCCATGATAGTTATTAACTCTTTGCTGTTACGTCCTTGCACAGTATAAGCTAAGTTTTGGGGATCCAAAAGGGAACTGAGGTATTAAAGTGTAATGAAACATTCCCTAATCTCCAAAGATGAAGTCCTGACTAACTTCACAAGGCAGTTAGTTCTACTTTAAATTTTTTGAGCGCTTTAATTGGGTTATACCAAGGTTCTGCACTCTGCATTAGCCTAGATCTAGGGTGAAAAGCCAAATTAAATAGATGCAGGGGACAGCACAAATCACTGATCACAATGCAACAGGACAGACTCAGTGGGTTTAAAATTATGAAGTGAGGGCTGTGGTACAAAGCACAAGTTCTAACGATTTTACTGATTATTTTTCTTCTTTCACGGGATGAGATCATAGCTGGTTAGGCCAGCTTCATCGGCCAGTCCTAACTGCTCTGGAGAAGTGACAGAGAGCTACTTTCTTGAACTACTGTAGCCCATGTAGCACAGGTACATTCTTAAAATTGGTTTTGCGATTAGAGGAAAAATGAAAAGCAGAGTGAACCCTGGACATGAAGCACTTAGTACTTGCCCATTCCTAATGCCCAATGTCCCTGCAGTTTCTCAGAAAAACAGCGAAACATTTTAAATTTGTTATTGCCAATAGACCTAATACATCAATTTCTAGTTAACTGAAAAATACGTTTTGCATCACCCTAGTAATGTAAAATGATAATAATCAGAATGAGCCCACTGGACCAAACTATTCTCACCTGCATGTAAGGGATGGCTCGAACTCCACCTACGTGACGGAGCTGTGGCAGATGCTGCAAAAGTCTCTCGAGCAGCATTAACCGGACCATGTGGAGCCTGCTTGAGAAGTAGTAAAAGTATTAATAAACTGCTACCCCTTTACACAACTTTTCAATGAACTACTGCATGTTACTGTCAGGGGAAATGTAATTTATCACAAATGTTTTCACTCCACGAAGATTTGAATTGAAAAACAACTTTAGGACTTCAAGCCAGTGTCTTTTCTCACCTGTTGCTTGTGTGTAGGTCACCTTCTGTTTCACCTTCTCCTTCAGACCCTTCACCTTCTTGCTGTCCAGTGGTAGTACTAATGGCTCCTGTACTGGAGCTGACGCTGCCTGGTCCAGCAGGATGCCCCTCAACTGTTGTATCGCCGTATGCACTGCTACGTCCAGACACTATGTATAGATTTTTTTAAAACTTGTTAAAGTGTGTATAGCTGTATTATGGATTCATATATACATACAAATATTCATGCACATGTACATGTATATATAGGCCCTTACACATCTACAGCTACAATGCACATGCATAATCATATACTTTGTGGTAATTACTTCCTCCTAGCAACAGAGAGGTAATCACAAGTATGGCCATTTCTCAGGCTTCAACCCACTACGGGTTGAGTGCAATGAATTGCTGACTCTACAGTAGGGTCAGTCCTTGAGATAACATTACACCAGGAGCTGCAGTAAAACAGCACAATTCAAACTGACTGGAGATGTAAAGCATCTGCAACACGGTGGAGATTCAATGTGGAAGAATCTTCAAAACATTCTTACATATAGAACAGCTACAAGGCAATTGATGCTCAGGCTGTAAAGATAATAAAGGTTGCAACTGCTGCCACAAAAGGATCATTTTAAAAAAAGTGAAGTTTTAAACTTGACCCTAAGAAAATGATTTCATGTGATATCCTTTTTACTTTTAAAGTCTAACATTTCATTGCACAAGTCAATCTCTTACCACTGTGTTCTCCAGCAACAGAGTCAACAGCACTGCCCCCACTTTCCGAACCCACACTGCCACCATGTTCCGCAGGTGATGTTCGCAGCGTTGATCCATCTGTTGCTGCTGTGCTCCCTTCATCATCAGAGGCTGGAGCTAAAAGCATAGCAACGGCTGTTACAGGTAAAAACACCATATTTACAAACCGTGAGCACAAGCACAAATGTTTTTGAGACAAACAAAGCCGCACCATGGGATTGGCACAGCCTTCAGCAGCATTTCAACATTGTAACAATTAGGAAGCAGCGAATTACGAACACAAAAAAGGTTCTAGCAACTGATCAAATTACACAAACGTTTCTCACACAGAAATGAAGTTCACACAGAAGAAAAGCTTCACTGCTTTATGAAGCAATACCATATTTAACTGAAGCCACTTGTTTTCTCAACATTTGAATGGGGTGACAGAGGTTCTTGCTTGGTGATTTTGGAATGGGTTAATTCTTCTGGGAAACTGACGAGCCTCCTGTTACACAGGCTGGTCATTCAAAATTTCAGTTCTATTGGCTCCCTGTATTACAGGCCATTTACACAATTTATATCAGGGAGTTATCCACTGTTAGACCAAATTACAGTTTTGGGAAAGTCTAAGAACACAATTTCCAAGGGCTGATTAGCTTAATTTGTTTGGGAGTCATAATCGTAGTCATAATTAATGGAAGTGATTATACTCCGAAAGGAAGTATGCTCAATGTTGTGGAACAGCAGAGGGAATTAAAAGTACAGGTTCACAGGGCATTTAAGTCTTTATTTACCAGAGATGCAGCCTTTAAAAATGCTCAAGATATTCCAGATTTTAACATTTTAACCCAAGTGGTGTAGAAAACAACCACAGAACAGAAATGTTACAGCACAGAAAGATGCTATTCAGCAAATCAAGCTTGCGCCAGTCAAAAGAAACACTAGCTGCCCGTTTTAATCCTACCTTCCATCACTGGAGTCATAGCTATGCAGGTTATAGCACTTCAAATGCAGATTCAGATACTTTTTAAAATGAATTGAGGACTTTTATCCCCAATAGTGAATGAGGCAGCAAATTCCAGATGCTCACCACACATTCCTTCTCATCCTTCTGTCATCTTAAAGCAACTGACATCTCTGCAACGGATCTTTCCTGGGCTCCTTATAATTTTGTACACCTCAATTAAGTCAACCCTCTTCCACCTCTGTTCTAAGTCAAATAGCGCCAGTCTGTCCAATCTTTGCTCAAAACTGTAACTTGCAGGCTCCAGCAAAATTATGGTAATCTCCACCGTATTTTCCAGAACAATTATGTCCTTCCAGTAATGCAGTGACCAGAAGTATATAAGAAATTTCAGCTCAACCAGTGTTTTATTTACTTCTACTATTTTTTTCTCTGCTTTCTAAAGAGTTTAGTTGGCCAATAAAGGAAAGCATTCCTGTTTTCTTTACTATCTTATCTACCTGTCCTATCGTCAAGGATCTGTGAACATGTACACCAAGAACTCTTAATTCCTTTACTCCACCGAATAATCTCCCTCTTGTTGTATATTTATCTGAACGCATTACTGTGCATTTCTCTGGACTGAATTCCTCTTCTACACATGAAACCGAACTATTGACGTCATTCTCTTCACTATCAACCAGACACTAAAATTGTGATCTGCAAAGTTCCAATCTGCAAATGTCCCAACCAGACATCCCCAAGTTTCTTCTGGTAGCTTATCTTGTCCAGCTTCAGCAGATCACCTCAACACAAAAGTCAAGAAGTAATGCTAAGCCCGTGCAAAAGCTTAATACGATCTCCTTTAGATTATACACAGTGATGGATCTCATTAAAAGCAAGGATATTGAGATTTTAGAGAAGGATAAATGTGAATTCACTAGGATGCTACCTAATTAAGAATACAAAGAAAGATTTGAAAATTAGATACATTTTTGCTGTAATGCTGATTATAGATCTATACTGCAAATATATTTAACTAGTGAAAGGATAGGGTGTAGTAGTTTGAAGGTGACTGTTCCAAGTCGTGAACACAGAAACGTGGAACAAGAGTAGGACATTTAGCCCTTCCAGACTGCTCTGCCATTCAATAAGATTATGGGTGATCTGATTTAATTTCCATTACTGCATTGTCTAATCATCTTCTATCCCCTTCGTAAACAAGAATCTATTTACCCCGGCTTAAAAATATTTGAAGATTCTGCATCCACTGCCTTTTGAGAAAGGGATTTCTAGACAGTCAACCCTCAGAAGTTTAAATATATAGTTTAAAGATAAGGGGTCATCTGTTTAAAACAATGACCCCTACTTCTAGATTTTCCCACAACAAGAACCATGCTTTCAACTTTCAACATTTACCCAGTCACGTCCGCTCAGCATCTTACACATTTCAATTAAGTCACCTTTGACTGTTCTAAACTCCAGAGGATACAGAGGCTTGTAAAACAAGGCATCACTAGTATAAGACTGAATAAGGGCTCTTGGGGTGCAGTGCTAGTGCCCCTGCCTTTGAACTGTAAGGGCCAGGTTCATGTCCCATCCAGAGTCCTAGAGGTTTGTCATAACACATTTGAGCAGGTTGACTAAAATCATTTAAGATTAAATGTCAGAGATGTAGAAGAGCGCAGGATAAACCTTTTGCAAGGTTTAGGAATGAATTCCAGGGTTGGATGCTGAAGCAGAATCCTCTTAACAGGATTAGGATGGAGAGGTTGGAGAAGGGATGAAAGAACATGAGAACAGGGTAAGTAAATGAGAGTAGAGATATTTCCTCATGTGGAGGGTAATTACCATTACGGGACTGATTGGGCAAATAGCATATTGCACCATTGAACCTTCTGTGAGAGCCAGTTAATACTGCCTTCCACTCTGAGCAAAACACATAAAACTTTAACCTGTTTGCAGTAAAGTTTCAATATTGTTTATTTTAAATGTTTAACTCCCATTTAACTCAGTGTTTTATTCAGTTAACACATCTCACATGAAACAGTTCCCGGAGATGTAAAGTCAGTTAAATTGACCAATCTGAAATTTAGTTTTCTTCACCTGGTTTTTCATTTTCCATACCTGCCTCCAACTGGTTAGTCACAGCAACATTGCTACCTTTTACCTAGGAAGGGGAGTCACCTGAGCTACAGAGTTCTCTACAACTTAGTAAACCCTTGGTGATTCGCCAACATGAAAATTGAGGTAAACAAACAAACAAACAAACACACACACACTTCACCTGCAGGGCTGGAAACTGACAGAACTCCACATGATACATACATGGAGAATGCAGATGGACTCAAGGGCAAGTTGATACATGCAAATAAAGTGAAGTATGATCTTGGATTTACCTCCAAACTCTGTTACTGGGAATCACTTGTCAACCAACAAGCTAACATCAAGTGTTCCTGACTAACAACTTTATCACAATATCTTTAACTGTAGTAAAATTCAACATTATTCTTAGTCTGCTTCATTTTATTTGCTACTCAATACAATTTACAAATATTTCACTACACCACAGAGTCAGATTAAAACACTTTCCTGAATCATCATTACAGTCCAACAATGACAGATATCATGCATCAGATGATCTCAAACATTTTTCTATAAATCTATAGCAGATTTATACATTATAGTTACCTGAGGCTGTGGTATCAGACAATGTGCCTGCATCTAATGAAGAGGAACTGGGTGCTTGTCCAGATAGTCCCAGACTCTGTAGACCCAGTGCACTACTGCTGCTACCTGTTAAAAGCAAAAGTCAAAATCAAGTAGCATAATCACACTGCGAACCCTAGAAGGGTACTTTCTTATACAAAGAACACAGTGAAGATGGAAAAATCTAATTCAGGAAACCTGCATTCAATCAGAATGGCATCATGACAAAATGCTGAGTCTCTGTTTCCATAAGCAGAGCCACATTGCCTGGTTTACAGTACTCAAAATATTTATTTTAAAAGTCAATAAAATATTCAGTTACAAAAATAGCTGCAACATCTAGCAAAACCAGATTTATTGCACAGTGTCAGTGAAAGTTATAGTTTTGTAGACTTCAAATTCATTGGGTCTACTTATCACCAGTATGAGCAAAATTGAGAATGAACAAAGTGAGTCAAAGTGACAACCCAATGAAACAGGCTGAATCCAAGATGCCTCACCCTGACAAAGGGTCACAACCAAAAACACTAACTTTGTCCTTTTTTTGCAGACAAGCTGCATACTTGCAGCTTGAGTCCAAGTTCTCTGAAGAAGCAGAAGATGCTCTTCTCATTTTTAGATAACAAGGTGTGGAGCTGGAGGAACACAGCAGGCTAGGCAGCACAGAGGAGCAGGAAAGCTGACGTTTCATGTCTGGACCCTTCTTCAGAAAAAGGACCCTTCATTTTACGAAGAAGGGTTCAGACCCGAAACGTCAGCTTTCCTGCTCCTCTGATGCTGCCTGGACTGCTGTGTTCCTCCAGCTCCACACCTTGTTATCTCAGACTCCAGCATCGGCAGTTCCTACTATCTCTTCTCATTTTTGTTTTCGGGACTTCTAGCACTTGTAGCTTTTACAAAAAAAAATATCAAGAGAAATAAAGTTGAGGAAGTGCTATCCATTCTGTTCTATCCTTTGTAAATCAGCCAAAATGGCAGAGCAGATCATGGATATCCTGTTTGTTCTGTGCATACATCAGGGAAACTATACCTTGCTGATCTTGCTGCAGGCTAAGAGCAATTGCCAGTTCCACCATTGTCTCATCATCAGCATCCGGAGGGATATCCAGCATTGGCGGGAAGCCCTCTGCTCCTGCAAGCAGTGCCTCCAGAGGAGAAGGGTTTCCATTAGTTACATTTTCAGCCGACTCCAAAACCATAGATTCAGACTAAGTAGGAAGAGAAAACGGAACAATTCATGCCAGAAGCAAAAGAAGGTTTGAAATGTAAACTTTATCAAAATGGTTGATGCTGAAAAATTAGCAGTACATTTCAGTCTGGCCAATGGCTCACATTGTCTAGTTTTACTACATTGACAGAGAAATAGCACGATTTATGATAACAATATTACTTGAGTGATGTGGAAAGAAAACTCTTTTTTCCATCAAATCTTCCTACAACTTTTCTTCTATCGTTTATTTATACTGTATCATTCAACATGCAATAACTGAATTTGCATAGGGCTAACAGATCATAATATTACACAGCTGCCTAGGCCCCAAGCAATGGAACTCCCTTTATGACTCTCATTTTTTTAAAAAAGGTACTCTTTGACCGAATCCTTGGTTTCTGACCTAATGTTCTTAAAAATGTAGTTTGATATTGAATTTTGATCAATAATAACCCTTGGGATGTTTTAATACATTAAAGTAGTACATTGCTGCTTTGTCAACTAAAGCTTCACACATAGGAAATAACAGGGAATAAACTGTGCATGAAGTTGGGGAGGCGACGGCCTAGTGGTATTATCACTGGACTGTTAACCCAGAGACCCCGATAACATTCTGGGGACCCGGGTTTGAATCCCGCTATGGCAGATGGTTGAATTGGAATTCAATAAATATCTGGAATTAAGAATCTAATTATGACCGTGAATCCATTGTCGATTGTTGGAAAAACCCATCTGGTTCACTAACGTCCTTTAGGGAAGGAAACTGCCACCCTTCCCTGGTCTGGCCTACATGTGACTCCAGACACATAGCAATGTAGTTGACTCTTAACTGCCCTCTGGGCAATTAGGGATAGGCAATAAATGCTGCCTCGCCAGCGGTGCCCTCAGCTCATGACTGAATATATATATATAAAAAAAAACGACAGTGTGTAACGCTGCAATCAACTGCCAGTTCCATTTCCATGTTAATAACAATGTTTCCACAAAGTTGCGGATTTACTACAAATTTTGGCTGTACCCAAAGTTGCAAAGAGCAATGCAGCAATGAAGAGTACCTATGTACTAATTATAATTATTCATATTATTTTCTTCCCATCTTTTCATTAATGATCATGACAATAATTGATCTTTTTAAAATGCGTACCACCATCTCAAAGTCTCCATGATCTACTTCACTCTGATCCTGACTTTCTTGACGAATATTTTCACTGCCTGCCATTCCAGATGGTTGCATTTTATCCTCAGCATCATCATCGTCATCATCATCTTTATCACCTAAAAAGAAGTGGAAATAATTCTCACAGCAAACCAATGAATAGTGGTCACTTGGAAATTCCTGTCCATCCAGTATGAACTCTAGTCCAGAGTAACACGTACACTTCAAAGCCACCTGAACAGAAAAGTCTTTTGCAGTGCACACACAGATACACGGACACGGACACGGACACTTGCCTGGTGTCCTGGTGCACACTACAATTGCTACACAGCACTTGGGTTGATTGATTTTAAAGATTCATAATAATAAACTGTATGGAAAATAATTCCCCAATTCATTTATTCAATTAGGGAAGGTGAGGAGTGAAAACTACATTTCTAATTGTAGCAATGGATCTAACTTCTGGTCCTTTAAACAATACAACAGGAAGGCATTCACACTTAATACATAATTCACAATTTTGGGACTTCTAAAAGGGCTATCAGTACTTCTGCTGATTTTGTGAACATTAACCATCTTGGTAACCAGACAATTCAAGACATAATGCATCTCTGCATTATTGTTGGGCACTAGTCAGATCCTTACCCATTGGGGTGTTGCTGCGAGGAGGGGAGGGCAGTGTCACATGTCTACGTTTGCTCCGTGGTCTTAATACACGAATAAGTGCTTGCTTACAGGCAAAACTCACTGACTGGTCCTGAGGAAGAACAATTCAGAAAATTCAGATACAGAACACAGGCAGCCAAAGGTCCAATCACTGGTCATCACACTGAGAACTAATGCCAACACAAAACCATTTCTCAACCATATAACACTACTGAATATACACACATTAACTCTCATCATTGCGCAAGCATTAACAAGGGTTTTCAGCATTCACAAAATAAAAACTTGCTACAAAATTGACAGACCTTAGAAATATCAACCACTATCTTCCATTAAGTAGCAGTACTTACAGGACATAGCAGCATTTGCATATAAACCTTTGCAGCAGTGTTGATGTAATCTAGCTCACAGGTGCAATACCCATGAATAATGTCAATTAGTGCATTCACTGTTGCCTCAATATGAGTCAGGCCTGTAGAAAAGAATGAAGACTTAGTAAAAATGCTGAAGTATATTTCTATCAACAAAGCCTCCTATTACTTCAGAATTGTTAGTACAAGTAAGGCAAATGAAGCACTGTCATGTAGATAGAGATGTTAATTGACAAGGACAAATTAAAAACAATGCTGTACAATGCTCTTTCAAGCTGCCTCTGAATATTTTGTTAAAGACAAGTTGTTGTTAGTATTTGAAAGGTTACCGTCTTAAGATGCTAAAACTCAGCTGTCCTCTATAAATAGGCTGATCTCCAAATATTCATTTTCTTGTGGAAGTATCAGACAAAGATATCACTAGATATTAGAACTGAGTCAATCATATTTAGCATTGTAATCGAGCACCAAAAGGTAACTAACTATTCAGTTAATTCCTGCTTCAGTTTTAAAGCTTATGAGTGGCTAGAATCCTACTTGGTTATATTTTGTCCTTCGCATACTCTGCTATTTTACTCAAACTAAAAATCAGGTTGAAGCATGGCATCATTGTGTATTTGTCTTACCAGGCAAACAAGCAGGTGCCAGAAATGCATTCTTAGGTTTGGAAGCATGGAGCCTCCAGAAATGACTGACTAACTGCATAATAAAACTGCAGCCCTCGACCTCTGCACTCCTGTGGACTTGATCTCTTTCATCCATTCCTTCTAGAGAAAGGAAGAAGTCAGTAATTGCCATCACGCAGAATAAGACATGCTTAAAATCTGGCATTTCATTGTATCAGCCTCATCATAATTTTAATGGTTTTAAAAGGATATGGGTATTGCTCATTTCTGCACAGCCTTGAGAAAGTAGTGGTTTCCTTCTGAGGACGTGAATGCCTATTGGGTTCTTACTACAATCCAACGGTTTCATGGTTAGCATCACTGTTTTTAAAAAAAATTCAAATTTACAGGTTGTGCATGGTTGAACTCGTGCCTCCCGATTAGTAGTTTGGGCCTCTGGTATTAATAGTCCAATAATATAACCTTTCCACGAATGCACCCAGTAAGTTAATTGTCCAGTAATTCAACTGCAGCCATTGGTTGAATATGTCCATATGAAACTTTGATATGTCTTGGTCTGCATGAGTGTCAACCGTGTAAGCACTGAAATTGACAGAATAGCACTCCAATAAGATGCAGTGCTCTAACAGGTCTTAGTTGCATGCTGCTGGTTGTTTCGCTGCAGGAGTAGCCTTGAGTTAATATTTGGAACACTCATCTGTTGATGAGTGAAATCAAATCTGGAAACCTGGAGAGTACTAAACAGTAGTTTTTCAAATGTCTGGGTCTTCCTTTAAATATCTAACCATGAGTTAGCTGGCATGTAATTTTTTGTTTGAAAAAAATTCATTCATGGGATGTGGAATCACAATGGTGATGTCGGTAGAGGTAAGATGGCGCCAAAGAATGGCGACTTGGTTCCAGTGCTGGTGGCATAGCAAAGGAACCCGAGGATGGCGAACTGCCCCCTACTGATGTTGGGCTCAGCGTCGGGGTGGAAGAGCCCAGATAAAGACCTATGGCTAAATCGCTTAAGGAGGACTGTACTGATCTTTTAACTTCATTTCTTTATTTTTCTACTTTATGCCTAAGAATTTGTACCTAGGTACATGTGACAATAAAATCTATTTCTAATTCTAATTCCAAATCTTTGGCTGGGCAAGCATTTATTATCCATCCTTGGTTGCCCTTAATGTGGTGAGCTGCTCTCTTGAACTACAGCAATCCATTTGCTATAGGTAAACACACAATGCCATTAGAGGAGGAATTGAAGGATTTTGACCCAGCAACACTGAAGAGATGGCAATATATTTCTAAGTCAGGATGATGTACAGCTTGGAGCATACAAGATGAGTTGCTTGCTGCAAGATTCTTTGCCTCTGAACTATTCTTGTAGCTGCAGTACTCATATGGCTAGTCCAGTTCAGTTTCTGGTTAATGCTAACTTCCAGGATATTGATATTGTGAGATTTAGAGATGATAATGCTATTAAACATCCAGCAGCAATAGTAAGATTCTGTCTTGTTGGAGATGGCCATTATTGGATACGTGTGGCACAAATGTTACTTCAAGATTGGTTTGATTTTTATTTTTGCCAAGATGCCTCCTTGTCATGTCTGAGTGTGGAAAGGCAATGTCTAAACTACCACTGACAAATACTGCCGAAAATGGCTCAGCATGAGCAGACAACGGCAGAATGGCCGGCTTTGGGCAGAGCATACATGAATGCAGGAATGAATTTTGGTCATATTGTACATCCAGAAATCAAAACTGTTCACGATTCAGCTTATATGCAGTGCAAACATTACTATCCAACTGTAATTGGTCAAAACGAGAGATAGGAGACATGTGAAACCAGTTTTTGGCAAGATAGTAGCCCACAACTTGTGTTAACCTGTCAGTCAGAGACGATATAACATATTGCAGGTTATAAGATACTTGTACCCCGGTCTTCATTTTTTTTTTTACAGTTATTAGATAATTTTCTCCACTTAAAACATGATCCCACATAAACTGCATTTTTATTCTCCTTCCCAGCTTTTCAGAGTGACCATTCCCCTAAATACACTGGTCATTCTTCTAGCTCAATGCTCAGTTGCCAATCCTGCTGCAACAGTAAGGGAGTGAACAGCTGTTAATTTGTTGCTTCACACAGCACTGTTCACAGCCCAAAGCATTTCTCTTACCAACAAGGTAGAAATATATGAACATTACCTTTATCAGTTTGTGGTGTTTTCACCTCTGTAAAGTGCACGAGGTTATTAGGTCGCATCATCGCAATGGAACGCGCTGTGATTATTAGTCGTTGGAACACTTCTGGATCAAGGTCACGACCATCCTTGCTCCAGGTATTCAGAATCTGTACAGCATTGTTCAGCAAAGCCTGATCCTGGTCAGAGAAAGAAATTGAATGTAGTTGAACATATCCTGCTTAAGATATTATGATTATACTAGAGTATAACAAGCCAATTGAATACCGGCCTAACTTTTACACACCCCTATACTGGGGTTTGGCTTGAGATTTTAGCTCATCAATTTGAAAACTGGAAGCTTCACATCAGTCCAGTGCTTTTTAATGATGATGTGTCAAAAATTATGAATATCTATATTAAATATTGCAAGCCATCTAATGTCTGACTTGTGCTCAACAAAGTCAGCGGAGATGACATAGCAAAAGGTTTCCCTTCCTCAGCCCAATAACAAATGCATAGTTTCACAGACAGTGTTTAACACAGACTGGGCATGCATTAGTGTATGAAAAGCAATTCATCAGGCACGCGTCACCTTGTGATTATGATAACTGCCACGACTGTTGTGCAAGCTTGCCAGCAGACCCTTGGTTTGCTGTTGAACAGTAGATGGAGTTGGCATCGACAGCAAAGTAGTAGCCAGCTCCAAAGCTGTCTGCTTATTCTTTTCCTAGGATAGAATAGACACAGTCACTATAAACATACTCTCTTTTTTCCAAAATGTACTTCTGTGTAACTTCAGATTTGATATCTGCTATGCTGATCCCACAACCAGTCATCCAGCTATCCTCAGATGGAATGTATGGAAATAAGAAACCAAAAAGAATTTTACCAAATTAAAAAGCCTTGTACACTAAATTACTGAACAAAATAAAACGGAGCAAAAAAGTCTTCTCCTTTTTCCATATCACAGAACGACAAATAAGTTTACCTTTTCTGTTGGAGATCCAACAGCAAAGCAGCTTTCCAGCACTTCCATTGAGCTCACCACCAGCCTACAGAGAAAGGAAAGCAGCACTGTCAGATTGCTGAACTCCTCACCAGGGGAGGGAGGAGATGCTTATTGTTAAACAGTACATAAAAGAACTTTTCCATAAAATCTAAAGCAACATGCAGTATCTTTAGAATTATTCTATCATTTGATTACTGTTAAAGAGAGTGGGAATAAGTAAATAGAAAAAAGAATGCCTCCAATAATAGTAAAATTTATAATTTACAATTCCCTCCAAGTCTGAAATGGTCCATGTGCTTCTAATAATTTAGAGGCATGGACCATTTCTTAACATAGTAGCCACTTCAGTTTTATATTTTGAGTCCAAGTTCAAGCTCCCCTCAAGAGCAACAAAAGCAGCTTTGCAGTGAAGCCTACATCCCAAGACTGATCTTGGTTTCAACAATGGATTATAGATATAGACTTGGAACATTAATAGCAAATTAGTACAGGCCACAGAGTACATTTAGTAAACAAAGGAAAATGATAATAACATGATACAATTAAAGCTCAGACGGATAATGATAAGCTTTAGATAATGACTTCCAATGCAGAAACAAAATTGCAACAGTAACAAACATGTGGTTGAAAGAGATTTTGGTGAATGGAAACAATTCTGAAGAATTTCAGAACTTCATAAACCAAAATCTAGCAGACACTTCAGTGGAACACAAAGTAATATGCAAAAATAATTATCACTTCATGTCTGAAAGATCAACTCCAATCACCCGCCTCATTGTTGCATCTCTCCATTCCTTCACTCTATTGCTTCAAATGATATTTGATTTTCTCTACCATGCAGAAAACATTTTCTATTCTGTGCTCCAAATATTTCAGTTCTAATCACAATTTTGAAAAATCCAAATCATTTCAAATGGACATCAGCATTTTATTCATCTACGCGATCCCTTAAAGGGGAATAACGATCAGATAACCCAAGTAGCTCAGGTGGAGTCTAAATAAAAACATACACCAACAGTACAATATCTCTCTACTTCTGCAACTTTATTTGACATTTTTACTGCAATTACACTGACAGTTTCATGGATTCAGCTATTATAACTGCATCAGAACACCACTCTATTTTTAAAGAATATATTCCCCCTTTTGGATCTTTGTTATTTCACTTAATCTTATCCACAATGAGATTAATCGCACATGCGACTACGCCAAGATCATTCTAAATCCAGTTGTGTCTCTCTCATTAAAGGACATTCTCATTATCCTTCTTTTCATTCTGGCACATTCAAATCATGATAATTTAACTCTGAAACAAGTCATTAACACACCAAATCATTAAGACTTTCTCTGTATTCCTTCAATTCTAAGATCTTATGCATATCCGAGATTCATTGCCCACCACTGTTGACCATGTCTCTAGCATCCAACGTTCAAAACTGCTGAATTCTTTAAATTGACCATTTTATTGACACTTCCCAAAACCTACCACTTAACTAACTTATTGGTCATCTCTCTTAAGGTCACCTCACGTGACTTTGTATCAAATTTTGTTTGATCTTACTCCTGTGAACTAACTTGGGTGTTTCACTACTTAAAAAAGGTGCTATATAAACACAATTACTGTGGTTGTTATTATTTAAAGCTCAACTACTCAATTTACTGTGAAGGTACTTGTCAATATAACCCCACCAACGTTAAAAGAGCCAAAATATTAATAGCTTTAAAATCTAAATACGCACAAATAACTGATGGTATCACTGAATCCAACCAGACAGTAAGACACAATTGTTCACACACACAACGATGGAACATTCAAAGTTAATCTGTACAAATGCAAGACACGACTAAGACAATTCCATTAATTTAAACAGGTGTCCTGGATTCAGAGCTTTTTTTTTCGAAATCCTGTCAGGTTCCAATGACTATTATGTGTGTGGTTACTGCTGTTTAAATAGTGAGATGCCACAAACAAAGACACAAAAGAGACAGGATAAAAGAGAAAGGAGGGATACTAACCGGTCTAAGGAGCTTAGGGATTCAGTTTCACAACTTTCAGGAACAACAGAAAAGAAAACCACGTGAGAACTTCAAATAAAATAAACAATCATTTTACTTTTTTTTGAAAAAGAAACAAAGAAGATGAGCAGCCAAGCATGCAAAACCTGCACACAGAGGATGAGATGGAGTCATGCAATGCAATTGCTGTGAAATACTTGGCCATCTGCACAAAACACAGTGTTCTCACAGAGGAAGGATAGCATGCCTGTTGGAAACTGGTACTTTGCAGTTCTTATCTCTTACGCTGAAATGATTCCACTCATTGCACTGCTTATCATTGTAGAAATGGACTCATTAAGTACAAAAACATATTCGCACTTTTCAAGGTGTGTGCGCGTGTGTGTGTGTAATGGGGACCAGGGGAGAGCAGGACCCAGTGGTGATTTCCCCAATAGAAAAGCTACAGGGGGTTTTAATAAAGCACACTGGCGTTTCCACTTCGAGCGGGTAGAGTTGATACATAGCTTTTTGTATCAATTCAGAGAAGACCTGTAACATTCACAACAATTACAGTAACACTGCCTAGGCTCAAAACACTCCGGAACCATATCCATTTAAGTCCACGAGTGCTACTGGCAACTATTAGGTTACACTCCCTTCCTTCTTCCCTTACTGTAGTCTATATTTAAAGATGTTACTGATGTTCAGTTTGCTAAACCCTAACTGCCTAATCAGCCCTCAAAGTGCAAACAAACACAAAACGTCAAATTCAGAACTTGCTATTCTGAGACTTACATTCTTAAATTTGTTTTAGGTATCAGGTTGGTCACAGTTTTCTTTAAACATTTAGAAATTACAGTAAGCTTTGAAAAGGAACCATCAAGTCCAAATTCAATTTAAAAGAAGATACCATTTGTGTCACTCTTCGGATCTTAGGTGAAAGAAGTCTCATATCCCTTTCTTTGGTTCAGGCCAAAAATGTGCATTTCTATGGTGCCTTAAACATTGAAATACTTGTGTTTTTTTTCTTCTTGGAGGCATATAGAGTCAAATTTGATCTCTAACCCAAGGATGACATTCTAAGAGGTGGAAAAAAAAAAGAGAAATTTGCAGTGAAGATATCACAGGGTAGGAGACAGAAGGGTTTAAGAGATGGAATCCCGTGGCATCAAGCCAAAATGTCAACGTTCAACAAAACAGGGGTAGAGAAGGTAAAAGACAGGCAGCAATTTAATTGACTGCGGCAATTAAGTTTAAGGCATTGTCAAACAATTGATAAGGAGGACTCATTGCAAAGTATGATACAGGAATTAGTTTTGGATGAAGTTAAGTTTACCGAGAATGATGGATGAAAAGTAGGCCAAGACTGGATTAATTCAAAGAAAAGAAGAGGAGAGTTCCAGGGAAACATGAGTTAAGTTGGGCACAGATGAAGGTATGCTGTAGAGATGCTTTTTGCGAACGGGGCTGAAACTTCAGTTTAGCATTGAATCAAATGCCAAAAGGTACAAGAAGTCCAGTTCGACCATACACGTGGAGGAGAAAGGGGACAAATTCAATGGTAGAAATGCGGAATTTATGGTGCGTCTACAACCAGAATTTGAGTTATTACTGTTTAGTTGAAGAAAACTTTAACAGACTGGATGTTGGGCAAGCAGTCTGGTAACAAAGGCAGTGGAAGGGTCAAAAGAGATAGGATGATGTAACTACAGGACAGCACGCAGATGAGAAGTCAGTGATAGCTCTGAGGAGAATAATGGAGAAAACAGTGCAGGATCAAAGCGAAGTCTTTGTTAGAGATGATTTAGCTATGATTGGATAGGTAAAAGTTGAACCAAGGCAGGGTGGGGCATAGGTGTGGTACAAAGACAATGGAGGACAGCTTTAAAAGGAGATTTGTCAGCAGTTAAACATGTAGACAGATTAATGATAGAAAATAGATCATAATCTCAGTCATACAGAATGTCATGTGTGACTTTTATTTGTCTATTCTGATGCTATGAAGTAAGACTTGAGATTCAAAAAACAATTGCAGGTAAGTTAGGCACAGATTTTGAAGACAACAGTTTAAGAACCAAAAGGGATGTCTAAAATGGGGCAGCAGTTTGCAAGGTCAAAGAAGGTGAGTCTCTTGCAGGAGATGGTAGCTTGGAAAAGGAACAGTACCTGGAAAAAAAAGGAATTACTTACAACGGTGGCTAACAGAAACTGGAAGTGAAGTAATTGGAATAGATGCAAGGGACTGAAGGCGATAGAAACAAAGAAAATAGGAGCAGAAGTCAACCATTTGTCTGCTCAAGATTATTCTGCCATTCAATATGATCACAGCCGATATCCAACTCAGCACAGTGTTCCTGCTTTCTCCCCATACCATTTGATCCCTTTACTTGTAGGAACTATATCTAATTTCCCATTGAAAACAAATGTTTTGCTGTCAAATGCTTTCTGTGATAGAGAATTCCATAGGCTCACCACTCTCTGGGTGGAAAAATTTCTCCTTATCTCAGTCATAAATTGCCTACTCCATATCCTTAGACTATGGCCCTGGTTCTGGGCTCACTGGTCATTGGCAACAGCCTTCCTGCTAGTTTGTTTAGTCCTGTTCGAATTTTATAGGCTTCTATGAGATAAACCCCTTATTATTCTAAACACCACTAAATATAGTCCTAACTGGTCCAATCTCTCTTCATACATCAGTTCCATCATCGCAGTAATCAGTCTGGTAAATCTTCATTGTGCTCACTCCATTTTTAGCCATCATTCCTCAAATAAGGAGATCAAAACTATACACCAGGGCCCCATACAATCGCAGCAAGGAATCCATGCTCAAGTACTCAAATCCTTTTGCTGTGAAGGCCAATGGACCACGTGCCTTCTTCACCACCTGCTGCAACTCCATTAGTTTCAGCAACTGGTGCACAAGAACACGCAGGTCACCTTTTCCCAATCTATCACTATTCAGATAGAAATCTGCCTTCCTGTTTTTGTTACCAAAGTGGACAATCTCATTTATTCACATTACACTTTATCTGCCATGTACTTACCCACCTGGAGTCATACAGTATGGAAACAGACCCTTCAGTCCAACTTGTGCATGCCAGACATCCTAATCTGACCTAGTCCCATTTGCCAGCATTTGGCCCTTATCCCTCATAAACCCTTCCGATTCATCTACCCATCCAGATGCTTTTTAAATGTTGTAATTGTACCCACCTCCACCACTTCCTCTGGCAGCTCATTTTATACACCACCCTCTGTGAAAAAGTTACTCCTCAAGGGCCTTTTTATATCTTTCCCCTCTCACCTTAAACCTATGCCCACTTGTTTCGGACCACCCCCCCTCCGCAAACCTTGGCTATTCACCCTATCCATATCCCTCATGATTGTGATTTCAGAACCCCCTATAAAGGTCACCCCTCCAAAGCCCCAAGACGAAAAGCCCCAGCCTATTCAACCTCTCCCTACAACTGAAACCCTCCAGTCTCGGCAACATCCTTGTAACTCTTTTCTACACCCTCTCAATCCTTCCAATACTGGGGAGACCGAATTGTACACAGTATTCCAAAAGTGGTCTCACCAGTGTCCTGTACAGCCACAACATGACCTCCCAACTCTTTTACTCAATGTTCTGACCAATGAAGGCAAGCATACCAAATGCCTTCTTCACTCTCCTGTCTACCTGCGACTCCACTTTCAAGGAACTATGAACTATGAACCTGCACCCCTACATCTCTTTGGTCGGCAACATATTCCAGGGCCCTACCATTAATTGTATAAGTTCTGCCCTGGTTTGCCTTATCCAACTGCAACACCTCGCATTTAATCGAAATTAAACTCCATCGGTCATTCCTCAGCCTACTGGCCCACCTGATCAAGGTTACATTGTACCGAGTTAATAATCTTCGCTGTCAACTACACCTCCAATTTTGGTGTCTTCTGCAAACTTACTAACTATAACCTCCTATACTCATATCCAATCATTTACATAAATGATGAAAAGCAGTGGACCCAGCACCAGTCCTGTGGCATACCTCTGGTCACAGGCCTCCAGTCTGAAAAGCAACCCTCTACCACCAACCTCTGTTTCCTACTCTCAAGCAATTTGTATCCAGTTGGCTAGCTCCAGTGGATCCCATCTGATCTAACCTTACTAAGCAGTCGACCATGTGGAACCTTGTCAAATGCTTGCTGAAGTCCACGTAGACAATGTACACCACTCTACTTTCACTATCTTCTTTGGCACCTCTTCAAAAATAAAACTCAATCAAATTAGTGAGACACAATTTTCCATGCACAAAGACTATCCAGACTCAGTCCCTGCCTTTTCAAAAGCATGTATATCCTGTCCCTCAGAGTCCCCTCCAACAACTTACCCACCACTGATGTAAGGCTTATCGGTCTACATAGTTCTCTGGCTTTTCCTTACAGACTTTCTGAAATAAAGGCACATTAGCCAACCTCCAGACTTCTGGCATCTCACCCGTAGCTGTCAATGATGCAAATATAACAGCAAGGAGCCCAGCAATCTCTCCCCTAACTTCCCACAACACTCAACTTATCCAATTCTCTCTGAATTATCTCCTTACAATTCACCCTCCCACCCAGCTTTATTCGTCTGCAAACTTGAGAGTAGGTGGAAGCCAAACACCGATCCCCGCAGTACCTCACTGGTCACTGCCTGCGACTCAGAAAAATACCTGTTTATTTTGACTCTATTTCCTTTCAGTCAACCAGTTCTCAGTCCATATCAGTACACTGCCCCAATCTCATGCATTTTAATTTTATGTGCTAATCTGTTAAGTGGAAGCTTATCAAAATAAGGTTCTGAAAATAAACCACATGCACTGGCTCCCCTTATCAACTCTACTTATTACATGCTCATAAGACTCCAGCAGATGTGTCAGGTATGATTTCCCTTTCATAAATCCATCTTACTCTGTCTGATCCTATCATTGTTTTCCAAGTGCTCTGCCATTAAACTTTCATAATGGACTGTAACACTTTGCCCACTACCAACTTCAGGCTAACAAGTCTATAATTCGCCTTTTCTCTCTACCTCCCTTTTTTAAATAGCAGAGTTACATTGACTACTCTCCAATCAACAGAAACTGTTCCAGTTTCTTGCAAGATGACCACCAAGGCATGCACTGTTTCTATAGCCACTTCCTGAACTACTTTGGGATTTATCAGTTGTTAGTTCTATTAAATTCTCCACACCATTTCCCTACTAATATTGATTTGCTTCAGTCCCGCCCTCTCACTTTACCCTCTATTCCCCATGATTTTTTGGACGTTATTTGTGAAAACAGGATCCCATTTCCACACCCTCATAAAAATGTCCTCTGTTTGCTGACCAGTCATACTAAAAATATTGGTAATTTTGCTGTCCACAATGATTCAGAAATTATGGGAAAATTTGGCAGCAGGTGACTAAGGTCTGACTGAACTTCATGTGATCTAATTAGGTGGAGAGATGCATTGTACCAGGTATGTGCAAATCTACCCCTTGGAAGTATGACAGCCAAGAGGGGGACACATGGGCTATGAACCAGATGAAGTAGTGAAAATTTCTCTGGGCACAAGGCCAGTAAAAGGTCAAGTTGAGGAAGAGGATGAACAAAATAGCAGCTGCAGATATATCACAGCAAATGGAAGGCGTACAGGTTAGGCGGCTGGGAGTTTGAAAGTGCATCTGTAACTCTCATTAGTTTTTTTTTTCCTACGGGCCATTTGCAGAAGGAACGGAGGATGAGAACAGGGTATGGTGGTAAACAATAAGAAAACAGTCGGAGATAGCCTCTTTTTTTTGACTCATCGTCATTTTGAGTACAGGGCACAGGAACTTATGAACTGTAAGAGTAGGAGAGTTTATGAGAAAAGAACAGGAGGGCAGTATAAAAGGAAAATAGGACAGGAGGTGAAGATTTAAATCACAAAGGATTCTCAAATGCTCAGCAGCCAAGGAAGCATATATTGTAGAGAAATCTGGGTGGGGTTCCATGGAATGTGATTTTTTTTTGTTTTGAAGAAAGTTGAAGGTTTAACAAATGGCAGCTCTTGGAGGAGGAGAAGGCATCAAAGGATCAAAACAGCAGGCCATAGTGAGATTTGGTAACAAGGATCATTTCTGACATGGTTGTTTTGATACAGTGATGATAGCAAGTATAGTCAGCCACAGAGGCTTTTGTAAAGAGAAACATGGTACCACCAATAAATCAAGTTTATGTCCAAACAGAATACCCATGAAAGCATTCAGAATAAATCCCTAAATCATACAGTAACTAGTCATCTTTTGACAAGAGTTCAAGGAGCTGCAAAAGATAGGAAATCATTGGCCTGTCAAGCGGTTGCACCATTCAAACAGATCATGGCTGATCATCTACTTCAACATCATTTTCCCCCATTTCTGCCTATGTCTTATGTCATGAGTAACCAGAAATACATTGTATTTAAGACAGAAATCATTCAATGAATGGTCGTCCACACCCTTCTGGGTAGGAGATGCCAAAGAGTCACCACTCTCAGAGAGTGAAGAAATTCCTCCTCATCTCAGTCCTAATTCTACCCCTTATTCTGGTACTGTGACCCAGCATCTGGACTCACCAACCAAGGGGAGCATTCAATACACATCTATCAATCACGCCCTGTAAGAACTTTGTAAATTTCAATGAGATCACCTCATTCCTTGAAACCCTACAGACAGCATAGACCTAGTTTCTTCAAATAAGACAAGTTCACTATCCCAGGGATTAGTCTGGTGAACGTTCACTACAATCTCTCTAATAGAAATAAAGCTTTCCTCAGATAAGGAGATCAAACCGCACATAATACACCAGATGCAACCTCACTCCCAAAGCACTTATCAATTCCAGCATGACATCTTTATTTCTGTGTCCAAATCACATTGCAATGAAGGCTAACATACCATTTGCCTACGTCACTGTTTGCTGCACTTGCATGCTATCTTTTGAGTGACTCATGAAAAAAGTTACCAAGCTCCTAGCATCTCACTATTTATGTAATACCATACTTCTGCTGGATTCTACCGAAGTGGATAACCTCACATTTAATTTCATTATATTCAATCTCCCATGCTTATCTACTCACTTATCTGTTCTAAATCCACTTGCATCCATCCCATCTAGTTTCTTGCCAACAGCAAATTTGTTAATATTACATTTGGTGCCCAAATCCAAAGCATTTATACAGACTGATAACAAGATTGTGAACCATGACTGTCACAGCACTGATTCTTGCAGCACACGAGTAGGAACAACCTGTAATCCTGAGAATGACCCCATTCTTACTATGTTTTCTGTCTGCTAACCAATCCTGCACTGTCGCTGGGTCACGAATCTGGAACTCCCTCCCTAACGGCATTGTGGGTCAACCCACAGTATTTGGATTGCAGCAGTTCAAGACAGCAGTTCACCACCACCTTCTCAAGGGCAAACAGGAGCAGGCATAAAAAGAGTTCTGACCAGTCAACAACACCCATGAATGAATGAAGAGTGACAGAATTCTCAATGTGTATTTACCCCCAATCCCATGTGCTCTAATTTTGTCGAGTAGCTTTCTGTATGAGAAATAATCATCAACTGGAAAAAACAAATATGAAGGTGTTGGCATAACAGGAAGGGAAGAAACATGACAGACATGGCTGAAAAGTGATCAAGGGAAAGAAAAAAAAGAACAGTGCAACACAAGTGACAGATTCTGATCAATAACAACTGCCAAAATATACACAAAGGAATGGACAGAGTATTCAAGTGAAGTATATGTAGCAGAGATTAGGACTGACATGTTCAGTCTAGCCAACAAGACAGAGGAAAATAAATTGAAAGTTGGTGAATGAAATTATTATCTTTGTGCGTCCAATTACCTCCCAATTTAACTTTTTTTTTGGAACACTAAAAACACACAAATTCATCTACGAGTACAGGAACTGCAAGCTCAGGACATTCTGAGATCATGCTGTAATGAAAAGCTTTCACACAACAGCCACACACATGGATCAGCGAGAAAAAAAACCTCAATACCCAGCCTTTGGTTACAGAACAAATGTTGCAAGAGAAATAAAATCATTCCTCATTTAAATTATTGCTTTGTATTGTCAATCAAATTTTCTCCAATAGGAGTTAAACCTTGCGAGAATGGTATGTATTTTAACATTTACTATTCAGTGGAATCTAATTTACAATGTCATCAATTTTATGCACGCCATTCTTCATTTGTTCCTCACCAACTCAGAACAGGAAGTTATTAAGCGTTTCACATAACATCAAGCAGTTGCAGCCTCATGCTTACCTCTCGAGGACAGAACCACTGGTGGAGGATGGAGTGGCTGAGTCCACCTCCCCTGTGCTGTTATTCTGGCTGACACTTGGAACAGCAACATTATTTACAGAGGCTGATGGGAAATCCTCTGGAGGTTCATCGGGCCAGCCAAATTGCTCTTTTGTTTTCCCATAGATTTTTATTGAATCTACCATTGTTACCCCAGCGGGATCAACTGATGCACCAACTGCAATGACCAAGGAAATAAAAACACAACTTCAAAAACTTGAATAGAACAAATTGATACATCGATCAATAAGAAATGAAGATGGTTTGGTTTTAAATCTCTACAGTGCTAAGGGTTTAAGAGAACAGCAATATACTTACTCCCAAAAAGCACAAAATTCTAGCATTTCTTACACACTTAATCTCATCTGAGACATAATCAAAAAAACTAGGATTAACAAAAAAAAAGAAAGAGTGAAACAAGCTTATACCAGCTACAGTGTGTTCCTGGGGTGCAGTGGTAATGTCCCTATTTCTAGACCTGGCAGCCTAGGTTCAAGTCCTACCTGCTCCAGAAGTTCGTAATAATATTTGACTGGGTTCTTTAGAAAGCATCTGTGATGCTATTACATGGTATCATTAAAAAAAAAAAAATCAACAATCCTGGGCTGTATGGGATAAGGCACTGTTGATCAGTGTGGACGGAAAGCAATGACCCTGTACATCTACATGAACACGTCTTATCAACTTGGGTTGCAGTGTTTCAATTGACAGGTTACACTTACCAAAAATGGTTAGCTTCTTATCAGCCTGCAGCGCTTCTTCACGCGTAAATGGATAGTCAAACCAACGAGCTCTTGTCAAGTTCAACTGCATTGTGCGACCAAAGATTTCAATATAGGATGGTGCTCTCTCAATGGCCTGTGTCCCAACCTGGATTCGCATCCCCGTCATTACCATAGTGGCATTGTTGTTGACACCTTCCACTGTAAATCCACCCGGCTATGAAAGAACAGGAAAAAAATTTGAATGCTAATCAAAATATATCCAATAAAGTGCAAAACTATTTTACTACTGCCCAATACGGACTTTCATCTGGTCCACCACGGCAGACTGACAACTGACAGCGTAAATATGCGGGGATGTCTTCAAACATGACAAAATTTACCTCAACCTAGATTGAGCACATTTCAATTAACTGCAATAAACTAAATTAGAATCTTGTTACTACAAGTACCGGTATACGCTGGAACTTAGTTCATTTTCAAATACACAATTCATTATGTTTTGGCGGTGTACTACTTGAAAGGGAATTGAAAGCAGATTCAATAATTTCCAGTAGGAAATTGACATGCTTGAAAAAGAGAAAATTGCGCGATAATGGGGAAGAGAAGGGGAGTGGAACTAATTAGATAGCTCTTTCCCAGTCATGACAAGCCTTGGCCCACTTCTGCACTGTGTCGTTCAATTATTCACTGTTTACAAACTTTTTACAACATAACTGTAATAAGTTTGGTAGGATTTGTCAACAAACAGATCAAAAATGAGCAAAACTATTTTGAAAGGCACTGGTGCTAACCACCAAAGTATCAGAAAATGATGTCTTGCAGTTCACAGATGACACCAAAATTGGTGGCGTAGTGGACAGTGAAGAAGTTTTATCTTGGAGTATAACAGGACCATGATCAGATGGGCCAATGAACTGAGTGGTGGCAGATGCAGTTTAATTTAGATAAATACAAGGTGTTGCAGTTTGATAAGGCAAATCAGGGCAGTACTGATAGGGTTTTGGGAAGAGGTGTTGAACAAAAGAGACCTGGGGGTGCAGGTGCATATTCCTTGAAAGTGGAGTTGCAGGTAGACTGGGTGGTGAAAGTGACGTTTGGCATGTTTGCCTTCATTGGGAAATACAGAGTACAGAAGTTGGGATGTCACGTTGCGGCTGTACAGGACATTAGAAGTGGCCTGACCAGAATACGGCATTCAATTCTGGCCTCCCTGCCATTGGAAAGATGTTGTGAAACTTGAAAGGGTTCAGTAAAGATGTGCAAGCATGTTGCTGGGATTGGAGGGTTTGAGCTATAGGGTGAGGCTGGACAGGCTGCGGCTATTTTCACTGGAGCGTTGATAGCTGACATGGAACCTTACAGAAGTTTATAAATTCACAATGGGCATGGATAGGGTGAACAGCCAAGGTCTTTTTCCCAGCATAGGGATGTCCAAAACGAGAGGATGTCTCTCAGAATTAAAATAAATTATTTTCTTATTCTAACTAAAATAAAATGGGAAAGGTGGCCTTATCATCCCTAACAAAGGACATTAAGGATAGCATTAGATTAAATTTTAAGGTGAGGGGGAAAAAATTCAAGAGAGACCTGAGGGGCAACTCTTACATGCAGAAGGTGGTGCTTGTGTGGAACGAGCTGCCAGATGAAGAGGCAGAGGTGGGTACAATTACAACATTTAAAAGGTATCTGGATGGGCACATGAATAGGAAGGGTTCAGAGGCGTATGGGCCAAATGCTGGCAAATGGGATTAGATTAATTTAGGATATCTGGTCAGCATGGACAAGTAGGACTGAAGGGTGTGTTCCTGTGCTGTACAGCTCTATGACTCGTACCTTTGTGCTGGCGACATACATGCCAGTGGAGTTCAGCCGATGTTTAATTTGTTGCATGTTGTACACCTGTAGTAAGTCATTTCCTCCAAACTCAATGTCAGTCAGCTGCTGGTTGTGTTCAAAGAAATCAATTGGAAACGTGACTTGGCTGGTGGTGCGAGTTGCTGCAGAATAAATTTGTCAATAGTTATTTGGTTAGTCAAGATGCTACTGAAGACAGCTAATGTAACCCCACTATTTAAAAAAGGATGTAATGAGAAAATGGGAAATTAAAGTCCTGACATTGGTAGTGTAATGCTAGAGTCCATTATAAAAGATTTAAAGGCAGAGTACTTGGAAAACAGTTACTGGATTGGACAGAGTCAACATGGATTTACAAAAAAGAGAAATCATGTTCCATTAATCCATTATAATTTTCTGAAGATGCAATAATTAGAGCTGATAAGGGGAATGAGTGGAAATGGCTTAATGTGGACTTTCAGATATAAAAAATTAGCACGTAAAATTAAAGTGCATGGGATTGGGAATAGAGAACTGACTTGAAGAGAGAACCGGTTCGCAGACAGGGAACAAAGTGTATGAATAAATGGGTCTTTCCCAACTGGCACAAGTGGAGTATTGCAGGGAGCAGTGTTTGGAACCCAGATGTTCACAATATACATCAGTGATTTAGATGAGGGAACTAAATATCATGTCTTCAAGTTTGCAGACAACACAAATTTGGGTGGGAGGATGACCTGTGAGGAGAATGCAGAGATACTTCAATGTAATGTGGACAGATTGAGAGTGGGCTAATGCATGGCAGATGAAGTATAATGTGGATAAATGTGAGGTTGTCCACTTTGGTCTCAAAAAGAGGGGCCAAATTATCTGGAAGGCAGCATATTGGGAAAGGGGGAAGGTGCACCAGGACCTAAGTACCCTTGTATGTCAGTAGCTGAAAGTAAGCATGCAGGGACATAGGTGGTGAAGGAGGCAAATGCTATGTTAGCCTTCAAAGCAAGAGGATTCAAGGACAGAAGGGATGTCTTGCTGCAATTGTACGGGACATTAGTGAGACCACACATAGACCAGTGTGGGCTGTTTTGGTCTCCTTTGAGGATGGATGTTCTGGCTATGGAGGGGTGAGCATAATGAAAGATTAATTGACTGATAGCTGGGATGGCAAGACTGAAGAAGAAAAGATTGCATCAGTTAGGACTATATTCACTGGAGTTTAGAAGAACGAGTGGACAATCTCATAGAAACATCTAAACTTCTAACAGGATTAGACAGGCTAAATGCAAGAAGTATGTACCTGATGACCAGGTTGGTTCAACCAGAGGTCAGAGGTCACTGTTTAAAGGAAAGGGGTAGACCATTTACAACTAGGATGAGGAGACTCCCGGAGACAGCTGAGGCTGTGTAATGCTCAGCTACAGAAAGCAATTGCAGCCAAAACATTGAATGTTTCCAAGGAATTAGATGTAGTTCTTGGGGCTAAAGGGATTAAAAAGATATGGGGTGAAAGTGGGAACGGGGTATTAAGTTGAAGATCAGCCATGATCATATTGAATAGCAGAGCAGGCTTAAAAGGACCAAATGGCCTACACCTAGTTTCTGATGTTTCTACTTAACTGCAAGTGATTAATGTTGTCAGCAGTGCTTTAACACACATCTTGTAGAATACATCTGTTTGGTCAAAACAAAAACCAATCAGTTGAAAGGACCCAACTCTAACACTAACCTGACTCTGCCTTTTAGTCACGAATCGACTTGCTATACGTTTCAGGCACTCTTGATTTTAAACAGAAAATAGCATGGAGGTTGTAATAAAAGTTGGTACACAACTGTATAAAAATTCAAAGTCCCAATAATGTTATCACAAACAATCTCAAGAATATAGAGAACTGGACAGGAAGCAGATCCCAAATCTCAGAGTTTATATCTGGAGCTTAAGTCCAGCACCACCAGCAGTTTGAAATAAGATTAGAAAAAAAATTGCTTCATTTGCCTTTTTTCGAAAAATACAAATGATAACTGGATGAGAGAATGTGGCAGAGGCAGAACATAGTGAGCGGAAATACCTTCAGGTGAGACAGGCAGTAATTGACTCATGGTTAATTCACCACTTTTCAGTTGTGTTTATCTATTTTGCACTGGGCTTGGTAACTCAGCAGTAAATATTTTATACAAGATTACAGACTTCTATCCAAGAGGAACTGAAATAGAGGTTCTAATGAGGGGACCATCTTCTGCACTTCAAGCACAAAAACCATGTAGCTAGGACACAACATTTCCCATACAAATACACAAGCATGTCATCACCATTCTGATACATATTCTTACTGCTTCTCTCTCTCCTTTTACCCAAGTACAGCATTGCCCAGAGAATAAAACCTTACTGGCAGCTGCAGCCTTGCGTTTGCGTACTGGTTTCAAGATGCTGATTACACTGCTGGGTTGCAGCGAAGGCTGTAGCCAATAAGAAGTGTTCTCAACATTTGCCATGTAGATCCGCAGGCTGCCGTCTTCACACAGGAGTATCATAGTGGTTCTTTGCTGGTCATTGCTGGCTGTGTGGCGAATTGCAACCATATCCTGGATCTAAAATACAAGGCGGGGGGGATGGCACAGCATATAAGAACATGAAACGTAGGAGCAAGCAAAGTTCTTAAATGCCTCCTACTGAGACTATTTACTTGCTAATCTACTTTCATCTTATCAAGTCTCTCTATTTTGAATTCTGCGTGTGTGTAATTGACTGCCCATTCTAAAGCTGAATACTTCTCAATTTAATCTTCTGATTTTTTCCCCCCCACAAGTTACCCTACTTGGATTCTTTACATACATTTAGAAAATTATAAATTGAGACCTTTCCCTACTACACTTTCCAGGGGAATTGAGAAGTTTCCTTAACATACTCTCTAAAAGCTGCAATCCCTTCAGAATTTTTTCAGTCTCTTTATTCATTTCCAAAGTGACACACAAACATCTCGAGATCGGTCACTAATATTCAGTTGGGAGCATTAGCTCCTTGGTTTATGGTGACATTCACACACTCAGCTGTTGAATGATCTTCACAACAATAAAACAAACACCAGGTATCCAAAGTACAATTAAAAATGCAAAGTAGTCACTTAGTATCTGCAAAAAGAAGGAGTCTCCTCTTTCAAATGCATTACTTTGCCCCTCTCTCCTTACACAATCTACTGTTTGCTTTCACATCAATAATTTGCAAGTTAGTAACAGAAATCTTTTTCAGGAACTATCCAAAGTAATGAAGAACCATCAGTAAAGTAACAGTAAATGAAGTAATGTAAAAAAGAGACATTGTAAATGCAAGGTCTCGATGGAAAATGTGAACTTGGGCACCAGTTGCTTTCTGCTAAGTTGTCAACATTCATTGGTCAGTTTGACTGAGGCCTAACAAACTGCTTCATCAGATGATCCTATCCTTCACAACATTCAACCAAGACCACCAGTAATCTGGATTAGGAACCTGAGATGATTATTCCCCTCTCTAGTTCAAGATTCAGGAAATAAACTATAGCTAATCACTGAAAAAAATCTCTTCCATATGGCCCAGCTATTCACTAGATAAAGTGAACGATTGGACAAACTCAAAAAGAACAAATTGACAATTCAGAGGGATGCAGGAAGTTTTGTTTCCAAGGTGTAATACCTTGAGTCATCTCTTTGTAATGTTACGAATTATTTCTGTACTTATGACTTGCAAATGATTTAGAATTTACCTATAGTATTTTCCCAACCAGTTAATGTGGCTTCTCTTATTTGACTAAGCTGGTACTAATAAAACAAAATCATTAAATCTCTTTTTCTTGCTATGGATTTGTTTTATTTTGTAACAGCTAAATTTAGAAAAATAACACAAGATTGTGGAAAGCAAATCATCAAAGACCCATCACCTGAGGATCCCCCGCTTCAGGACTGTCTGAACAGCAGAAACTGCTGCTGCAATCAATCATTCAGGTCAATCTATTTGAATCACCAGCTCTGAGTGTCAATAAGGCAAAGGATGTAGATAAACGAAATCTGAAGCCAGAAGCAGAATTTTAATAAATTGCAATCACTGAGTTGCATTGTCTGAACTGGGTGCTAATTTTATTAATGCGTAAGAATAATATGTGATTTTGTCCCTTTTTCCTAGGTCAGATAGTAAACTTCTCCCAGGATTTGATTCCAGTGCTGACATGTTGCACTGCAGCAATTTAAAAATAATCTGCACTAAAGCGCATGAGAGGCTGGAGTATTTTGCTGTTGGAAAGTTACATTAATATATCCAAAAAACAGTAATTCAGAGAAAATCTACAATAGGCAATACAAATAAAAAAGGTCAATTTCAATTTTACTTCTTTGGGCATCTTATTGCTCAATGTCGGCATTCAATAAGGCAATGTTTGACCTTGGCTTTTGCTGGTAGAGTTTTGATCTCCTGGATAAGGAAGGTGTCTGGTTTGACCATGATGACAAGTGGAATTCCAGTGGTTTGCTGGACACAACAGACCAAGCCAGGATGATTCATCACTTCTGACCACTGGCACAGGGCAGGAACAGTTTTCCCACTACCACCATTTGAACTGCAGAGAGGAAAATAACGAAGACAAACAGATGAATCAGACAGATTGAGTTAATGATGCGAAGATCTTAGAAACATACTAATGTAAAGATAGGAAGAATAGGGGAAGGTAGGGAGAAGAGTGAGGGAGAGACAAGGGCATTGGAAAGAATGGGAAAGCGAAAAGGTAGAGGGAGAATGGGGAACAGCAGAAGCAGAGAATAAGGAGAGGGCAATACGACAAATAGATTTTGTTTTAACCATCTGACACCCTCAACTGACTACACTGTTAGAAAAATACAGACACAGAAATCAACAGCCAGTCATAAAGAAGGGGTGACACTCGGCTGCAGGTATTGAAAGGTGTTGAGACATACCTAACACTCAACCAAGATCCATTTAAAATTACAAAGGAGGACAGGACCACATGTGCAAAAAGCAGAAACGTTTTAAAGCTTATAGAGAATTGATTGTGATAGAGAGAGTATGGAAACCTGTTTAAAATAACAAACAGGACTGACCACTTTAATGTAGGGCAGAAACTTATAGAAGTAGAACTGTTTTGAAACAAAGAGGCATGTTCATTATGGAACGTGCAATGCAAAGGAACAGATTTGCCTAAAAGAGAATGCAATCTCTGCAGAATATGTTGACCGGAAACTTGTCTAGCTTCACACTAAATTACAACGCAACAGTTCTTGGTAGCTTGTAGTCATATGATAATTAGGATATCCAAGATTGTAAGAAGAATATAAATGTGTAAAATGAACGACATGGGAAGACAAGTCTCTGCACAAGTTATGCCCCCTGTAAATGTACTTCATTGTACATATATTTAGTACATGTATTTCAGCAGTTGAAGACAGTAGCCCACCACCACTTTATTCAGGCAATTTATGCTGGCCAGTAACACCCACCTCCTACGAGTGAATAAAAATTTAAATAAACCATTGTTTTTTTCAGGACCTCAAACCTCTCTGCCTCGTGTCACTCGAACACTACAACAATGTATTAATACCCCACAAGGCTCAATACTACTGCTGAAAGCAGCTATGGGAAGAACAGGCTAAACTGATATTTCAGATGTAAACATGGTTCTGTCTAAGATTCTTTATGTGAAATTCTCTAATCTCTACTGGGGCACATTTTGTTTGGCTAACAAATGTAATCATATTAATCAGAAAATGTAAGCCAGGCAATTGAACAGGTTCCTCAAAGTTAAAAAAGAGGCATCTCTCCCTCACCTCCCGAGGGATAGTCCTAGGTGTCACTCACCTTTTCAGATTGATTGGGAACAGCCGCTGCACTTCCAGTGATGTACGACTTAACATGGCAGCAAAGGACTTGCCCTGACTGTAACTAAAAAACAGCATCTGTAGAACATGAGAGTAATAAACAGAGACACCACCACCTGCAACCTGCCCATTACTGTCCTGTAAAGGAAAGGAAAAACTATTATCAAGTGTATACATTGAACAGAATAAGTTTACATTAGAACTCAAATGATAAGTTAACACACAATATTTCACATTTGCATTTCAGATGCAGATTTTGTAAATGAACAGCATCTTCTTTTCCCAAATTTCATGGTTTCATTTCAAAGATATTCTGAAAATGCAAAACACAATTCCATAGTTTGTGGTACTTAGGCTACAAATAATATTATGCTTCCCTTAGTACAACAGCAGCTATGGTGCATAGCATTTTAGGGCATAATGAAATCATGGAAGACACTATCTAAATCCAATTTATCTTTTTCAGCCCTAATGCTCATGACTACTTGTACTGATAGCCTCAGCACCAAAATACTGGAAACGTTTTCAAATGTCTTGTTAGAATATGGGTAACAACAGCATTGCTTTTTACTGCTTATCCCTAGTTGCTCAGAATCTCCCATAGAGCCAACAATATAAGTCTTTGTCAACACTAAGTATTGTTGACTTCAATTTCACAAATTGCCCAATTAGACTTGGAATTTACAACGTTTGGGTTGCAAGTCCAATGCCTTCACTGAAGAATTTCCAATATACTACAGACAACCCAATTTTAATTCCTAGCTAAGCTATTATAGCAACTGAGTTGCATCAAATTCCAGCTAACTTGAGGCATTAGCTTGAAAAGGACTCCCATGGGGCCATCACTCACTGGAAAATACTACACTTGGATAGAGAAACCTGACATATTAACAATACAAAACTCTACAAAAACATGCTCATTCTCCCACAGACCTTCAGATCTTCATGCATGATTTCAAGTACATTAGTGACGTAGAATGGTCCATGTTGAGCACTGCTTGCTTCTTCCATCACTTGAGTGTAAATATAACCAGCTGAAGACATGATAACAATAATACTCTTCCCTTCCTCACTGAACAAAAATGTTGTGTCACGGATCTTGGAGCTCGGCAGAAGAAAATAGTACATTGGACTCAAGGCATCAGTGGACAAGTCATAAACCTGCGAAGAAAGGTTAAGACAATCTGTGAAAGAACTAATGCACCTTACTTTACACTTGTCAACAGTACTTAACAGCAGCAGCTTGCGTTGCTTGAGCAGGAGTTGCTCCAGTTTCCTCCCACAGTCCAAAGATGTGCAGGCTAGGTGGATTGGCCATGTTAAATTGCCCATATAGTGTTCAGGGATGTGTAGATTAGGTGGGTTATAGGGGGATGGGTACAGGTGGGGTGCTCCGAGGGTCTGTGGGGACTTGCTTGACCGAAGGCCTGTTTCCACACTGTAGGAATTCTACGGATGTGAAATCTTCTATTTGAATTTAAGACAACTTTGAAATAAAAACTAACACCAGTCAAGTCCCCACAATTTTAGGCAGGTTAAGGACAGCTTAGCAGGCACTTCGTCTTCGACAAATGACTTTGACGAGTCATGCACATTGGTAAGAAGAACAAAAGCATGGGCTATTTTCTAAAAGGGGAGAAAATTCAGAAGTCTGAAGTGCAAAGAGATTTGGGAGGTCTAGTCCGGGATTCTCTCAAGGTAAACTTGCAGGTCGAGTCAATAGTCAGGAAGGCAAATACAATGTTGGCATTTATTTTGCGAGGACTTGAAAATAAAAGCAAGGATGTACTACTAAGGTTTTAAGGCTTTCGTCAGGCCACACTTGGAGTATTGAGAGCAGTTCTGGGCCCCATATCTCAGGAAGGATGGATGTACTGGCCCTGCAGCGGGCTCAGAGGAGGTGCACGAGAATGGTCCCAGGAATGGAAAGCTCAACATATGAGGAACGTTTGAGGACTCTGGGACTATACTCTTTGGAGTTTAGACGGATGAGGGGCGGGGTGGGGGGGTTCTATTTGAAACTTACAGAATACTGAATGGCCTAAACAGAGAGTGGATGTTGGGAAGATGCTTCCATTGGTAGGAGAGACTAGGACCCGAGGGCACAGCCTTAGAGTAAAAGGGAAGACCTTTGAGAACGGAGATAAGGAGAAACTTCTTCAGCCAGAGAGTGGTGAATCTATGGAATTCACTACCACAGAAGGCTGTGGAGGCCCGGTCATTGAGTACATTTAAGACCGAGATAGACAGGTTCTTGATTATCAAGGGGATCAAGGGTTATGGGGAGAAAGCAGGAGAATGGGGTTGAGGAACTTATCATGGTTGAATGGCAGAAAGACTTGATGGGCCGAATGGCCTAATTTCTGTTCCTGTGTCTTATGGTCTTTTATGGATACCCACTTATCAATTCTACATATTGTGACACTTCTTACAGATCATGGTAAATCATTACTTTACACAACAATGCTGCCACTCAGGGATACGAGAATAGGCAACAAATACAAAATTACTTCTTGGGTAGTGAATGATACAATAATTTGCACTTCTGGCAATCTAGGAACTGCATGCAAACGTACTGTCAAAGTACCTGAATTCTAAGTTACAAGAGAATTGAAAGAAATTAGTTTTGGCAACCGTAACTCAGTTCTTAAATAGGCTGCAGTAAATTAGCTTGCCACTAATTCAACACAAGGAAAGCTGACATGGATCATGGATGGAGTCAAGAGCATGGTGGGGGCTGTTCTTCTATCAGTGAGGGGCACTGAAGCAGATCAATCTGAATGCACCACATGCTGCCCCAGCCAGGAGTGTGTGAAGCCATCAAAAAGATGGCAGAAAGGATAAAATTTCCACTCTCCAGCCATGACACCAGTCACCATGTTAAAGACAACATTTACCAGAATGAATGAACAAACCATTGCAGCCAAATACAAATCGGCATTTCTTTTTTAGTGGAACATAAGGTCGTGCTGAAAGAGAAATGTAGATCAGTAAAAGAATTATACTCAGTTACTCCAACCTTACTTTGACAAAGTCTGCCGTTATAATCGCAAGCTCTGTCTGTGACCCTGGAAGCCACACTGCTTTAATGATGAAGTTGCCAGTGGCGAGTTGTGGATGGAGAACAAGGTGATCAGAGACTGATCCTGAATTGCTGAATGTTAAAACATGACAGTCCTGGAGAATGAGAAACATGTAAAAAAATGTTACTGCTATACCAAAATATTAAGGTGGGAATAATCATATGATGAACCGAGAAACAAAGTTGATGACCTACTTCTGCCCCTTGGAAACACAGGATGTAACCAAAGTCAATTTCAATTAACAATATCATCCTGTCAGTCAGGGATGTTAAAAACAAGGACAAGTTCGAAAAAGACTCTCCCTTCCCAATGTAATGACTCAACTTGGAGATCATGATTCAAAAGTGAAACCTGGAACAGGATGAGCAAACAACTTGACTGACAGTCAACATAACCAGTCTGAGTCTGTACTCATTCAATATAAAGTAAGGATCACTAGAGGGAGTGCTGAACAATATGTATCACAGAATTATGATATTTCAAATATGATGTGCTGGGCTCATGTTTTCATCCAATATATAACAGGGCAGTACTTTAAGTGACATAACTTGTGAGATATGAGTGAGTGAATTGAGCGCACAATGGCCAAAATACAATTAGGTTTCAGACAATGCATTCTAGGTCAGAATAACCCAATATGTGTGAAAAATTTTAATTCTGCCCACAGATTTCATACCAATAATAAAACGGTTTCCTTTTGCCACCAACATCTGTGCCATTAAAGCTGTTTCTCTATCAAAACTCCTCAATTCTGGAGCACCTCTATTTAATCCTTCCCTTCACGTTCTGTGGTCTAAGGAGACCAATCCCAGCCTCATGATTTCACCAGTCCTTCATCTTGAATGTCATTCTATGACATCCATCCGAACTGCAATGTCCAGAAAAACAGACACAGCTTGAATTTACGGTTAGTTGGTTATTTGAGATGATTTAACACAGCTTCCTGGTTTTCATATTCTGCGCTTCTATTTATAAAGTCAAGGATCCTGCATCCTTTTATTGAACTGTTATCAAACAGTTCTGCCATCTTCAAAGACTTACATATGTGAACACAGGGATACAACCGCTTCTAAACAAACTTAACAAAAGGCTAATCTTTCAGAAGGTTTCAAACACCACTTACCTTGAGTCCACACACAGCAAGGTAATCCTCATTACACGGGTTTCCAGTCAGACTCAGAACAGTGAAAGGAACTGGAGCTGAAGCTAGACGAGTCAATGTCAATTTCCGCTTGCTTGAATCAGCTTGTTTGAGTAAAGCTGATAGTTGCAGCACGGTGATCTGTAACAAGGGAGTAGAAGTGGTATCAATTTGAACTGAAAATGCGTTCTGTGGATACATCCCTTATATTGTGAGAAACTGGAGCTGAAGTGCATTGCCTCTTTGATGTTGTCTTGGACAAGTTCCTGATTCCATTCCCCTCCTCAGCAACTGTCTCAGGTCAAAGCAGGTTGTACCAGACTGTGGTAAAGGCAGCAGATGGCATGCTTGCCTTCATCAGTTAGGGTACTGAGTATAAAAGTTGGCAACTCCTGTTGCAGCAGTATATAGCTTTTGTTAGATCACGCTTGGAGTATTGTGTACAGTTCTGGTCACCACACTATAGGGAGGATGTGGAGATTTGTGGAGGGTGCCAAAGCGATTTACCAGGATGCTGCCTGGATCAGAGTTTATTATCTATAAAGGAAAGGTTAGATGAACTTGGATTGTTTTCCCAAGAGTGTCGTAGGCCAAGAGGTGACCTAATTAAAGCCCATAAAATTATGACAGGGTGGATAGTCGGAATCATTTTCCCGGGTGAAAATATCAAATACTAGAGGGCATAGGTTTAAGGTGAAAAGGGGCAAGTCTAGAAGGCAAGAGATAGTAGGAACTGTAGATGCTGGAGAATCTGAGATAACAAGGTGTAGAGCTGGATGAACACAGCAGGCCAAGCAGCATCAGAGGAGCAGGAAGGCTGATGTTTCGGGCCTAGACCCTTGTGAAGAAGGGTCTAGACCCGAAATGTCAGCCTTCCTGCTCGGCCTGCTGTGTTCATCCAGCTCTACACCTTGTTATCTTAGTCTAGAAGGCAAGTTTGTTTTTAACCACATAGAGTGGTAAGTGCCTGGAATGTGCTGCCAGGCGAGGTAGCAGAAGTATATACAACAGCAATGTTTAAGAAGCGTTTAGATAGACACATGAACAGATAGGGAATAGAGGGATACTGACCATGTGCAGGTATATGGGATTAGTTTAGAGTAGCATCATATTTAGCACAGACATGGTGGGTGTAGGGCCTGTTCCCATGTTGTACTATGTACAAACACTGGCATCCAATTTCCAACCTTCTATGCTCTCCATCACAAAAAACTCTATAGACTTGTTTAACATTGCTCATCTTTGCTCCTGGTCCAGCCCAACTGCTGCTGAACTCCTCACCAATGCCTTTGACATGTCCAGACCTACCAATGCTCTCCACATGTGCCTCTCACCTTACAGATTTCAGATCATTCAACACACTGATACACAACATTGTCTAAAATACAGTCCCACCCACTCACTCGTCCCTATCATCCGGGACTACACTGGCTCCTGGACTTTTAACTTCAACTCTGAAATTACAGAAACGTAGAAAAGAGGAGTAGGCCAATCATTGCTTCAAGCCTGCTCTGCCATTCATTATGGCCACAGCTGATCATCCAACTCCATAACCTATTCCCACTTTCTCCCATATCTTTTGATCCCTTTAGCCCCAAGTGCTATATTCAACTCCTTGAAATCACACCATGTTTTGGCCTTGACTGCTTTCGGGGTTAGGAAATTCCACAAGGCTCATCACTCTCTGGGTGAAGAAATTTCACCTCATCTCAGTCCTAAATGGTTTACTCCATGTCCTTCAACTTTGATCCCTGGTCTGGACTCCCCATCATTAGGAACATCCTTCCTACATCTACCCTGACAAGTTGCGAGAGAATTTTATCATCAGTTTTGACAAGATTCTCCCATCATTCTTCATAATTTCAGCAAATATAATCATAAAACAATTCAACCTCCCCATATACTTCAGTCCTGCCACCCCAACAATCAGACTGGTAAACCTTCATTGCACTTCCTCTATAAGGACAGCATCCTTCCTCAGTTAAGGATTACAAAACTACACACAATATTCCAGGTGTGGCCTCACCAGGGCCCTGCATAATTGCAACAAGACATCTGTGCTCCTACACAAATCCTCTCACTATGAAGGCAGACATACAATTTGCCTTCTTGACTGCCTGCTGCACCTGTATGCTTTAGTAACTGGTGTACAAGGACACATAAATCTTGTTGCAGAATCCCTCTCTCACTTACAGAAAATCAGATTACTTGCCTTCCCGTTTTTGCTCCCTCATTTTCCCCCACATTATACTGCATCTGCTACGCATTTGCACACTGACTCAGCTTTTCCAAATCGCTCTGAAGCATCTCTGCATCCTCCTCAGAGCTCACCTTCCCACCTAGGGTTGTGTCATCTGTAAATTTGGAATTATTATATTAGTGTTCCTTATCTAATTAATATATTATCGTGAATATTATCACTTTCTTTAAATCCATTCAGGGTCTCACATGCCTTATCCACATGACCTCCTCTAACATTAAAACTGCAACTCCATCCTCTCTGCACCTTTTATTCTAGGTCAGAAATCACACAATACCAGGTTATAGTCCAACAGGTTTATTTGAAAACACAAGCTTTCGGAGTCTTACTCCTTCTTCATGTGTGAGAGAGAGGGGTAGTATCAGACACAGAATTTATAAGTAGAAGATCAAAGGGTCACATCACTGATCAGGATGTTCTAAACAAACCTAAGATGCTGTTAAATCTTTAATCAGTTTGAAGGTTTTAATTGAATAATATATATGTAAATCCCCAAATTCCTTTGAAGTCACTGCCCTGAGAGAACTAAAGATTTTATCAGTGTAAAGAAGAGGTGACAGTTTAGGTCAGACAATGCATGTTAGGAATAAGGGCTTGTTTAGAATCCCTTTGTGTTTTGGTTTGGAGTCAGACCGGTTTTATTTCTAAAGAAAGAATTGACTGACTGTCTATAAACTGTGTGCTTTTTGAACAAAACAGAATGTATCTGCAAATACAGATTCACCCCATAGATTCAAGTGTATGTGTGCGTGCGCAATTCATCGATCGCCAGTTCCGATGTGCCACAGCAAAAAACCCTCATGACCTCCTCGAAGACAGACATAGGACATGTCTGATTGGGTACCCTTCATCATCCAGTTCTTCCTGGGAGCAGAGAAACTATCCCATGTTCTTTGCTGCCTTCAATACATTATTAAAGACAATGAGCACCTTGCCAAGATCTTCCCCACACCTCCACTTCAACAACCGCCAAACCTTGAACAGACCATCGTTCGCAGCAAACTACCCAGCCTTCAGGACAACATTGACCACAACAGCACACAAACCTGCCATGGCAACCTCTTCAAGACATGTCAGATCTTTGATCATGGACACTACCATTCCACGGGGGTACACCACCCACCCATGTGGGCAGCAGACACTCATGTGACTCACCAAAATTGTCTATTTCATATGCTGCAGGCAAGGAAGCCCCAAGGCATGGTATATTGGCGAAACCACGCAGACACTACAACAGATGAATGGACACTGTGCTACAAACGCCCTACAGGATGTTCCCTCCCAGTGGGGGATCACTTCAGCGGTCAAGGACATTTGGCCTTGGATCTTCGGGTAAACATCCTCCAAAGCGAACTTCAGGATACATAACAACGCAAAGTCGCCAAGCAGAAGTTGATAGCCAAGTTTGGTATCCACGAGGACGGCCTCAACCAGGATCTTGTGTTCATGTTGCACTACAGGTGACCCCACTATACACTCCCTCTCTCACACACACACACTTTCTGTGTCCCGCACGTGCAAATATGACTATGGGTGAATCTCTATTTGCAGGTACATTCTGTTTTGTTCGAAAAGCACACAGTTTATAGACAGTCAATGTGGCATTTTATAAATTCCTTCTTTAGAAATAAAACTAGTCTGACTCCAAGCCAAAACACAAACAGGTTCTAAACAAGGCCTTACAACTAACATGTATTATCTGACCTAAAATGTCACCTCTTCTCTACAACGATAAAACCTTTAGTTCTCTCAGGACAGTGACTTCAAAGGAATTCAGGGATTTACCTATACATATTCTTCAAATAAAACCTTTGAAGGATTAAAGATTTAACAGCACCTTAGGTTTGTTTAGAACATCCTTATCAGTGGTTTGACCCTTTGGCCTTTTACTTATAAATTCTGTGCCTGATACTAACTCTCTCACTAACACCTGAGAAAGGAGTAAGACTCTGAAAATTTGTGTTTTCAAATAAACCTATTGGACTATAACCTGGTGTCGTGTTATTTCTGACCTTGTCCAACCCAGTCCAACTCTGGCACCTCCACATCATGGCCTCTTATTCTAGTCTCCCTTCTTCCACCATTGGTGGTTGTGCCTTCAAAGCTTACAATCCCAAACTGTAAAATTCCCTCCTCAAAACTCTCTCTCTTTTCTCCTCCTTTCAGACTTCCTATTAATCCATTTTCAATCTAGATCTTGTTCAGATATCCTCATATCTTTTATCATTCAGCACACACTCCTTTTCTTATACATTTGTGAAGTACCTTGGGATGTTGCATCCATGTTAATGATACTATACAAATGCAAGTTGTCATCACTAGCTCAAAGAAGTAACTTGAATGCCCACACCCAGTCTGGTGTTTACATGATTTTAACTGTTAATGTGGTTGCCCAGCAAGCTGCTCAGATATTTTGGCAAAAATGTGGCCTTGTCAAAGTTGACCACAAGCACAAAAACATTGCCTGAAGGGGGAATTACAGTAAACTGTATTCAAAGGAACCTTCAAAACCAAATATGAAAATAGAACACACTTTTCCCTTCTCGTGGCTAACAGCCAGGTGCTGTCGACGACCATGGGGAGAGGAAAGAACGCACATTGCCACCCGACGCAGCACGTGTGCACTGATTAGCTGACGGATTGTCTGCCCTTGATCCCCACTGTAATTCATCCGCACATTCTCAAAGGCACCTTCCTGTGAGCCCAGGGTTGGAACCTACAAGGTTAAAACACTCAATTAGAAACACCAGAGCATCAAAAAGCCAAACTGAATAATACCAGTGAAAGTAAACTACAAACAGACAGGACAAAAACTAAGCAGGCAACAGCTCATCTTACACAAAATACAAACAACTTTCAAACATTCCCAACCCATATGATTAAATGAAAATGCATCTAGCAAAATTATTGAAAATGTGTGAAGCGAAATAGTTAGGATTCCTCCCACAACAGTTCCTCTTTCACAGTGTGCCCTGCAGTATTCCACCTGATAATGTACTGTCACGGAGGCAATATCTTGCAATCCATTTCTGCCACTTTCCCAAATCTCTTTATATTTCCAATGAAAATAATTGGAAATAAGGAATAAGGTGGACGAAAATAACAGGGATAGAAAGGATTCTCCAAGCTTCAGCCTTACTAAGGGGCACCACATCAATCCCATAACGTGTCAGTGATTTGCAACATACTCTTGATTATTGGTTATTACATAGTTATGTAACTCGTGGATTTCAGCTTGCTGTTTGCACAGTGTGGTGCACTGCAACGAAGGCCAGTTCTAAGGAGTGGCATTGCACCTATCAATTGATCTTGGATTATACAGAGATTCATTTCACTGCTGTTACAGAGGAATATGACAGTTCACATATTACACAGCAATACATCACTCATTATACTCAATTACTGTACCAAACACTTTCTAACCCTCAACACTCCATTTCCAGTTCCAGGGCGTACCATCAGCTGATCAGTCATTTCCATGTTCTTCTCCATTGTGTGTAGATCATCCAATGCCTGCTGAGCGCGGCTGCTACTGCCAACCGCCGAGGCTTGCTGGAAATTTGTCTGGATAGCATCCATCAGGAAGACGAGCATATCGAGGACTAACCCAGCAGTGGAACAACCAGACTAGGAAAGGCAAACAGAAACAGGGTTAGCAAATCGGGATGACTGAAACTTTGTTCATGTGCCTTCATCAGGATGACTGGTTGTTACAATAGGTTTGCAACCAGCCTTTCAGTTTTGAGATCTGGTTGAATCCAACAAAAGTGTGAAGATGAAAGCCTTGGTAGTGGTGTCAGGATCCAATGTGACAGTCACAACCAAACTGCCAATGGCCAAATGGCTAAAAGCTCAGAACTGTGGGTCTGCAGTGATTTAGGGATCCAGGCATAAAAATTACAAAACTAATGGACAGGTGCAAAAAAAAAATTGAAAAGGCAAATGGAATATTTGTTTTTGTCTCAAAAGAACTGAAATACAGAAGAGGAGGAAGTTATGTTACAAATGTATAGAGCTGCAGTTATCTCTCATCTGGAGTACTACATGCAATTTTGGACACCCAGACCTCAGGGACAACACAGCAGATTCACAAGAATTACACCAGGCTTAAATTGAGGCAGATTGCACACACCAGGTTTGCATCCTCTTGAATACAAAATTCAAGAATGAACAAATTGAAATGTTTTAGATAATTACAATATTTAATAGGGTGCGCTTGATGGGATAGCGCAGAGTGCAGCTTACTCTGTATCTAATCCATGTGGTACCTGCCCTGAGAGTGTTTGATGCAACAATATACAAGGAGCTTCACTTTGTATTAACCGGTATGATACCTGCCATGGGAGTTATTGCTGCTAATTCAAAGAAACAACGTGGTTTGTTCCCAAGAGCTAACATTTTTTTATCTCACTGGCCTACAACATTATAAAAATAAAGAACACCTTTCTTTTTTGGGGAAGGCGACTGGTGGATTTACATGTTCATGTTCATGTTCATGAAGGAAGATTGATCATTGCATCACAGTTCTTGGGAACCTACGCCTGGAATTGAGTGGGGTGGGACAGCCACTGCAAATAGAGCTTCTGATGAAGTTATCAACTAAATACAAAAAGATGATTTATTTTTATCTTGATTCAGATTGCATTCCAGCTAACATGGTACCAGTATTATTGATAATGCAGCAAGTAAAATTGACTCTTCTTTAGAGCAATTTTCTTCAGTTGACAACTATCTTTCACCCAGAGCTTCCCAATGACAGACTAATTAGCTGTGAAGGCAGAGGGTGCCACCTGACCAGTGCCACCAGAAGAACACACTGGTGAACACAGAAAACACATTTGATTAGGATTAACGGCATAATATATTGCAAATATATTCTTAAGGGGAATGTTGATGTATGATATGATTTGTTCTCCAGCACCAGAATATAAGTCCATAAGATATAGGAGTAAAATTAGGCCATTTGAATTTGCTCAGCCATTTGATTATGGATGATATGTTTCTTGACTCCATTCTTCTGCCTCCTCCCCGTAACCCTTAATCTACTTACCTGGTTATCCTCCAGACTAGTTATCTGTTTAATCTCAGCTGCACAGCATACTTGTCAATTCTTTCCATCGTCATCCACTAACTTTCTGCTCGGGATGTTAAGTGAACTAACTGACTCAGATTTGCCTTATATAATAGCAAGTCTCTATGTAAGGCATACTTCAGGTCCCTTTGGGCAAGGATGCCAAATCACCATGGAGCAATGTTAAACTGGACAGAAATGTTGTGCTTTGAGGTTGAACAATACTTCAATAACATTCTTCAACAGGTTTAATAACAGTTCTCAGAGGTGGACAGTGCCAGCAACAACACATCAGGCGACACATTAGCAAAAACAACAACAGGAGCCACATTTTCACAGCTCCATGGATAAAAACTATAAACTAGCAAAAAGCCAGTAGTTTCAAATCTAACAAAAAACAAATGCTTCTGAACACTGGAGATACAAAACACCCAATATTACTTAAAACTGAATCAGCATTGAACATACCAATTTCAAACACTACCCTTCTAAATTTTACATCAAGCATTCATTGCTCAGGAGGAGCACCTAGCCAGTGCACTGAAAAATACAACTTGGATCAGTAACAAAGCAAACTTTGTCCTCCAAAGAATAAGAAACATGTTCATTTTGATTTACCTCACAAAGGCACACTCACCATACCGCCTCCTCTCCAGGCACATGCGCACACACTCACACCCAAATACCACTCACCAATACCGACTAAATAGGTATCCTAAAATGATCTGGTCCAATTTGCCAGCATTTGGCCCACATCCCTCTAAATCCTTCCTAGCCATGTACCCATCCAGATGCCTTTTAAAGTTTGGAATTGTACTCGCTTCTACTTCCTTTGGCAGCTCGTTCCATAAATGCACCACCTTCTGCGTGAAAAAGTTGTCCCTCATGGCCCTTTTTAATCTTTTCCCCCTCACCTTAAATCTACACCCTCTAGTTTTGGACTATCCTACCCTGGGAAAAAGATCTTGACTATTTGCCCTATCCATGCCCCACATGACTTTATAAACCTCCAAGGTCACTGCTCAGTTTCCGTCACTCCAGGGAAAATAGCCTCAGCCTATTCAGCCTCTCCCTATAACACAAACACTCCAATCCCTGCAACATCCTTGTAAATCTTTTCTGAGCCCGTTCAAGTTTCACAACATCCTTCCTAAAGCAGGGAGACCAGAACTGAAAGTTTTCTAAAAGGGACCTACCCAACAAACTACAGTCACAAATGACATCCCAACTCCAATATTAAAAGCACTTAATGAATGCAAGCATATCAAATGCCTTCTTCACCACACAGTCTACTGGCCACTCCACTTTCAAGAAACTACGAACCTGCATCCCAGGTTCCTTTATTTGGCAACATTCCCCGGGGCCCTACCATTAACCTACCATCAGCCGCACTATTTGTAGAACATGTTTTAGTGATAATAGAAGCAGTATCGCTATCCATACATTTAATTTTTCCAAATCTTTTAAGGCAAGTGGATGCAATGATATGGTTGGTAGGAAGCACAGGAATTTTGTGTATTTGGAATAAAAAGCATTGAATAGTAAAGTAAGGAAGTTACCAGAAATTTAAATATCTTATTAGTCAGGTGTCATCTGGAGTTTCATTATCAAATTATGGGCAGTGGACATTAGGAAAGCATTCAAGAGTTTATGGACAATGCAATGGTATACTGGAATGATAATAGGAACATTATGTACAGATGAAAGAAGTTGGAATGCCTTGCCTTAGAGCAGAGAAGTTGAATAGGAAGACAGTAGAGGCAGTCAAAATCATGAAGGAATATGTGGCTAACTATGAAAAATAATACCAACACGGTGGAAACAGATTCACTAGTAACTTTCAATGGGATTAACTACAGATCTTTTTAATTGACCCATTCAGACGTGTTATGATACAACTCTCAAACAGGTACAGCTTGAACACATGCCTTCAGAACCAGAGGTAGGGACTCCACTGGTGTGCCACAAAAGCCCTCCAAGGGATTAATAATATTTTTCAGGGCTATAGAACTTAGAACAGGCACAGGCCCTTAACCCACCATGTCTGTGCCAACCATGATGCCATTCTAAACTAATCTCAGCTGCCTGCACCCAGTCTGTATCCCTCTATTCACCACCTTTCATGTGTCTAAAGGCTTTTTAAATGTTGCTATCATATCTGCTCCTGGCCTCCTCCCCTGGCAGTGTGTTCCAGGTACCTATCAACCTGTGTTAAAAAAAACCTGCCTCACATATCTCCTTTAAACTTTACCCCGCTCACCTTAAACCGATTCACACTAGTATCGGATGTTTCCACCCTGGGAAAAAGACTCCAACTATCCATTCTATTCATGCATTATAGACTTCTAGCAGATTGCCCCCTCACTTCAACATTCTCGGGAAAACAATCCAAGTTTGTCCAACCTCTCCTTGTAACCAATACACTCCAAACCAGGCAACATTGTAGTAAACCTTTTTGCACCCTCCCCAAAGCCTCCACAGTGAGGAAGGTTATCAAAGGACACAGTAGGATATCGATCAGTTGGAAAGCTGGGTGGAGAAATGGCAGATGGAGCTTAATCTGGACAAGCGTGAAGTGATGCATTTTGGGAGGAAAAATGCAAGAGGAACATATGCAGTAAATGGCAGGACACTTACGAGCATTGATATACAGAGATCTTGGGGTGCAAGTCCATAGCTCCCTCAAAGTAGCAACACAAGTGGATAAGGTGGTGAAGGCCAATGGCATGGTTCCCTTTATTGGTCAGGGCATCGAGTATAAAACGTTGGCAAATTGAAGTTGTTCTTTCAAACAACTTAGACAACCACACGGGCTAAAGTGCTGCTTATTTTCCCTTAGTTCCTCCCCTTAACAAGAGTCAGCCGCTTCTGAGGAGGTTTAATTTAAGAAGAGCCTAACACATTTTATCTTGTGAAGCTTGACAGTGATCGCTGCCAAGCTATTACATTGGAAAAGGTATCACAATTGCAACTAATCCTGTCCTGACATGATGATCTCATGTAATTTGCAATAAGAATCACAAGGAAACTGCCAAGAGTAGAAACTTTTGTTGAGCTCACATCCCCTGTCCCAGGTAACACAGCAAAGCATAAATCAATGAATCAAATATGATACCTTCTGGTATATACAAGTCAACTGTTCATTATATAAAGCATAGGGTATCTAAGGTTTTGGAGTAGATCTGTAGCTCGGGTTGTGGGTGTTGAGGTTGGTTGGCTTGCCAAGCTGGTTTGTTGCTCCGCAGACGTTTCATTACCGTGCTTGGTAACATCCTCAGTGCTGCACTGAGGAGGTTACCAAGCACGGTAACAAAACGTCTGCGGAACAACAAACCAGCTCGGCGAGCCAACCAACCTCAGCACAGGGTATCTATGATGTAAAAGTTTGTAAAATGACACAAAGCTCCTTAATGCTCAAGTAACTAAAATAGTTACTGCTGAAATCCTTCAAAACAAAATGAAGTATAGCATGGTGAAATGGAACAGCCTTATCAACATTAGAAGGCAGCTCTCTGCAGCAGCAACTTACTGCCCAAGTAGTTTCACATTGTTACGCCACGAGTGAAAGCTTTGTCTCTCAATTTACACATGTTCTTACCACTTGGATCTGAAGCTCCTCCCTGCAACCCTCGATCTGTTTGCACAAAGTACTCTTCTTTGGTTTGTCGTCTTCAGAGGTCTTACCATCTGCACTCATCACTTTGCATTTATCTGCTGGGGAAGTGCTTTGGTGTCGTAGGGCACTTTCTGGGACACGTGGCTCATTCTGGAAGGCAGAGGACTCCTTCAAAGTAGAGCTGATTCCACTGCTTGGACTCCGCTTTACCAGAGCCTGCAGAAACAGCAATATTTAATACCTTTCAATTGCCCTCAAAACAAAAAAAGAACCCAGAGAAAGTAGTTAGAAGAGTTATGTCTAAATTGCAGCCCTGGGCCCTGAATATTAAGTCCTAACTGTGCTAACAAGTTTTCCTTGTCCTGTTCAAATGTTACAAGCCTTTAGGTTTAGAAAGCACTTTTTTGTCATTTGTTGACGAATAAATCCGAAATTGAACTGCAAAATCTATTAGTGTCAGGAACTCAAGAAGAGAACAAACAGGGAGACACTTAAATTTGGCCCCAAGGCTCCGTTTGCCACAGAACGAAGAAAGAATGTAGAAGTGTTCAAAGTTACACTGGCTGAGGCATAATCCTTGGTGGCACTGCATAAAAGGCTGGAAATGGTTTTAGTTAAAAATAGTGAACCCAGCCAATTTCATAGATTTGATGGAAAATAAACTATCAGAGTGATCTTCTCAAGAAAATCCACATAACATCACTGGCAGGGGGAGAGTGGCGACACTAACTGAACACTTGGCAGTATAGTGGCTCAGTGGTTCACACTACTGCCTCACAGCACCAGGGACCTGGGTTCAATTCCAGCCTCGGGCGACTATGTAGAATTTGCACTTTCTCCTCTTTTCTGCACGGGTTTCCACCGGGTGCTCCTGTTTACTTCCACAGTCCAAAGATGTGCAGGTTTGCCCATACTAAACTGTCCATATTTCCAAAGATGTGCAGGCTAGGTGGATTAGCCATGGGAAATATAGGGCAGGGGGGTGGGTCTGGGTGGGATGCCCTTCAGAAGGTCTGTGGGGACACAACGGGGCCAAATGGCCTACTTCCACACTAGGGATTCTATGATTTTAGGTCCTTATTAAAAAACATGTATCCAAATCCATTAACATCTTATGACTTTATAATAAATAATATAATTTCAGGATATAAATGTCTTGGGGAAATTGATGGAAGGAGGTAGTGAACCCAAACCTGAGTAGGTGGGTGGGGAGAGAACAAAACCAACTCAAAGTGATTTTGCACTTATCAGCATGCAACCTCCTTCAAATTGAAATTATAATGCTTGCACTGCCAGATTCTGCAATATTATAGTCAACCTCTATGATATTGTTACTCTTAAAGAGAAATTTTCTCCCTCCCCGAACAGCATTGACCATTACTGGCATGAGATTACGTTGCCATTGCCTGTCCTCCAATTCCTTACACAGCAGCTCAGATGACAGCCAAAACCTAGTCAACATAGGGACTATCCCTGTCAAACACAATACAACATTTCCACCAACATCCAATTATGATCTGGATAGATCTTGGTTAATTTTTCCTTCACTAACTCAGGGGCTTTTAAATGACTATAGACCATGGTGTGCTATGTGGGCTGCCATCAGCTAATTGAGTACAGGCTAAGGACTGAACCTGACTGTTAGCTCTGGAGCCTGAGAATTTATTCTTTGGAACAGAAGTGATGTTAAAAGTTAACATTGTCATCTACCTAATTTTAAACAAGATTAAGTAATTTCACACTAAAGTGAGAGCCTTAAAAATTCTGCCACTTTATGAAGCAATGAACACCTCACTCCCCTTACAACTTGTTTCAAGCATAACTGCAATGCTATCCACAAAAACTGCTTTTTTAGCTCTAATGCCTGCTAAACATTAGCAGCTCTGCAAGTTTCTACTTCTATTGTTGTGCACATGTAAGAGACAGGAACTGAAAGGGAGAGACACAGAACAGCAAGACAACTTACATTCATATAGTCCTTTAATGCAGTAAATGTCTGAAGGCACTCCAGTGAGGAAAGAACAGACACTGAGAATTAATATAAGGAGTGGGAAAAGATATGATTAAATTGACATGCTATAAGGGAACTTTGGAAGAGTGGACAGCAATGCCATAATGCCAAGGTTTCGGAGATGAAGAAAGTGACAGCTGAAGTACTTCACAGTCTGACAGTAATGATGAAAAGGACAGAAGATGCACAGACCAGAGCTGGAAAACTGAATGGTATGGACCAGAATACTGAGCTAGAGGAGAATGCAGAGGTAAAGTCATGGAAAGGATATATTAAAAACTATGCCGCAAATGAGGAGCTCACAGAGGTCACAGAGGGCAGGAATGACAGGCAAGATGAAGGTAGTGGATTTTCTTTAGCTATCATTCCATTGGAACTGTGAAAGGATTAACTGCATCAGGTCCTAGAACTAGAAAAAATACGGACAAACTTCTGAGGAATAGAGGTAACAGCAGAGGCAGTTGATATGGGTGGAAACAAATGGTCATGGACAGGATATGAGAGTCTGAAGATCAACTTGTCTTGAGCATGACACAAAGATTCAGAAATTTAGCTTTCAGTCTGAGTAAAACATCCAAAGGTGTGAAGCCAAATTGAGGGTATGGAATTTTTGGTAAGAACCAAAAATGACAGTCTGGCACAGAAGTAGAACTGGCTGTCATCAAAAAGAAAATATGGAAGCTGACACCATGTCTACAGTTACTCTAATCACAAAGTAACATACAGATGTGAGAAAAGGAGTGAAAAATTTAACTGAGGTACTATCAAGGTGATCGCATGGATCAAGAACAGAAGTCTGCGCTACAGTTTTTCTGGTTTTATTGACAAAGGTACTAAAGACTAAGACAAACAGACTAACAGAGATGAACCAGAGGAAAAGTACATGGAAATATGGAGAAATAGAAAGATTTTGTGCCACAGCAGGTTTCGTAGGAATGTCACTGACTGGGGTGCGGTCAACTGCAATGGGCAGGTAAAAGAGTTGAACTGGAAGATAACCACAGAGTTATATGGAAATAGTACATAAAGAAAGCAGTGGAGTTGTGGTGGGGCAGACCCCAATACTGCTGCCTTGTCCCTCCCAACACCACATGAGGCAGGTGCTATCTTCCAGATTTGTAACTCCTGTCAACTGATCAAGTAAAACACATTAACCATAAAAGCTGCCCCATAAACCTAGAAATCTACAAGGGACGCTGAACCCCTGCAGTTGGCAGAACTAGGATGATTTTAAAGGCTAATGAAGCAGCATATAAAAGAAGAATCTCAAATGCTGTCAGCAAACATGTGCTAACATTGACTGACAGATAGTGCAATGACACAACAAATTGGTTTCCTGTTTGCCTTCAGTACAAATTATTTTTATGACATACTTGACAACTTCCATCTTCCTTTGCTCCACAGTCACAGAAGAATGATCCGTACTTGGCATAAGAAATCTCATGATCTTTGTGACAGACTTTAGCACAAATGGTGCAAACTCCTACTCCTTCCACCATTTTACAGGTGTGACAGTGATACCTGAAACAACAGGTTAGATTAAGTCAGTTTACCCTTCCTCTTTCAAAGTCATGCTTAGTCTTGAGCAAACACCTTTTTAAAAGTTTGTGATTTACACCATTAATAAAAGGAGATCATGATTTTATATGCTTCAGTAATACTGTTCAGACTTTAACAACGCAGACCAGTTTCCATTCCAGTGACAAAATAACAAACCGTCAAGCAACCTTTACCCATCAAAAGCAGTGCTCAAAAAAACCCATTTAATGTTCTTGCCCGAGAGCAACATGTTCAAGCACATGACAGTGGCAGAACCAATTAATTCAGCACCTTTTAGGCTATAACATATCTGTGACAATGCAGTACCATCTAAACCATCACCTGTCAGTTACATTCTGAAGCTATGAAGTTTATTCATGTTCTTATTTCTGCTTCCATCTCAGGAACTGTTTTTTTTTTTAAAACATTCAACTTTAGAATGGGTGCAAGGACCATTTTTTTGGCCATTTTCTCAGTTGTTCACAGCTGTAGCCTAATGGTAATGCTCCGGCTCAAATCAAAAATTATGGGTTCAATTTTCACTCCAGACAGATGTATGCCTCGGACATCTTTTCGGGAAGACACTAACGAGGCCTTGCAACATCTACCCAAAACGGCAGACAAGATTCTAGGAGTATTTTTAAGGGATATTCTGCACATTTTATTGTGTTATATTTTATCCCTGGACCATCACTACTTAATGATTATCTGGTCATTATCTCATTTCTGTTTGTGGGAACCTGCTGTGCGCAAATGGGTGCCGTATCACCTACATTACTTCTGTAACTACACTTCTAAGAAAGCTACTTGGTTGTGAAGTGCTTAGGGCATCCAGAGGAGGTTAGAAAAATTTGAAATTCACACTACTAGTTCTGCTGAAGAGTGCAAACATTTACTGTGAACCACTGTAGCCACGGGTTAATGATAATCCCATTCTGGAGGGATTAGGTCCAAGCAGAGCATGGTGAGTTTTTTCCAATGGGATTAGTTTGACTCACCTAAATCCTCTATCCTACACCTCACTCTACCACAAAATAAAATCCTGAGCTCTCATATCAGTTTAACAGAAGGACAATGTTCTCACCAATGCTGATTCATGAATTCCTTCTGTGTAATTGTGAATGTGCAGAGCTTGTTACACAAAGAATCTTCATCCTAGGAACAAAAAACGTCCAGTCATTGTGTGTGTGACACTTATAATGATCTGTCAATTTACAATACGTTGACTCAAACTCTTTTCAGGTTATTCACAAGCAGAATATAAATTACTCACCGAATCCTCTGCTTGCGAGTCCTCTTCTTCCACAACTAGATCTTCCACCCAATCAGAATCAACCTCAATTGCTCTTTCCTCACCATCCACCACCAGGTGTGTTGATCCCTGCCCACTGTTCTGTCGCATGGCATTCATGACATCAGCAAGGTATGACATGATGTGGCAGGCACAGTCCAGCATTCCTACATGCTGCACAACAGGACAGAAAAAAAAAGTTAAAACACGCAGTCAAAAGCAGAGACATTCAAACTGCAACTTGATGCAGACGTATTCATATTCCCTCCAGGCAGTACAAGTCATTTTTACTGAAAGAAACTGCAAAGAAAGGGACACAATTAAAAGCAAATATTTGCTAAAACTGGGATTATGCATTTAAAAATACAGTAAATTTCTTAAAGTTAATTACCGACCCCACGACCTACGAACTCACCTTCCCTTGGGTTACATTTGCCCCCACCTTCTCCAGGACATTCTTCTGGGAAAGATATTTCTTACTGAAAAGCAAAGACAATGATTTACAGAAATTGAATATTTTGAATAATGAAAAAAAATGAGCTCAACCCTCACCCCAGCCTGTCCCCCACAAGGCAGTTGATGTACCTTCAAACATTAATGCTTCAGAACATTTGCAGGACAGTTAATTAATTAGTGCTGAGACTCTTATTTGAGCAGCTCACCAGAAGTCACATCATTGCTAGACTCGTGCGCTATAATCACACTCACCATTTCCCTAACCAGTCTACAGCTGCACGGTGAAGCTGTAAGTGTCCTCCTCCCTGTCCAGCGCTGGCCAATGTTGCCATAACAACCATTAGCTCAGGGAATCCTGTTCCATCACCATTTGACAACATTTCTGTTGCCATGGGTATAAGTGTGTTGAGTAACACAGTACAGACACCTTCACCAACTTGGCTAAAGAGCAGATGAGAACAGAACAAAATAAAATCAAATTAACCATTAACAGTAATTCTCAACAAAAATGTGGTCAAATTCTTTAAGGCGAAGATTTTCAAGAGAATGGGAAAAAATAGTGGGACTAATTGAATAGCTTTACCCTCACTACACCATCCTTCTCTACCCCCACCCCACCCCAACACGCACACACACCAACAAGCAAATTACCTCCTTCTGTACTACAAGGTCTGTTATGAAAATTACTAGAAATACTTGTTTCAGTAGGGGGTGCATAAATCAATTTACATCCACACTACAGCTCAAGGAAGTAAATCATCATGAGTGTAATTGATCACGAATGGTGGAGTTGGATGTTACAGCAAATCAATCACCTCTACAAGTTTTTTTAAATGATTGGTAATCTCTATTACTTTAGCTATCAGGGAGTTGTTTTAGAAGGCAGTGTGAAGTCAATACCTTCCAGTTATCAGTATTGAATAAAACTGCACAAACATCTGAAATGTTTTGTTATAACCTGATATGGTTTTAAGGCGGCAATATTATCTGACTAGTTGGTGAATTGCACTTGGAAATATAGCCTTGGAATTGCATGTGTTTGATTCTGAAATTTATATTAAATAATTGCAGTGTTAGCAATCAAAGCAAGGCATTTGTAAAACTAACAACTGATTGGTATGAAACATGATATTCAAGTACAGAAGGAATAAAACCCAGCCCTCCCCACTTTCAGCAATTGTTTGACAAATCAGCTATTCATATTTACATAGCATACCTAACATAAAACTCCAAAACAACTTGTGGGAAGGTGGAAAAAAAGTAAAAACTTAAAGTCAGCAAAGTTAGATTTAATTCATAGGTTTTGGAGAAGTAGAAGAGGGAAAGAGAGCTTAGTAGAATGACATAGAATGAGAAACCAAAACAATTAACAGATCTGCTGTCAAAAGGAAGTCACAGAGACATTTCAGTGTCAAAGGAGGCTGCAATCAGATCAGCTATAATTTTATTCAAATGCACAGGAAGCTTAATGGACTAAATGTGTGCACCTATTTATGTTCTTAGGAAGCAGACGGAAATGGAGTTTTGAAGGAGACCAGAATCAGAAGAACGAGAGTTCATTCAGGAGCACATAGCTAGAACAGGTTCCAGAGGCAAAGTTGGACCCAGCATGATTTTGAAACTGATTACACAGACTGTTAGGGAACCAGTGAAACTTGGAAACCATTATGATAGTTAGAGTCTGAGGGTTTTACATGGGATAGGATGTGGCAGCAAAAACTTGGACAATTTGGAATTTTTAGAAGACAGAATTCAAGAGCCTACCAAGGAGCGTTGGAGTACACAGGGACAAAACTTCAGTGGGCACAGAATGCAATATACAAAGAGGCAAGCAACACTACAGCAAAAAAAAAAAGCAGATAGCCTCTACTGTGAAAGGGGTGTTATATGTGAAGCTCATGTTCAAAGTAATCAGGATAACCAAGGTTATGCACCTTCAGGTTTAATCAAAGGAAGCAGTCCAAGATGGGAAACGAGCAAGTGTTGAGACTCAGACCTTCAGGTGGGAAGTATATACAATGGTTTAAACTTGATCAATATAGACTAATAGGAAATTCTTGTTGTCAAAGAACTAATGTCATTTGAAAGGTTTAAGAATTAAGAAATGTTGGCAGAGAGGAAAAGCTGGTCTATCAGTAACACAGGTTCTTTCCATTCTCTACTTGTATTAACTCAGTTTCCCGTTCCTGTAAGTATCTGCAGACGTTTTAACCCACACCCTCATAGCACGTTGCATATAAAAAGTACATTGAGCACCAGCCTTTACTTAGGACTGTTTCTAAGTACCTGTTTTCTCTAACAATACATGCAGTCAAAATCTGAAGGAGTTGTCTGTTCTCTTGTACAACGTCCAGCTGATCAGAGTCTTTAGGAGGTGCATGAGTCATTCTTGTTAACCAGGCATGTAATCGGCTGTGTTCAACACAAGCCAGCTGAGCAAATGAGCCACACAAATGCAGAAGGCTTGGGTTTGGGCTCTTCTCCGCTGAAACAAAAGGCATATTCTGTTATAACCTACTTCCAAATTTGCAAAGAGACATCATCTATACCAATAGATCAATATTCAGCTTATTTGGTGTATTACCATTGGAAGCAAAACACATGACTAAAAAGTTAGAAACATACATAAAACAGCAAAACCTCACTGTAAAAGGAAAAACAAAACGCCACAATGTTGGAAATCTGAAATAAAAACAAAAAAATGTTGGAAATATTCAGCAGATCATGCTGCATCTGTGAAGAGAAAGAGTCAACATTTCGGCTTGAAGACTCATTATCAAAATTGTGAAAGGTTAGAACTGTAGCAGTTTGCAAGCAAGTCCGGAAGTAGGAAAAGTTGAAATAAAAACAGAAAATGCTGGAGAAACTCAACAGATCTGGCAGCATAAAAATAAAAAATACCAGACTCAAAGTTTATCTCTCGCCACAGATGCTGCCTGATCTCCTAAATTTCTCCAGCACTTTCAGATTTCCAGCACATGCAGTATTTTGCTCTTATTATAGTTCGGAAAGTTGACTGGGCAGGGGCTGGATCTGTAAAGTTTACAGCAAAGTGATAGGCAGGAGAGAATAAAACGACGAACAGGATGACGTGCAATAAGACAAAGAAGCCAAAGATGGGTCCCAAAATGGTGTGAATGAGAAAAACAAACTACTATGAACAGCTGTTGTTTGGAAAAATGGAGATAGAGATTACAAACTGAAATTTCTGAACTTGACTTTTGAGTGCTTATTTGAAAAAAATGTGACACTGTTCCTCAAGATTACTTTGAGCTTCATTAGAAAAATGATGCAGACCAAGGGCAGAGAAGTCTGAAAGGAAGCAGGATGGGAAATTACAAATACAGGTGAGCAACAGCTCAGAGTCCTAGCTTGCATACTACATGGAGATATTTCACAAGCCAGTCACCCAATCTATGCTTGTGTCCTTGATACAGAGGAGACTACATTATTGCAGCAGATTATTACACAAAATTTAAATATGTGCAGGTTAATCTGCAAAATGTGTCAGGACCCTGAACTGTTGGAAGGGAGGAGGTAAAAAGACAAAAAAAAAAACACATGCACATATGTACAGAAGGCTGGAGAAAAACTCAGCTACTCCAGCAGCATCTGTGGAGAGAGGAACAGTTAATATTTTAAGTCCAGTATGACTTCTTCAGAGTCCTGGGGAGGAGTTATGCTGGACTCGAAGTATTAACTCTGTTCCTCTCTCCATAGGTGCTGCTAGATTGGAGTTTCTCCAGCATTGTCTGTGTTTATTACTGAATATTCTGCTCTTTTCTAAATTCTTTGTATTGTTAACACACTTCCAAAGTGAACTCCTCCTTATCCTACACCCACTTGTCTATCCATTCATGCAATTCAAACCAAGAACGCAAAAATGTAAATAATGCCAAAACATTCTTTAACTGTTACGTTCAATTAGCAACATGCACTATAATCCACATTTAACAAATGACCCAACTGAATATGCAACTCACCAAGTTGGAAGAGCTTCGTGAAAAACTTGAGCACTCTGTTACAGAATTTAGCCGAAAGGTTCTCGTTGGCTGTGGCCATCATGATCTGCACCAGTTCCCCACTGTGAGATAAAAACAGGAGTTGAAACACAATCTCAAGATGGGACTTCAACAAACAAAAGTAAAATAACAAACGTGCATCTATCCAGAGGAACAGAAATTCTACCTCACGGATCACATTATCTAAAAAATGTCAAATACAAAGATTATATTTTGGGGATATAATCTTTCTTTAAAAGTATTAATGGTATTCCCAGCAGGCAAAAAAGAAGGAAAATTGGAGCAAGAAGAGAAAGTATTCATTTTGGACAACTGGCAATTTACAGTGCAATTGGATTCGTCTCTAAACATATTCACGCGGCACATATTTGTCCCAAATATTGTTAACTGAAAAATGCAGAGAGTCTGCACAGTTAAAATTCTGTGGACATTGAGATCGCTCTACACCTTGATATACAAGAAACATTTCCATCCTAACAGCTTGTAGGCAAAAATACATATCAGGCAACAGGATAATTCCATGATTCTTTCCCAATCCTGGTTGGCTGTAAAGACAAGTTGATTAATAAAAGAAGTCAATTTAAAAGGAACATGGACCAAATCCAAAACTGTCATGGAACTCTAGTCCAACACTCCTCTCATTCCCACTGTCCAGTTAGTACTATCTCTATTTCACCACCATCCCACTCTTACCGTTCAGAGAAGAATTCCTCCATGGCTTTGCGTGCCTGGCTGCTCTCCAGCTGCTTCTCAAGGTATTGCAAACACTCCTCTAAGATAGTCTCATCCAAGCCACTGTGGGAACACATGGATAAAGCAGTTTTTCAAAAATGCTTAATGAACACTTGCTTTTATTTCTCCAAAGATGCGTTTCTGAAGCTTATTGTTTTAAGCATACATTTCCAAACTTTAAAATTCTTACTAATCCAGACATTTGACACAAACATGTCAAACATGAACAGAATTTACCTTTCACGCACGTGAAGTCCCAAAACACAACGTTCTCATTTGCAACAAATACCCTTTAAATCTTACAAAACGTAACTGGCAAGGATGTACTGTGCACAAAACCGTAGGATCAGAAACACGTTATGTCCCCTTTCCCTCTGCACACATGACATAAAATGTTGGCAATCACTAGCGAAGACAAGCACCACACCAACCACAACAGCTTCAATGGAATTGGAACTCATGACTCGTTGCACTGCTTAAATCCTGATGGTACCCTGTAACTGATCAGTGACTAGAACAGCACATTTTTACCAAGCCATTTATTCCCAATACATTGCTGTGGGTGCAAAAGTTTCAAATCCTGTTTCCAACAATTGCACTAGTTCACATTGGAACAAGGGAGGTTGTACAAATCAGTCATGCTGGATTCCGGTAGTATGCATGAGTGTTCAGCCCTAACCAATTTCAACAACTGATTAATAAGCTGCGTAATGCCAAAACAGTGACTAATTATAGAGTCGGAGATCCCTTATTTAAAGTATATTTACTGAAAATACAGTATACAAAGAACTTGCATTGAATATCATGCTTTCATAACCCTCTCAAATGAGTCAAAGTATCATAGATTCAATGAATTAATTTTGAAGTGTTTTGTGGGCATGTATGACAACTTATTTGCGTACACAAGATGCCACAGATAGAAAGAGGTGCAGGATTGTCAATCTTTCTTGGTGTTTTGGTCGAGCAGGTGTACTAAATACTGGTCAGAACATCAAGAGTTTTCCATGTTCATCTTCAAATTATGATGGGAAGTTTCATAAACAGGCACAGGGCCTTTGCTTAATGCCTTATCCAAAAGACGACACTTCCAATAGTGCAGGATTACAAACATACGAAGTGGGAGCAGTGGTGGACCATAGCTGGAGAGGGTGCAGAAAAGATTTACCAGGATGTTGCCAGGAATGCAGGGTTTGAGTTACGACGAGTCTGGATAGGCTGGGACTTTTTACCCACTGGAGGAGTGTAGAAGATTGAGAGGTGATCTTATAGACGTTTAGAAAATAAAAAGGGGCATAGATAAGGTAAACGGTGGTGTATTTTCCCTAGGGTGGGGGGATTTCAAGACTAGGGGGCATATTTTTAGAGAGGAGAAAGATTTACTAAATTCATGACAGGCAAATTTTTTTTAAAACACAGTAGTTAGTGTGTGGAAGTGGTGGATGTGGCTACAGTTACAATGTTTGAAAGACATTTAGCTAAGTACACGAATAAGAAATGTTTGGAGGGATACAGGCCAAGTACAGGCGGGTGGAACTAGTTTGGGATTATGCCATGGACTGGTTGAACCGAAAGGTCTGTTTCTGTTTAGTATCACTCTATATGGATGCTTTTGCCTTCTCCAAAGGAGTTCGTTCCAAAGCCAAAGAACATAACCCTCATCTCCATCTTAAATGCAGGACCCTTGATTTTTAAACTCCATCCCCTTGTTCTAACCATTCCCACAAGGAGAAGCATTCACCTGGTCAATTCCCTTAGGATGCTGTATGCCTAAATTTGGTCACCTCTAATTTTTCTAAAATCCAATACTGCTGGTGCAAAGGTAGATTTTGCGCTCAATCCTATAAAAAAAGAGTTTGAACCCACAATCTTCTGACTCAGAAATTAAGCTCTATCAACTGCACCCATCAGACATGTGGTATGTTTTGCTGGTTTAATTGTTGATTAGCACTGAGCACATGTACTCTTTAAATAAATTCATCGAATTGCTCATAAAACACAATTAGTTTACTGTTTGGACGAATGTGTTTTAGATTTACAACATTTTATTTTGCACTCACCTTACAGTTTTACCATAACAAAAGATTGACTGCGTTAAGACAGAGAATCAAATACAACGATTACCTGTTATAACAAACACCTAAGTGACTAGCTAAACCAGTGATAATTAGAGTCTATTGTATAATAAGTTCAGAGCCTTTAACTTGTAAATCCAAAATTGTATTGGACAGACCTTTACTGATTTGAGTCTTTACGTACCTGTTGGGGTCGGAGTGGTTAGCAATTATGTTATAGCAGCTTGTGATGAGTCTTTCATAGATACGCGCAAGAAATTCATCAGATTCTGCTGGCCCGAGGATCCGTTCCAATGACGTGGAACTGATTTCAGACACACTTTCTGTACTTATCTCCAAGAGTAATGGCAGCAGTGTGTGGATGACTTGTGCAGGATTCAGTTCATCAGGACACCACCTAGTATGAGGTTAGAACAGATCGTTCATTCTATGTAATGCCTAACTGAAAAAAGCAATTCAGTTACTTGAAGACGAGAAGCAGAACAAGAGAGAAAAGAGAAAAAATATGGAGAACACACAGACACAGCAAAAGTACAAAAAAATTGATTAATTCAAACTGGAAATGTGGCAAATTGGTGAGGCAATGACAGAGTGGCATTATTGTTACACTATTAATTCAGAGACCCAGGTAACATTCGGCAGACCCAGGTTTAAATCCCACCTCGGCAGGATAGTAGAATGTGAATTCAATAAAAGAATCTGGAATTAAGAGTCTCATTACAGCCACGAACACATTGTCGATTGTCAGAAAGACCCATCTGGTTCATTAATCTCCTTTAGAGAAAATAACTGCCATCCTTACCTGGTCTCGCCTACATGTGACTCCAGACCCACAGCAATGTGGTTGACTCTGAACTGCCCTCTGGGCAATTAGGGATGGACAATAAATGCTGACCTAGCCAGTGACGCCCTCATCCCATGAATGAATAAAAAAGTTAAGATGAGGAAGCAATTATTTAAATGAGTAGAGGCAGCAAACAGAAAATTAAGTCTTTGCTTTTGAAGATTGGGTAAAATCAGGGAAAGCAGTGCAACAGGCACCCATCCAGGTTTATAACCATCCTTTTAAAACGTTGATGACAGCCATACTTTTGTGCAGGCAGACAAGTGAGAAATGGTTGTACTTGAAGCATGCAGCTCAAAAGCTGCAACAGTTACGTTCAGGAGTAGATTTAGTCACTGAGGTGTGGGGAATGGGTCATCAGAAAAGTACATTTGCTAAACAACTGGTACAGATGCAGAAGTGCTCAAAAGTTAGAAGCCTGGAGAACTTTAAAATACAACACGACAATACAGACAGATTAATGACTGTGGCGGCTTTCAGATATGGCAAAGAAAATCTCAGAACCAACAAGAGTCATAAATAAAGGTATATCACCAAACTTACACAATAAGGTCACCTGTGAGCCTGACCAATGACAAGAGAATATGCTTCAAGCAGGCAGCTAGTGGCAAACTCTGGTTGGACAATGTACCAAGGTGTGCAGCTTGGATTGCACTAATGTAGCTCTCTGCAGGAATGGTGTCATTTGCAAATGCATTTCGCTGTGAGAAACAAAATCAGAGGTTATTTTATTTAAACTACTGCACAACATGGAGATTATTCCTAATCTGCAAAGGATAGTCTAATGCCAATCAGTGGGAAGAAATCTAGAGGGAAATTCCACTTCATTTCAACTTACTTAATAAATAGCCCTTAAAAAAAAACAAACATTTAAAAAAAACCTTTAAATTTATTTATTCAATCTTTGTAGGTAATCCCCCTCATTTGACATTGTGAAGGATACATGGGCCTAAGCAAGAGTGTAGCACAGATTTATTCATGCAAAGAGTTAAAATTAATTGAGTTCACACTTCTCTGTAATGTCAGAACAGGCTAGAGGGCTAAATAGCTTACTCATGTTCATCCATTTCCTCAAATGACTGAAAATGGCATGTTCCTATGTTATTTTGTCACGATCTTTTGTAATTTTAAATTGCTCTATCATCATTTCTTCTTTTCTAATGAAACAGCCTCAGTTTATCAGATTTTTCTTGGTGTTTGCTTTCCCTCCGTACCAGGTGGCAATTGTAACCTGTTAAAATACTGTCCATGTCTCTTATAGTGGAAAAATACAATAAGTCAACCAAATTGTATTTATCCAAACTTTCCATGAAACATAACCAATATTTTGTTTCAAATAATTCACCGACATTAAAATATACAAAAATACAGTGTTCTTCATAGGATTTCCCTGAAATAAGGCACTTTTTCCCGATACACAGCCTGTTCATGCCTTCTTTATTGCCCTGCAGTGTTTTTATCAGTAAAAATTGACTTTTAGTGTGGTTTCAACTGTTTCTTCTCAATGTAATCTAAGTATCTCCAAATATAAATAGAAATATAAGTCTTTGGATGATAAATTTCATGCTTTACCAAAAACAATAATTCTCGAAATGTTTGTTCACAACATGGCAATACAGGCATGAAGAGTCATACCCATCAAAACAACAGAAAGAATTACCATCTTAACCACCTTAAATGCATTCACTTATGCAGCCTATCTTTCCAAAATATTCTGAAGCACTTCAAATTCAAGCAGTATTTTGAAATTAAAAACAATGTACCATAACCGGTTGCCACAACATGATCCCACATACAGCAGTGATTTAAAAAAATGTTGACAAGAATCCCCACCCTCCTCAAAAAGATCACAGGATTTTCCAAAAGATGGTCATGCTCCTTAGTATTGCACTATTTACCAAAATTACAAATCCAATGCATATTCAGATGCAGATATGAATGCCCTTTCACATACCCAGGATCCAATGTTGGGGAATTCATTAGTATGGATATTGTTCCATGTTTCACATAGTGTCTGTACAGATGATGGCAGGTTCTGTACCATTAACTGAGCTGCAAACAGAATCACAATTAGCATGCAACATTAAAAACCACTCGCAGAGAATTCACAATTAAGAAAAACACAGAACAAAATATTCTGCACAGCTATAGATTTAACTTCAAGCAGCGAGAAACTCCATCTTTGAACAGCACTTGCCCTCCGCACCACACTCAAAATTAATTTGCACTTCCACAATGATCTGGATTTGAAGGCATTTTCACATTGTCATCTGGCCCTAAGACGTGTCATCTTCAGAAGTCACAGATGACAAATGCTTGCAAAAATAACTCTGCAGTTGTCATGAACACTGTAGTACTCACTACACAAACTCTGAATTTACCACAGTACAGCAATGTGTCACATAGGATAGAAATTCCAAGTTCAACTGCTATCTGTACAAGGTTAACCAATCTCAAATAGGAGTAAAATGAGACACTCCAACATTGAAATCTCAGAAGCGGAGAAAACGGGGAAACAGAAAGTCGAACAGTCATGGCTCCTGCACCTGATCATCTTCTGCAATCTCCACTAGAGGACAGTATATGCCAATATCAGGTTCAAACAACCTAATTGTGATCCCAGGTTCATACGTTGAGAAATCAGTTGAACAATCCATCAGGGGACTATTGGCAATCTTACAATAAGTCAACAGATGTAGGCAAGAAGGAAAAGAATGGGAAGAAAAAAAATTCAAAGGTGTAAAAGCAAAAATGAATCCCCGCATTCTGCATTTATTCCAGATGCCTCTAGTCACACTGCCAAACAACGTCAACTACCAAAAAGAAATTCTTGCTCTTACCAATAGAGTTAGTCTTGCAGCGGGTAGATCCAATCGCTAGTACTGCTGCATAACCATGTAGCTTCTCCTCAGTTGGACTGTCAGTCGAGCCCTCCTCACACAGACTCCTCAACAGGTATGATCTAACATCAAACAATCAGCATAAAAACACAGTCTTGTTAAAACACTCATTTATAACAAGTGCTAAACATTAACATTCCAACCTTCGATCCTGTATGTACATCATAAGCACATTTATCATTCAATGAGTAAGGTATATTTCACACAAAAAGACAGAAGAAACTGATTGAACAATGTCATTTACAGGTCAATGCTGTAGATTAAACACATCATCCTTTCACCTCCATGATATGATCTTGAGCCCAGCCAGATTAAAAAGTCCTTTTCCCTAATAAAATAGGAACATCCCTCATGACAAATTTGGGATCTTCCTTGCAACTGTGAGTTTACTACAGAACAAACAAATGCATCAAAACAGAAGTTCCCAAGTTGTCATCTAATGGCTGCACATACAAAAATAGAGAAATTCCCACTGCTCCAGTAAGAAACACACATCTTAGGTTGTGATTGAATTATTGATTACTGCTGGGAGCAAAGAAAAACTTTCACTGAACTTAATGATCATAAACCAGGCATGGAGTTGCTGATTGGGAATGCAAAAAGAACTCTATTTGTAACTAGCCTGTACCATCTCTAATTTGCGACTGCTTGATGCCAATGCCACATGGTTTTTCCCTACCAACTAGCTAAACCCTACCACTATCATAACACTTCAAGCAGCAACTAATGTAAAAACAGGATCATATTCAATATTTGCACCTGGTAAATGCAGCATAGATGCTAATCAGCTGAAGAGTTGCAGGAAGTAGATTCTTTGTAATCTCAGATGTTTTGTGGGAGTCAGTTTCTGCAGCCACCTTGGAAAAATACTCATCAAGAGACACCTGGACCTTTGAAATGACCGCATCAAGCGTATAAATGGTCTGCAGATTTGGGAGACGGCTGAGTGGGAGAATAGCACTTGCATCAATTCCACAATAGGAAGAAATCTAAAATTGAAGGAAAAAACCCTCAATAATCTCACAAAGGTGTATTAATCAATACATATGCAGTGAGTAACAAATAAGCTTTAGCAGCTGCACAAGAAAAAAAATGAGCCAGTTAACAGTTGAAGTTATTTCTTAAATTGACAACTAATTGAAGCTAAGGTGTTGTACACAGAAATCCACAAACCCTCTGAATCTAGAGAAGCTGATGTCTGCACCTTTCATCAGCATTATTCCTGTGCCTGGAGGCACATGAGGCAGTAATAAATTGCATTCAATTCCACCTTAAGCTTTTACATACATATCACATCACAGAGCTACATGTGCCATTATAGTGCTTCACTGAACTACTGCAGTTTCACCTTTCTGCAAGCATTCTATTTTTAGGTTTGCTTAGGGACTTCTTTTTCAGGCACTTAATAGGACAATTTAGATCCATCTTCTCTTCCAGACTTTTTAAGTCAGAGTAAGACTCTGTACCATCTGTAAGTACTCTCTGTCACGTGGTTATCACCACGTAACATTAAGGAGCCAATGCAGCTTTCCGCACTGAAAGCAGGCATGCTTCTCCAGTCATGCACATTTTTCATTGGGCATTAACTATGATGTTTAAAGTCTCATACCAGTTTCGTTAAGATCTAATAACAGTGCTCTCCTATCTCCATTTTCAGCAGAATGTTTTGCCTTGTACTTGTTTATTGCTGCAATTTCTTTCTCAGAAAGCCAAGCCTACATCAAGGGCTGAGCAAGCCTGCCCTGATGTCAGTATCACGACTGCACTGGAAGACAAACAGCCAAAATTTTTTGCATTCACATTAATTATTCTTCCTTTCGTCTTGACCCACCTTCAGCCCTAAAAATATTTTTAGATGGCATCATGCCAATGAAGAAGCCTGAAAAATGTCCACCACAGCACTGATCGCTTGGTAGTACGAACACACATTAAAAACACATGAATTAGGAGCAAATTAGTCCAATCCTCCTTTTAAACCTGCTCCACCACTCAAGATCAATCATAGCTAATCTACTTGTGTTCAAAATTCCACACTCCCATCAATCACTGACAGGCTTTAATCCTCTTGACTAACAAGAACCTATTTACCTACTTAAAATATTCAATGTATTCCACCTCCAGTGCCTTCCAAGGCAGAGAGTTCCAGAGATAAAATTTCCACTCATCTGTCCTGAAAGGGCAATTCCTAATTTTACAACATGTCCCCTAGTTCTGGACTCACCCACAAGAGTACATCCATTCCACATCCAACTTGCCTGTACCATTTAGAATTAAAATTACACCTTGCTCTTCTAAACTTTAGTGAAAACAATCCCTGTTGGTCTAACCTTCCCTCCTAAGACAACTATATCAATCTAGACATCAAATTGACTAAAATTCCTCTGAATCATCTCCAATGGATTTACATCCTTCAAGTAAAGAGACCAAAATTGTACACTGAGGTTTAAATGCGATTTTGAGCATTGCTTGAATAATTGAGAATTGCTGAAAAAGACCTGGTATCAAATCTTTTCACCTTGCACTCATCAAGGCAAAAACCACAAACATTGAAACTCAAAAGAAACAAGAATTTATACTGTGTGAGAGGAAGGCACTAACTGGTTGGCAAGTATTCTCTGCTAACAGGATGCTACCATTAAGCCAGAAAGGTGTTCTGCCTACTACACAATGCTTCCTTTAAAAAGAAAAAGTAAAGATGCCTTACTCTCACAAGGAAAACACCTCTAATCAGAGGACATGCTGGCATGGTCATCCTTACCTGTCTGGCAACATACTCCTCTGCAAGTTCCACATCATATTTCACAGAACTGCATTTAGCAACAGCCAGTTCCACCAGTGAGCCAGCATGGTCTGGCTTCATGCCCTGTTGTACCAGGTGATCCTTTACCAAAAGGAAATCATAAACTGGTCAAATCAAGGTTGTAAACAATTTATTGAACAACTGGCTTTAATCACACTGAAAATGATCATGCATTATTTACTGAATATTTAGTTTATAGTTACGTTATTAAATAGTTCTCCCACTTGCTCTTATACTATATAGATACATAGCTCGATGGGAAGTTTTCTAGCCTCATAGTCAATGCTACTGATTCTATTTGTAAATGTTCTGTCCAGGACAACATTGTAATTGTACCACACAAACCAGAAAGATCTAAAGTTTGATGTTCTCTCTGCAGAATTTGTAGTTGATATGATAACGGTGACCTCTGCATCCCTAGTAGATGGATAAAAATAGCATCTGCTCCTTTATTTTCAAGGCTCCTGCTCATAGTCTCTATCCAGGAACCTCTCTTGGAAAGTGCACAGTCATGAGGAAAGGGCTGGATTTGGCACACTTTTGATGAAGCAATGTGCCAGCACAATCAAAGATTACACATCAAATAATTTGTTTGAGAAAACTGGAAGTCTTGGGTGAGGTAGCACAACAAGGGCAGAACAGGGGAAATATCCGAAAAAGGAAAATAAAAACCTGAGAGGGTCGAACTGTCTACGATTCGGTGTGTACTAAGCCTCCAGATTCCTCATTGATACATTCTCAACACTTAACTATTATTCCCTTGCAACACTAAACTTGACTATTTCTACATCTCCCTTCCCTATGACTACAGCTTCACAGAGGTTCCTTCTGATTTGTAATCGTTAACAATTTCTTCAACACATCCCCAGAATGTGCATCTTTAGTACCTTGATCCAGGTTACATAGGAACTGATACAAAGCCGTGATGACCATCGAAGTGTGTGCAAGATGTCACATTCACTCAGTTCTGTTGTGCTCATTGCCACTTGGTTAACATAGGCTTTTGATGGAGGCATAATACCCAGGATCCTCCATAAGATCAAGAAGTAGTACTGAATGGAGCATGCCTCCTGAAAGAAGTCAGTGATGGAATGATCAGTAGCAATGCTTCACATACAGTTATAACAAACACATTAAAGACTTGTCCAAAAAACAGAGTGGTTAGAATTTTAACTTGTCCAAACTTCATTAAGAATTATTTCAGCATATGCATGACACATCAGATTCTTCATTTTGAAGGTTAACTTTGATTTTAGAAGAATGCAATGAAAATTAATCAAATCAATGATCAATTTCACCTGCATCAGTAACACCTGGAAACTCTATCATAACCTCAAGTATTTTAACTGCTTGTGATGCTGTGAAAACAACACCGTGACGCAACATGGTCATCAAATCGGAAAAGAATTACTTCTCCCAACTTAGAATCCATGCCAATGGTTTAAAAAAAGTGAAAAACTGCAGAAAATATACAAAACCTATAACACAATATCATAGAAATGAGCAAAAATATTTATCAAAGAATGGAAGGTCTCCACAGACACTTCTGAATAAATGAGCTACTTGGAAGGACAGCACATCCCACCTCCATCCCTCCTCTCCATATCAAAACCACTAACGCAATTTCAAGTCAACAGAGTGAACAAGTCAATACTGAAACAGACCTGTATTCTTATTGTTTAAAATTTCTTTGTCGAAGAAAAGAAAGATAAAAAGAAACAAAAAATTCCACCACACACACAGACATATTAGTGACCACTAAACCATACACTGACACCTAACCGATCAAAGATCACTTGAAACCAGTATTCATCTTTATGTAAATCTTAAAGCCCATCCTGCCTATGCACCGCACACTGGGGTGAATGTTACATTGATTACTAGAGGCCATAAATTCAAGATCATCCACTAAGCAGGATACCGTTCTTAAAAAAATATATATATTTGAGAAGAAAGTATTCAAATGTGTAGAAGGAAAGATTATGAAGGAAATAAGTGTTTAGGTTTCTAAGTGGCCAGCACAGATACAATTTAGTCAATGGTCTCCTTCAGTGCTCTAAGGTTCTCATGATTTAACAGATGTTTATGCATTACCAGAGGTGTTGCATTCTTGTGTTCTTCCCGTCTGAGTGTATCAAACTGTGAGCCAGCTGCTAACAGCAAGATCAGTGATGCATACAGGTCATCATACTTCAAAGTACCAGCACAAAGAACATCACAGATCTGTGAAACAAGGAGGGAACAGAACAAAAAAAAAATGGAGAATCAAGTCTCTCCAAGTGCAGTATCAAACAACTATAAATACAAACTTTTTATACACACACACACACACACACACACACACACACACACACACACACACACACACAGGTCTGTAGCCAAATTCCATATTCCACAACTTGACATTGTATCACGTTAAAATATCAGAGTTACAAAAATATGAATTATTGCTGTAGAAATCAGCTGTATTAATATCAACATCCTTATATATTACATGATTTTACAACTTTACACAGAATGCCAATATTCCCCCAAATGCCAATTCAATGGCTCTCACCATCTCATCCAATCTGCTTCTGTCATCAGTGGATGTTTCATGCGAAAGGATGCTGTAGAATTTGGGCAGAGGTGTAGAATCTGTAGCAAAGAACACATTCAACTGATTCCAAAAACTTGGGAGTATAAACCAATCCAATTGTTTCTCTATTCTACAAAACCAATGGTCTTATTGTCCCTCAGCTGAGTTTTGCCTTACCTGTCCCACTGTGTTTAACCCAGTTTTCTTCGACCTCTTTAAATCCATGATAAAGTGGCACTTGAATGCGTCGGCCAGATTCTTGGGAGCCAGTGGCATTGGCACCACCACATGTCGGTGGGGTTAATAGATTATATTGAATCTACATTTAAAAAAACACCCATAATGTCAGCTGAAGACATGGTCTAAAACGGGTTGTCACACTTACATCATGACAGTTTTGCATTTGTGTCGTTAAATTCAGTAAGTAAAACAGCAAACTGCATCTTCAAAAAATTGATTTCAGAACCCCCATACTGACTAACTGAATGGCAGGTTCAGCAGAGAATTAATGAGAAACTAAGAAAGAGATATATAGTATTGGCTGAATGAATGACATAAGGCTACAGTTTAAACTGAACACCGCACAACATGCATTCAAAAGAACGATGAAACAAAGTGGAAATAAAGAAAGAGACTGCAAGAGTCAGGACTAAGACAAAATGATCAAAGCAAAATACGGAAGTTCAGTTTAAGGAAATGAAATCCCAAACAAACCAAGCTGAGGATTGAGTGGGAAAAAGCCACTTCATTTTTTCTCACTATGATTGCTTAAATACTTCCACTGAGTTCAGTGATTTTCATCAATGACTATTGCAAGGAAAGACATGTGCCAAATGGGCAAGGACAGCATCAGGGTCACTGATCGTTGCGTCACTTGTTGACATTCACAGTTTAGATTAAAAGAAGAACATCTAGCTTGATAAAGAACAATGGTGGCCATTAGTATCTGGGACACTGTTAAGAAGTCAATAACACAAGAATAAGAAAATAGTTTAAGTGTCAACTTTAGTGTGTAGGGTTAACATAACTGCCACAATGTTACTGCTGATCTTCAAGTCAATTTGTATTTTTGCAGTATGCTGAAGTGTCACAGCGCACGTGATATATCTTTTTCCTCTAGGTGTGTTGGTTGTCAAAAAATTAAAAAGTTTCGTCTTTTGTCTGCCAGCAGCTTTTACCTCTACAATGTTGGTAAATGTGAGGTCATCCATTTTGGTAGGATCAGCAGCAAAATGGACTATTATTGAAATGGTGATGCATGCTACTGCGCAGAGGGACTTGGGTGTTCTTGTGCATGAATCACAAAAGGTTGATTTGCAGGTGCAGCAGCTAATTAAGGCAGCAAATGAAATATTGCCCTTCATTGTTACAGGGATGGAGATTAAAAATAGGAAGGTGATGCTGCAGCTGTATAGGGTGCTGATCAGGCCTCATCTGGTGTACTGCATACAGCTTTGGTCTCCTTACCTGGGAAAGGATATACTGGCACTTGAGGGAGTGCAGAGGAGGTTCACGAGGTTGATTCCAGAGTTGAGAGGGTGGCTTATGTGGAAAGAGTAGACTAGGACTATACTCATTGGAATTTAGAAGAATGAAGGGGATTTTGCAGACACAAATAAAAAGTTATGAAGGAAACAGATAAGATAGAAGCAGGGAGGTTGTTTCCACTGGTGGGTGAGACTAGAACAAGGGGGCATAGCCTCAAAATAAATGGGACCAGATTTAGGACTGAACCAAAGAGGAACTTCTTCTCCCAAAGGGTTGTAAATCTGTGGAATTCCCTGTCCAGAGAAGCAGCTGAGGCTACCTCATTGAATGTTTTCAAAGTGAAGATTGATAGACTTGTGAACAGAAAAGGAATTAAAAGGTTACGGTGAGTGGGTGGGTAAGTGGAGCTGAGTCCACAAGATAGATCAGCCATGGTCTTATTGAATGGCGGAGCATGCTCGAGGGGCCAGATGGCCTACTCTTGTTCCTATTTCTTGAGTTCTTAATTATCTACACAGGTTTATTTAAAGTTTCAATAGGTGATGTTCAAGATCAAGATGGTCACAACACCATTTTTACATTTTGTATATTATTCTGCCATTTAAATATACTCTGAAGAAGAGAGAGAGAGAAAAAGCCACAGATTTAATTCATCCTCTTGAGCACTGATTGGCAAATAAGTACCACCAAAGTAGTGTAATAGTAAAAACTTATCCAAAATCATTAAACTAAGTCAAAGGTCACAAAAGAAGACATTCACATTTACAAAATGAATCAATAAAAAGATGCATTGCTCTATGTGGTCTTCCTCTCAAATGCTAATGAGTTAATTAGATTGCAAGCCAATATAGCAAAACCATAAACAAAGAAAAAAACTAGGCTTTAGTTATGAGACTCCCATTTACATCAAGCTGGTGTGCCCATCTTATATAAATGGACAGAAGTTCTCCTATAATTTCACAACAAGCATTAGTTTAAAAAGAGTGCAAGTTAAATGAGTCATACAAGTCTACAGCACAGCAAAGGGCCCTTTTGCCCATCATGTCTGCACTGGTCAAAACAAGCTCCTGACTATTTTAATCCCATTTTCCAGCACCTGGAAAGCAGTCTTGCATGCCTCAGTATTGTAAGTCAACATTTAAATACTGATCTCAATATTGAAAACTGTTTGATCAACAGAATGCAACATGATCAACACAAAACTGGAATAATAGCTTTATGGATTCACTTATAAACTTGTATATTCACTCAGCAGCTCAACTGATCCTTACCTGTTCAAATAGGTAGACTGGCACTTTTGAATATTGCTGAAGGAGATATTCAAAAACCAGCAACAGTCGGGCAAGTGTCAGTGGCACACACCGAATCTGAGCTTCTGCTTTAGATGCCACTTCAACAATCACCTGTATGCACATCAAAACTACAGAACGACGACCACTCTCCGAGAAATTATGGAAAATTAGTAGTAGAAGCTGAAGGTGCTCAACATTCAGATCTTCTGAGTCAGTTGGTACTACTCCATGGAATATGTTCTGCTTTAATGTTCCAATAAACCTAGCAAGAGAAATAAAATTCTCCATGTACTTATCTGTAGTTTTGTAGCTTTACTCTGTAAACAGTGTTAAGCAAATGATGACAAGGATCAGCTACGGATTCCAAAACTGCACAACCAAAACAATGGAGCTGATCACCACCTCCATCTGTATCTCTGTGCGCGAATGGATTTTCATTCTTTTCCGCATGTGGTGTTAAAGACATTCCAATTTTACTCTCTCAATTTAGCAAAATGAATTTAAATGTAACAAATGTAACAATCCATTAATTCAGCATTCCATACAGAATACCAGGAGACCGATGCATGACAGGACTCTCCACGCTTCCAAATCTTTCTTAGTTAAGAGTTTTGTTACAGTAAGAATACTTTACCTTTCCCAGATTTTCATACACTCGGGTACATCTGGCTCCCCCTGTGCACTGGCCTTGTGCTGCCAGATTAACAACAGGCGTGACAACACAGAGAGGCTCTGTGAATGGATGTACAATGGCCACGGACCCTCAGAGAATGGTGCAATTCCCAGCTGTTGCAGCAATGTGTTCTGAGCAAAATACCAAATAGTTAATGCAATTATCTAAAACATGATTATCACAATAATAGACTCATGCACAATATCAGCCTATTAATCAGCATAACACTATCTCTAGAATTCAACACTTTGCATGACAAAAGTTGCTGACATATTATGAAATAATAGGAAAGATCACTTTGCAAATAGGACAATATACATTACGAGCTGGGAGATTTTTGTGAATGAGCTATAAAAGCCTTACATGTTTTAATTGTAAAAAAAAAAGTCTGGGCTGCAACTCCAACAAGATTAAAATGAAAAGAGCTCAAAAATTCTAAGCAAAAGAATCTGGAGGCTGGTTAAAAACAAGGTCAGGAAGAACTGACAGTCAACAAATTGGGCATAATCTTAGTTGCCATTGACCAAGCCCCTCAAGAAAAAGCAATCACTAATTTATCTTTGTTCAGAATTATGTAACTCTGCCCATCCTGTATTTTGCAATGCTATGAAAAAAAAGTCATGAAAGACAATTTGCCATCACAAGCTTTATTTCTTAATGTCTAAAATCTTGACACTCCTATCATTTGAGGAAACGCTGCTGACAGTACACAAAATTAGCTTCAATCACAACGACTTTCAGAAAAATTAACACAATAGAATCTGGGACTTGGACAAACATGCGTTCAGTACTAGGCAATGTACTAAAGCGCAACCCAAGTAGATCCAACTCCTTCTGAACAGCTGTCCATGGCAACACTAAAGAGAAAAAACAATGTCTCTTTTGCAAAATATTCTATTGTTTGCTTTAAAATGACATCAGATATAAAGCATAGAAACAGGCCATTTGGCCTACACTGCATTTCTGCCTACTCAGACCTTTTCCTGCCTTTCCTTGTCTAATTCTATCAGCATTATCTTTTGGTCCTCTCTCACTCATATGGTTATCTAGCCTCCCTTAAATGCACTTATGATGCAAATCGGTATAGAGTTGTATGTTTGCCATTCTTGGTACTCTTTGGGTAAACCCATATGAACACACTAAACACAACTCCTCTGCCAGCAAGTAACGTTAGTTTCTGGATCTGCCCTGTATACTTTTCAGTCAATGTTGATTTGAAGAAGCTACTCAAGAGATGCCGCAACCATTGAATAATGGCAAAGATGGATCAATTAATAAAATTGGAAAAGTTCGCCACACATTAGAAGTTGGGGGAAAAAGAAAAACTTTTGTATAATTCAAATCTATGAACAGATGAAACAAATGACCGAAAAAAAAAAACTTAGTACTCCACTAATTTGCAATACTGTCCATCACCCAAACTAATAACCCTGGATTTGAATTTTCATTTCTGAAACAAACTTCACAGAAGATCATTTCACAGGTATCAAGAAACAAACCCCATCCTCGAGAACTACCATTCAACCTTTACAATCACATATTGGAATCACACAGGTCATGGAAATGTACACACTAAAGCAAACTGTCAACATTAATCAAGCACATCACAGTCAGTGATGCACTATGAACTTACTTGCAAGACAGGGGATGGAAGGTCAGAGGTGACCATAGAATGATTGAAGTGATATAGTGCAGCTGCAAATTCCTCATCGGATGCCCCTATGCAAAAATAAAACTTTGAACATACAGAAGAATGGAGACAAAATGTGGTCAATAATACAAAAACAATATAACTAGCCATCCAGCTGACATAGTGCATCCTTCAATAGAAAATGTGTGAAAATTCAGTGATTAAAACAAAAAATTTGATTTTCTTTTACTCAAAGATAAAAAAAACGAACAACTAATTTTTCAAAACGGAAGTCATGACTTATCAAACATTTAAGTGTGCAGCCAGTATTGTCTCAGTCAGCTATTCTTTCTCCCTTTCCCGTTCCTCGTCTGCTGAACTATTGTTTTCTCTCTCTCTGGGCTTCATCTCCATCTATCCCCTTTTCCCTCCTCCCACCCTTTCTCTAGCATATATACCAATCTTTTCCTAGTTATAATCCGTTTTAAGCAGAGTCACTGAACCCAAATGTTGACTCTGTTTTCTTTCCACAGACACTGCCAGAATTGCTGAGATTTTCCAGCAATTTCTGATTTCCAGCACTGCAGTTCTTTGGCTTTTTGCCTTAATCATAGAACGTTTACCAGACATACTCATTAAAAAAGCCTTGAACAAGATGCCTTCCCAAACTTTAGCTCGACACCCACTATCTTAAGTCTGAGATATATCCTTTAATATGGAATTTTAAAAAGGTCTCAAGTCTAAATATAGTCTGATAAAGAGCTTTCCAACATCTACGTGGAATATCACCCGAGAAGACAGTCCTTTACTAAATCAGATTTAATCATTTACAAACTGTCAACTGGCGCTTAAAGTGGTTTAAGACGACATGATGAACCGTGTTCCCAATAGCTGATTCCATAACATTTCACCAGAACTGGGAGATTATCAACTGTTTCTTGCTCCTAGATATTTGAAAAATATTTGTTTGAGAGACGTGGGCATCACTGGCAAAGCCAGCATTTATTGTTCAACCCTAATTGTCCTAAGTCAACCATATTGCTGTATACCTGGAGTCACACGTAGGTCAGACAAGGTAAGGGCGGCAGATCTTTTTCACTAAAGAACATTAGGGACGTAGAAGAACAATGAAGGTTGCCTGATCTGATCACCGTTTCCACCATTTTCCGTTTTACTTTCAGATTTTCAGTATCCATAGAATTTAGATTTTTTAAAATTTTGCTTTGATTATAAAGGACAGGAAATCCATCGTACTGTGCCAGCTTTGAAAGATCTATCCAATTAATGCCAATCCTTCACCAAATCTCTTCAAAACTCTGCAGGCTTTTCGGAGTATATTGTTCTTACTTTAGACATTTCAACCACTGCCGAAGACTGAAGTAGCCTTCTTGCTCATAACTCCAAATACAGTGAAATGATAGCCACCAATAAAAAAATGTGTTTGCTGACCTTTCATTCCATCTTTGTCCACATCTTTAATGATGCTGGCTAATGTCATCATGTGTTGTTCAGTGAGAGAAACACTCAGGTAATTCCGGATAAAGTTGTTCCTCGAATTTAGCATTGAAGATGTAATGAAATTAAAAATACTTGAAGCCAGGTTCAGAAACTGAAAAAAATAAGATTGTTTTAAAAATACAGATTTACTAGCTGTCAATCATCCTCATTCTCCACCAATATAATTACCAATTGCCATTATCCCCGAATCGAAATCTAACCCCAACATAAAGTTTAATGAGCAACTAGCCAACTGTAAAATAGACACTCATTACTAACTCCTCAGTCATGTGCTGCTTAATCTTAATAGTAATAATGGCACGTTGCTGGCTTTTCGGTCTAGAAAGTCAATTCCTGATCTATCAGGTAAACTCATCAGAGTGGCAGCTCAGATGTTAGAATTGCACTCAGACAGGGTCAGCACCTCTGATCCTTCTTCAATGTTCACTGCTCAAACATGCTGATGCATAAACCAGTTGTGAGGATCAGCATTTGGTGCAAGTATCCTGCTGGCACCAGAGAACAAGATTTAATAAATAATTGCTGGGAAAAGTTTTCTACTGGGGAGTGGTGCCCCATAATTTGGCAGACCTCCAAGATCTTACAGTAAATATGAAAATAACACACGTACATGCACAAATACAGCAAGAACTCAGCCTACAGATAAATTCTAGAGCTAGACAAAGGAACTGTGACATTAAGTGACTAGTGACACTCTTCATTCTGCTATAATTGCAAGCATATAGTCAGATTATTTTTGTGTTAGCACTCCCCAAGCAATTTGTTTCTGTTTAACCAAAGAGGCGCCAACCACCCCATAAACAGAGGCATATAAACAACAAACGGACAGAATACCAATGCTTCACCGGAGGCGCACTGACGATGTTACCTAGCAAGGTGACAAAACGTCTGCAACCAAACACCGGCTTGGCGAGCAAGTCTACAACCACATCCACAACCCAAGCTACAAATCTTCGCAAAAACTTTATAGCACAGCCTATCTGGATACATTCTGGAATCCTGTAGTAGGCACTTTGATGCCCTAGAAGTTATATTTGAGGTTTCAGCATGTGAAAGTTGGCTGTACAGCAGCCAACCTAGCACCAAAAGAGACAGAGCTAACCAGTTAACGGCTGTGAAAGGGAAAATTTGAGAGTCTAAAAGGATGAAAATACCACACATGAAGACAAAGAAAAAAGGAGCAGCCATCATGGATTTCAAAAGGACCAACCACGCTTGACAAACCTCATACTTAGGGAGGTAAAAGACATGGGTCAAATTCTTGGACAGTCCTCCTTAACAGCACTGGATGGACTAACAGCACATTGACTTAAGTTGTTCAAGAAGGCCACCCAGCACTGTCCTCTCAAGTACAATGAGGGATAAGCATCAAATGCTGGCCTTGCTTGTGATGCCGCACCCCTAGGAAAGCTAGATCGCTGAAATCTACCCAACAGTGTGCAAAGTTGCCAGGTGTGCCCTGTACACACAAAGCAGGACAAGTCCAACCAAGCCAATTACCACCTCTTCAGTCTGCTCCTTATCATCAGTAAAGTGATGGAAAGGGTCATGAACAGTGTTATCAAGCTATTCTTCCTTAGCAGTAACCTGCTTACTGGTGCTCAGTTTGCGTTCTGCCAGCACCACTGAACCCCCTTATCTCATTACAGCCTCAGTTCAAACATGGGACACAAGAACTGAATTCTAGAGGTGAGGTGACTATCCTTGACATCAAGGCCACATTTGACCAAGTGTAGAATCATGGAGACCTAATAATACTATAGTTAGAGTCAACTGGAATCAGGGGGAAAACTCTGTGCTGGTTGGAATCATAATCGATCAAAAGATTGTGATTGTTGGAGGTCAGTCATCCCAGCCCAAGGACATCAATGCAGCCGTTCTTCAAGATAATGTTCTAGGTTCAATCACCTTCGGGTTTCAAGCACCTTCCCTCCATCATAAGTTCAGAAAAGGGATATTTTCAATGACAAATGCAAAATGTCCACCACCATTTATGATTCCTCAGAATCTGAAGCAATCCATATCCAAATGCAGCAACACCTGGACAATATCCAAGTTTGGGGTGACAAGTGGCAAGTATCATTCTTGCCTTAAAGTGCCAAATAATGACCACATCTAACAAGAATCTAAACATCGCATCTTAACATTCAATGGCATTACCACCAATTAATCCCATACAATCAAATTCCTGGGTATTACCATTGACCAGAAATGGAATCTGACCAGCTACACAACAGCAGGTCACAGGTTAGGACTTCTACAGCGAGTAACTCACCCTTTGACTCCACAAAGAGCCTGCTCACCATCTACAAGACACAAGTCACAACTGTGACAAAATGCTCATTTGTCTGGATGAATGCAGCTCCAACAAGGGACTTGACATCATCCACAAAGCAGCCAGCTTGACTGGCACCACACCCACAAACATTTACCCGCTCTAATATTGACCCTCAGTAGATGCAACGTGTACCACCTAAAAGATGCACTGTAAAAATTCACAGAAGTGTATGGGAATACTACCATCTGCAAGATTCCACACTCCCCACCTCCAAGCCCAAACTGAGCCGCCATGCTGACTTGAAAATATATCACCATTCCTTCAGGTGTCACTGGGCCAAAATCTAACAGCCTCACCAACAGAACTATGGGAGCACCTACACCAAATGGACTGCAGTGGTTCAAGAAGCCAGTTTACCACCACTTGCTTAATCTTTACCTTTCACCCAATTGCTGTTAGATATCACTCACCAGCTCAGGGTCTCTGCGACTCGCCAGTATGTTGCCATTCTCTCCAGAACACTGCTTATTTGGACTCTTCAGGCGTGGAGAACTCTCCAAAGGAGGTGGAGGCGGTGGAGGGGGTGGTGCTGATTTCTCCTTACTGGGAGAGATGGTCTCCTCAAACCACTGGCCAAGTATTGGCTCACTATCATCATCTGTAAAGTACACATTAAAAGAAATAACATATGCATAAAGCCAGATTAAATGAACTTGAAAAACAAACAGCACAACCCATAAGTAGTGTGGTTATCAGCAATTACAACTATCAAAATAGAATTCAGAGATAGTGGGAACTGCCGATGCTGAAGAATCTGAGAAAACAACGTGTAGAGCTGGATGAACACAGCAGGCCAA